CGACTGGAAAAGTTGTTTGTACTTGCTATAAAAAACGAGCTACTGAGACTATTAATAGACTGTATAGACTCTTAAACTTGAATTAATAGCCATTTCGACACCTTAACTCTAATTGTTTTGAAGTAATCGGTCTGTCGGGAAAATAGCAGCGGAATGTCATGCCTTGAAATCACTATCATCGCTTTGCGACGGCTGGGAATTTGGTGTGCGACTGCACCGTTTTTTTTGACAGAGCGTGAGATAGTTTTCAGCGATGAAAAGCCACGATTTTCCCGACAGACTGAGGTCAGGCAAAAATATTGTTGTTGTACAGGGTATCTCAAGAGATACGACAGAAACTTTTTGTAAATATCTTTGTGTTCTTTGCAGCCATCCAAGAAGTTAAAATTAATTTTAAAATTTGACGGTGGGAGACTTTAGAATACGCAGAAGAAGTTTTTCTTGCATTGGCGAAGGGGCCATTTTTGGCGCAGATATTTGACGGCTTTTTTGAAAATTGCGGGATCTTGCGCGACACTGATATACCTTAGGAACTTGCAACAAATTTAGAGCTTTCAAACTAAAATATTGCCAAGACATACGTTACAGATTTTTGGCTTGCAGAAAAAACCAAGATTTTAAAGTCATGAGTCTTGTCTAGCCAACTCTCATCGTTTCGCATACTCTCTCGCCAAAAACCATGAAATTGACAGAAATATCAGGCTGTCGTGAAAATAGTGAGCACTCTGTCGCATCGAAAATCGCATCGCCGCCGTGAAACAAATGTATCGCAGCGAAATCAAATTGCTTTTCACTCCTGCGATGCCATCTGCACAGTCGGGAAAATAATGAGGCATTGTGCGCATTATTTTCCGGACAGGCTGATATAGCCCAAGAAAAATATTTGTTTCTCTGACTTCTCTCCATATTTTGGACTTTCTCTCGTCGGTAAGATCAATAAAAATCTTCGTTACACCAAAGGGATAAGGTCTATGTGTGCCCTCAATGTTGAACACAATGATCAGACGGTCCGAAAACGTTTTTTGTGAGTTATTGTTACCTATAGTAGACCCTCTATTCTCGTTATTTTAAAAGTTTGTTTCACTTACTCTGTTCCCTTTTTTCTGCTTTACCAACATCATTAAAACATCATAACCTTTTATTCGCTGGGTCTGTGTGTAACCCATATTCCTAGTTTTTTGCGTGAGGTAAGGCGTTTACAGCGGGATCCTTCACTTCTGCTTTAAATATTTTTAAGAACCGAGCTACCTTCGAAGTGTAAACTCCGATGGTCGGCAGTGCTGCTGTAAAAGTTAACCAACATATTTTCCCACATCGAAAATATTATTACGAGGTTGTTTTGCAAGACTGTGTGACAGAGATTAGATGTCCAAACCACAAGTTGAGGGGGAGAAAAGATGACAAAGAATCGTCGAGAAAATCGAGCACTTCTTTATGAAGACCTCCCCAAATTGATCAGTGAATTGCCGGAGGCATGATTAACATATCGGCCTCGATTTTTTGTGGAGTCGTCTATCTAGAACACTGATTAATTCCTGAAAGTTTCAGGTTTCGGTTTGCAAGGGTGTCCGAAATATTCAGCTATTTAATTGTGAGAGAAGGTATGTTGATTGTGGCGAGAGGTCAAGAGCGAAGATAGATGGTGTTCTCAGGGTTTGAAGAGGTTTTCTGCAGATAGTAATGTATGACTAAGCGAGGTCTACAAAGCGATGACTTAAGTATGGCAACTCTCTTACCGCTCTCCACATTTTCAGTGCTCCCTTATCAGACCTTTTAATATCTCATCAGCCTAGGCAAAAAGCTTGGCTAAAATTTTCAAGGGTTGATTTGTAGCATGAACATGACGTTTCTCTAAATTTTAAGATGCAATGTACGCTTTGTACATTGTTCATTCTAAAGCCAATTTAAAATCTGATTCATCTTGCCCCCTCTGACATCAATGTCTATTCTTGGTCTCAACACCTCTTCGTACTTGTTGAACAACCGTTTTTTTCGATGCTTCTTTCACCCATTCGCCAAGCAATGGGTTCAAATAGACGGTAGTCCCAAAAATTCGCAAAGTCTTCTCCGTTCCAACTCTGACGCAGATCGATCACGTGAGTCATTTAGCATCATCGTTGAGTTCACTGACCCCGTTCCGTCTTTCTCAAGAACATTTCGCACTTTTCCACTTAACTTTTTTTTGTTTAGTTAGTTTAACAGCAAACACAAATGCCCCCGCAGGGATATGAACATTCTTGTCGGTGTCTCAACTGATGGAAGAGGACACAACCCATCCATCAAGCCATAAATTTTTGTGCAACTGTTGACAAAACTAATATCATTGTTGGTGTGTGCTACGGTGGTGAGCGGTCATCTTTCGTTATGGGGAAATTTGGGGTAGTTTGATTTTTAGAGTTTTTGGGAGAAAAAAGTGTTCAAGGTAGTTAGGGTAATACTCAAGTGTCATCGCTCAGATTTCCTTTGAATTTTATGCCTACAGTACGTATGATATGTGGTTATTGATGTCTTAAAATTTCATGTCGCAATTTGCAAGGGCAGCCCTGTTGTTTCACGATTCTTTTTGGAGAGAGAGCACGTAAAATGCGGAGGCTGGTCAGAGAAAAAACTTGTTTTGACTATATCCTTGCAAATTTCAGGCTTGTAGTTGCTAGAAGGTTGATTTTTGGTAGAAATTTTGTGATATCACATCACAGAAACTGGCGAAAAAATCTACCCTTGAATGGCCTAAAATTTGTTCAATTTTCTCAACTTTTTACATCAAAATCCCGATTTTTTCTTCATTTTTTTAAAAATTTTTAATGTTTTTGGCAGACATGATCTCTATTTCTACCAATTCTTATCAAAATCTAAATGTTTCAGCTCCACGATTTTCCTCTGTTAATCCTTGTTTCCAGTCTTTATTTGGACTTTTCTCCTCCCATTTACCGTCCCCAACATTTATGAAGGTTTCGATCCAAGTGAACACGGCCGAGGTTTGAACTTCGAAACACCATCTTGACTCTTGTCGAAGACCAAACGTCCAATTGAATGAGGCGGCTGACGTCAGCGGCGGAACGGTGGGCGGGGCAGTTCAACGGTATTAAATCGGCGTTTCGCCCATTTCTCGTATTATCAGTTTGCATTTACAGGAAGAAGGCAGTCCAGAAATTTAATGAGCCTCGGCTGTTCTTTGCTTGTGGTAATTTTGCGTTGGTTTGTTGAGGCGATGGGGTTTGTAGTGGTGTTTGCTGGGGGGTTGCTGGGGGAGGTGGGTGGCTTGGAAGTGGAGTTGCTGATGGCATAGGCGCTGTAGAAGCATAGGTAGTTTTTGAGGACATCATATTCTTAATAGAGGTTACTGAGGTCCAAGAATCTCCCTCATATGATAAAATACACATGCTATTTTCACATACATATCTTTTAGTCATAGAAACTTCCAACAATTGCCGTAGGCGTAGTAAATTTTTTGCACAGAAAAACGATGTTTTGTATCATCTCATATCTTGTTTATGCCGCTTTCAGCCTCAAAAACCATTTATCTATATGCACCTGCACTTGATATGACTTGATTTTGATGGCCTCTAGACAAAATTCCCCGCAAAAAAGGGCTTTACAAACAACCCTACAGTAACTCCTCTTTGCTAGAGATGGCTCTGGGGAGATGTCTACCAACGAGCATGTGGTCTCTCAAAAGTTCGGAACTTTCCACTGTTATCGTGTCTTTTCGAGATTTTTCGAGATCCCTTTCGTTCTCAAAAATAAATAGAGACCTTGTGGAGGTGGGCGGTCCCGGCTCTTATCAGCGCCAACTTTATAACCTTATCAAAACAATCGAATTAAAGTGGCGTCTGGACTGCGGGTAATCACGGCATGGAGAAGGAAATCCGGTGATAAAAAAGTTGTTTGTAGGGAAACGAAATTTATACTACCTTCAAAAGTAATGTAAATATAGTACCTACAAGATCACCATATATGGAGAAGAAAATATTTTTTACCACGCCATATTTTGAGTCATTTTGCTAACAATGAAACGTCAACAATATCCAGCAGCAAACCTCTGATTCGTGTTGGCCTCTATTATCCCAGTGGGTGTATGACAATGTGGAATCCCATAAGTGGGTGTGTTTACCCGCCTATTCAATGTGATTTCCCATCGCATGAGGCAGTGGAATTCTTTTTGAGATTCTTTCTTTCTTTCACAACGCCTCTGTATATAATTTCAAGACCCCGATTGAAGAAAGCATTGACTGTTCAGCGGCAAAGGCTCTTTGCTCGTTGATTAATGGGTTTTTAATCGTCATTTTTGGTATGATATTTATTATTTTTCAGGGGAGAAAACCAAAGGAATTTTGGATTTTTTGGGGGAAATTTTTGATTTTTGAAATTTTGGGTTTAAAAAATTTTATTGATTTTTTTTTGAATTTTCAGATTTTTTAATACAGAAAAAAATTATTGGATTTTTAGTGAAATTTTTGATTTTGAAATTTTAGGATCTTTTGAAAAAATGGATTTTAAAAAATTTTTTTTTTTGAATTTTCAGATTTTTTAATACAGAAAAAATATGATTGGATTTTTTAGCGAAATTTTGATTTTTGAAAATTTGAGATTTTTTGAAAAAAATGAATTTTTTTGATTTTTTTTTTTTATTTTTTTTTTTTTGAATTTTCTGATTTTTGCTGTATTAAAAAAATTTTTTTTATCGATTTTTTTTAATATAGAAAAAATATTTTTTTTATTTCAAAATTTTTTCTAATCATTTTTTAAAAAAAATATTTATTTATTCCCTGTCCACATTGTTTTTTCAAAAGCTTTCGATCCTCTTATTGCACAGATAATTATTGTTTCCCAATGGAATCTCCTTTCATTTCTCTTTCGCAACCTTTGAAAATCGCCCCGAAAACAGTCCCCTTATCTTCTCGCCAAAGTTTCCGTAAACATCGCAGATACGAAAATTTGTCGCTGGTTTTTGCGAGCGTTTTTTCCGATTGCGTCTTTTTTAATTGGCGTTTTTCTTGCAGATGTACGTCCCATCAGACGAGAAACCGATCATCAAAGAGGAGAAGAAGACTCACTGGTTGAGTATCTACATTGCGGCCCTGCTTTCGTTCGTGGGGTCCGTCCAGTTTGCCTTGTATTTCAGTGCGTTATGGCCTTATATGCAGATTGTAAGTGGATTTTAATTTCATTTTTTTTTATTTTCAAAAAATGAAAAAATAAAAAAAAATATTTTTTTAAATTTTTTTTGTCCTAATTTGTAAAAAATATACTTTTTTTATCATGTATGTAACAAAAACAGTTTTTTATAAAAAAAGGTTTCAAGATAAGGCCTAAAAGTAATTTTTCTCTGACCACCCTCTTAATTTTTCACACTCTCTCGTCTGAAAAATCATTTTTAAACTTAAAATATCTCAGCTGATTTTTCAAAATCTGCACTAAAATTCTTACAAATTGATACGTGGCCTACATTACACATGGCCAAAGAAAAAAACCCCGATGATTGAGAATCTAGCGATTCATTCTTTTAATTCCTCACAAAACACCTTCAAAAATTTGTCATATTTGCCAAACCCCTTTGCAATTTGATTATCCTCAAATTTCAGCTCGATCCGGACATGGACGAGTCCTTCTACGGCTACACGGTAGCCCTCTACAGTGTGGGTCAGATCATTATATCACCCTTCTTCGGCTGGTGGAGTAATAAGATCAAGGCGGTCAGTCCGCCGCTCTGCTTTGGGCTGTTTTTAATGCTGACCGGAAACATCTTTTATATCATCATGGAGGTAGTCGATTTCCCAAAACGTTTCATGTTATTGCTGGTGCGATTTGTCACTGGTATGGGCTCGGGGAATGTGGCGATTTTGAGGAGTTACGCCTCGACGGCCTCAACTTCAGAGGATCGAACGAAAGCCATCGCGTGGGTGACATGCGGACAGGCGTTGGGATTGACTAGTGGGCCTTGTAAGTGTTATTTTACAGAGTTTTAAAAATTTTTTTTATAAGAAACAGCCAAAATAAGAATTCCGCAAAATTGCGATTTTGATGAAGAAAAATCCAAAAAATCCGTCATTGTGACGCTATAAATTTTTTAAACTTTATCAATGACTTTAAATGCCCTATGGCACTCACTAAAAAAAATTCCATGAGTTTTCTAGTACTAAGAAAAAATCAATAATTTTTGTAGACGAAATGTCACTTTTCAAAATTTTGCCCTGCAAGTCTGATTTTTACTTTTTTCAGTATTCCAACTGGTCTTCACTGCCCTCGAACATCCTGGAATCCGCTTCTTCAACATGTTCAGCTTCTCCCTATACACCGCTCCGGCCTACGTTGCGTGCATGATCAACATCACGGGTCTGATTTTGGTCAAATTTTTCTTCCAAGAAGAATACGCTGGTGTTGAAGAGGATGGTTCCACTTCAGATGTGGAGCAAGCCCCAGCGAAGAAACCGTTCGTTCCTCCGTACGACGTTATCGCCGTTTGGATCTGCTATGCGACTCGTTTCACGGACATGTTTGTTCGGACCAACTTGGAGACGCTGGGATCGCCATTTGCCATGATGATGTTCAACCTGAAGGAGGAGTTGGCTGTGCGCTACATGAGTATTGCTCAGGGAATTGTTGGAGTTATGACAATGGCAACATATGCGGCATACATCTTCTTGAAGTTGGAGAGATGGGTTCCCTTGAGATCGGGGACCATCATTGCGTTGGCCGGAATGGCGCTGTTCCATATTCTCACATTCTCTTGGCCTTTCCTACCCTCAATTCACACTATTACCAACGGAACGGACAAGGCCGTTGGCTGCAACACCGAGCGGTTCTCTTGGTGCGAGCAATTGGACCAGGTCAACGTCTGGGTCTTCTTCCTCTCCTACACCATTGTGATCGGCCTGACTTTCCCGTTGATGCAGATCACTCTTAACACTTTGTTCTCCAAGATCCTCGGCCCTCGACGTCAAGGCTCCGAACAAGGCTGGCTTCAAGTCTCCAGCGCCGTTGGCCGCATGATTGGGCCAATCGGCGCCTCCAAACTCTACCAATCCAATGGCCCACGGCCGGTGTGGATGATGGAGGTGGCTGTGATCGGCGTTGTGTTCGCTTCTTGGATGGTATTTTACAGAAGAATGGTGCCGTTGAAGGTGGCTCCGACGCCTTCACCAAAATGTTCAATTTCGACGATTTCAAGTTCGGCCAACTCGCCGAGCTCGTCGACAGTCTCCACACCCGAACGGATACGAAAGATTTAAGGTAGTTAGAAAACTGTAATATTAATAGCATACTTTCTTGTCTTTTTTTGGCTACTGTAACGGCTGTAGAGGAATTCTGGAGGCTTTCTGCGAGCGGTTTAAAAGGTTATATAGGGTAGTGTAACATATACAGGGAAATTGCTGGAAATTCTACGGTAAGACACTATGATGTCTGTAGTATACTTTAGCAATTAATTTTGACTTTTTAAATGTAGCAGATGGCTTCAGTAAGCGACACAGTAAAGTTGCGTAATCTTGATGCAAGATTACCGTGACTTTTCCAACTTACTGTAACATTGAGATCAAACATTTTAGCTATTTATAACAACATCGAATGACATCATAGAACCCCACAGAACCTAGCGTAACTCCTCTCAGCTCTTACAGTAGCCCCAACTTAAATTTTTTTCCCACCATTTCATTGTAGTGTACATAATCGTTGATTCCGTTGTATTTTTCCCACATTTGGTCGACGATTTACCCGGGTCGGGTGATCATTGAAACTACTGTTAACTGCTTAACAACTGATTACGAGTATTTTCTAGTCACTTATTCTTAAATTCATCTCATAATCTAAAGACTTATTTTGTTTGTTCAATTTTACTCTTTCAATAAACCTTGTCACCATTACTTCTGCTTCTACTGAGGACCCTATACTCTTTGATGGGACTGTAAAAAGTATCGCGCATGGTTCAAAACGAGGCAAAAGAACGGCCATTTGTTTGCCTAATCTTTTCAGAAATTTCGAAAAATCCATTCGAATGGCCTCTTGTTCAATTGAGTTTTGTGTGCACTTATACAACGTTCGGAGAAGCCCGGGAAACGATCGTCTACGTCAATTGCAGAAAATATTAAAGACAGAAAATTGTGGTTTGTCAACAAAGGCGTAAATAACACGTCAATGGTTGGCTTTTGAAGGTTGTATTGTCTGATAAGGCCTTCGGGCCGGCCCGGAAAATTGAGTTAAAGAATTGAAATAGAAAACAGTAAACAGAACTGAAAAAAATGGAAATCAGGAGCAAATGGCTTGCAATTATTCTATTTAAATGGTTATTATATTGCACCTGTATCAACATAATAGACCTTTGCAGAAACCGGCCAAACAAACTACCCCAGGCCAGCAAACTGATAAGGAAAGTACCCCAAGTGCGACGTTGAGATTTTCCTTAAATTTTGCACACACGTCGATCATAAACTAAGTATGAATTCCTGAAAGTTTTAGCTCGCGCTTTGAAAGCAAAGCCGAGATATTCAACAACCTTTGCGGCCGAGAGAGATGGAACAGAGTGGTCATTATTTTCCCGACAGACTGATATGTTTGGATTTGTGTTTGAAACAGCAACGATTAGTTCTTTTTTGACATTGACATCCAAAATACAGCCAAATATATTATAGTTTACATCGCAAAACTTCAATTAAAACACCCTATGCACTTGAGCCTAATAATAGCTCTTAAAAACGATATTTTCATGCTATGTCTGATGACAATAAATTTGCATTTAAAATTAAATCTTGAGGGCTGCATTAAGGGCCTGATCTAGATCATTTATTAGGTCTTCCTTGTCTTCGATTCCCACAGAAAGGCGCACCAAGTTGTCGGAGAGGCCGATCTTGTCTCTTTCTTCTTTCGGAACACTGGCATGGGTCATGACCGCTGGCAATTCGGCCAAACTCCCGTAGCCACCGAGGGATTCGGCCAGGACAAAGAGCTAAGGGTAATTTAATTAAAGAAGATTTTTTAGTATTATATAATATTCCAACCAAAAAGATACGTCTCTACAGCTCTAAAAGCTCAAAAAAAAGTCTCACCTTGACACTGGACAAGAATGTTTTAGCCTCCTCCAATCCTCCTTTGATGTAGAATGATAACATCCCGCTCATCCCTCGGGCCTGCGATTTGTGAATCTTGTATTGCGGATGGGATGACAATTCTGGATAGAGCACTTTCTCCACTCGACTGTCCTTTTCCAGCCATTGGGCGATGGCCAAACCGTTCTCAAAATGAGTTTTCATCCGCAAGTGTAAGGTTTTCACTCCACGGTTCACCAAGAAACAGTCAAAAGGACTGGGAATAGCGCCAACAGCGAGCTGCATGAAGAAGAGATGCTTCTCGATGTCTTCGCGGTTAGTGAGCGCCGCTCCCATGATGACATCGCTGTGGCCATTGATGTATTTGCTCAAGGAGTGGATCACAACGTCAACGCCGAAAGACAAGGGGCGCTAAAAAGAGAAGAAATATACAGTGGGGGACCTGATCCAGTGGCAAGAAACGGACCATTTTGCATCCAGGAAGCACCCAAAAAATGTGGCAAAATACCTCAGTTTCCGAGTGAAAAAAACCCAAATTTCAAAAGCGCGTCCACTCTTTTTGTGAAGAAAAATGGCGCGCTCTTCAAAACGAAGTTTTTTCTCTTGGAAAGGGAGGTATTTTGCCACATTTTTGATACTTCCCGGATGTAAAATGGTACGTTTTTGCCACTGGATCAGGTCCGTTACTGTACATTTGAAACGGTTAAAAATATTACAATGGTTGCTAAACCGACGAAGGTTTTTCAAAGGCTGATTCCATGCAATGATCCTGTGGCAAAAAACGTTCCATTCTGCATACGGGAAGTACCAAAAAAATGTAGCAAAATGCCTCTCTCTCCAACTGAAATAAAACTTAGCTTTGAACGACGCGCCCTTTCCCTCACAAAAACAGCAAGCGCCCTTCAAAACGGAGTTTTTTCACTTTTGTTTGCCATATTTTTGATACTTCCCGGATACAAAACGGTACGTTTTTTGCCACTGGACCCGGTCCCCCACTGCACGCCACGAAAAAAGTGGAAATAGAGAAATTCGCGGGAAAATGTTTTCGACATTTCATACGCTGAAACCTTTACAAATAAATAACAAAAATGATTCCAAAATTCTAATAAACAACAATTTACGTGTGAAACCGGCGAGAAAGCATCGAAAGGCATCAAGGAGGTGCACCCCGAACTTCTCAGATTGATCGAAGAAGAGAAAGGAATTATATTGTACTAGGCAAAATTGGATCAAAATCGATGAATCTGACCGAATTCGAGCTCTTCCGAGGTTTACAAGAGTAGCAGGGCTTTGATCCTGCTACAACAGACCACTACTAAGTTGAAATTCATCAAATCTTCTTTATTTCCACCTAAACATCAAACCAATAAGAATAATTAAAATTACATAAGTTTTCGACAATCCATCGAATTTGTCGGATACAATCTGAACTCGGAATTCAATCTCCACACCCATTGGTACATTATGCTGGCTTTCACATTCTACTTCAACATGGACCGGCTGAAATATCAATTATATTATTTTAGGTATTACCAGAGAAAATTATTGGCTCAATGGCCTAAAAACAAAAAATCAAAAAGGCAACGTCACAAACTTAACTTGAAATGTTCTAAACGTCGTCTGCTTCCTGTGATCCAGCTTTGCTCACGCCTTCTCCAGTCCTTTCTTGCGTTTCTCCGTCAGTTCCTGCAAAATGATACAATAATGAACCGACAAGTGCCCTTTTTCGACTATAAAATTTCCCGATTTCTTCTTTACAACGTCCGCTAGGATGTCTCACACAACACCACATGGCGATTCATCCCTAAACTGGGCACAAAAAGAGAAATCTTACATTTTCTGAAGACACTTATAGCTGGTAAATCAATGTTGGGGTCAGAGCGCGATGTGCCGGGCTCCGTGGACTCATCCCTACATTCAACGGGACCTTCCTGAAGTTCTCAGCTAGCTTTTCGTAGTTTTGCTTCTTCTGGTTCCGCTGTTCTCGCCATTTCTCCAGTCCTTTCTTGCGTTTCTCCATCGCCCCTGCAAAATTATGCAATAATGAACTCACAAGTGCCCTTTTTCGACTATAGAATTTCCCGATTTCTTCTTTCCAACGTCCGCTAGGATGTCTCACACAACACCACATGGCGATTAATCTATAAACTGGGCACAAAAAGAGAAATCTTACATTTTCTGAAGACACTTCCATACCTGGTAAATCAATGTTGGGGTCAGAGCGCGATGTGCCGGGCTCCATGGACTCATCCATTATACTCAACACTTGAAACTCAAAGCAACGTAATTTTAAAGATAATATACATCCCGAAATTCTTCCAAATTCCAGAGTTACAATACTATCTAACACAATATTCATTCCATCAAAAAAATCAAGAAATATTGGGCGCAGCTCGAAATCTCTATTTCCAATTTTGCCTTACGTTTTTCGTGGCGTGCCCACTGTATTTACAATCGAAAGACTAGAGAAATTTGCTGCTTAAAACTGGAAAGCTCACCTGGAAATACGGTGTCATAAACGTGTTGTCAACCACGATTAGGATGTCTCTGTTGTATTCACGAACAGTTTTGGTGATCAGCTGAATATCAACGACTTTCAGAAGGGGATTTGACGGAGTTTCGAACCAAACCATCCTGGTCTCGGGCTTCAAAGCGGTCTGCAGAGCTTCGACGTTTGTTAAGTCAACCAAATCAATGGAAAGTCCGTGATTCGCAACCGAAACCTTGCGGAAAAATCTTTGAGTACCTAGGAATGTCAAGTAGAAAATAAATTTATTGTATCTTTATTGTATCTGTCCATAATGGGCAAAAATTAAGTGTAAGAACGTTACTAGAGCCGTGAGAAGATCACTAAACAAACCTCCATAGCCATCATCGCCGCAAACAATGTGTTCTCCGGCCTTTAACAAGTTGGTAATCGCGGAAGTGGCGGCCAATCCGCTGCTGAAAACGCGGCAGTATTTGGCCTCCTCCAGCGCGGCCAAGTTCTTCTCCAACGCATCTCTGGTCGGATTCCCGGCTCTTCCATAGTCGTAGACCTTCGGTTCTCCGGGAGCCTGTTGTTTGTAGGTGGTGGAGACAGAGATGGGTGGAACAACCTAGAAAACATGAAGTCTTAGCTTTAGTAAGCCCTCATTTAGGTATATATATGGAAAATTTCACTGGATTGGGGAAGTGATGCAATCGACTAATTGAAAGTAATGGAAGAATTTCGCCAAAATAGAGGTATTTAGAACCAAGAAAATGAAGGTAAAGAAAGCAAGGTTACCTGTAGCATTTCGTATTTCTCCGGTTTATGACCTCCATGAACTGCAGTGGTGCCAAACCCAGGGAAAGGATGGCTGGACATGACCGGATGATACCAATTACCAGAGGATACCCTGAAAATAACAAAAGAAGATTGACTGTTCAAAAGGAGCGAATGGTCGACATGAGCAAGCAGACGAAATTCAGGCGAGACCAGAACCATTACCGTCTATCTTCATGATCTAACCCATCCTCCTGCTGCAAAAGATGACATAATTTCTTGGTCTTGACAGCTGTTTTTGCACTGCTCAGCTCCTCCTTCTAAATGGAGTTTGTAGTGATCAAATGGATGATCAATTAACAATAGCAGAGTATACTTGTTTATTTGTCATCCTTTTTATCGTTATAATCAACAATTTCTACCGTAATCAAGTCCAAGCGGACAGATTCTCCAGAAATGCCAAATAACTAGTGTTTTTGAGATGCTGAATGATAATGCTGCTCATATGGTGTTCTTTGATCGTGCTGATATGATCCATTGTCTCTCCGGTTTCACCATGATAAATTCTGTTTTAAGCTTGTGGATGAGCAATTGTGAAACTTGGCTGACATTCCAGTACCGGCAGCGGAGCCATTCGACGATCAATTTGTTCTTTTATTCAGTCATTCATTTCTGGAAAATTTCTGTGGAATACGAACTGTGAAAGCAAATTTTATTATTCTTATAATCTCTGACAAAATTTGATAAGGTCTATTAATTGCGAGTACATCTTGTTATCAGCAAAAAGATTGCATATTTTCGCAACTCTCATTCAGAACACAATATGTAGGCATCGTGATAAGGACGGTATAAAAGCTCAAGAACTTGATGAAAAGATATCAATCATGTCTATCTTGCTATTGTCTCTTCTTCTAGGCTTTGTGGCCAGAGCTTTTATAATTACCGATCTGCTTCGGCCACGCATCCAAGGATTAAGTCCCGGGGAGGAAATAGTGGTCGAATTGCAATTGCATGGAGCGGTTAATATTGCTTTTCTCGGAAATTCTACAGCAGTCAGCTATACGTCGAGTGCTATACTTTTGCATTTGACCATCAACCTCTCAGGAAACGTCTCGTTGAGAATTGGAAGTAAGCATGTATAAACGTTTTATCAAGATGACGGCACGAATCCAACTTTTTTCCATAATTTTGGAATGGGGCTAAATTACTGAAACTTTATCCAAATATGTCAAATCTTCCCTTGAACGAAATCTTGAGAGCCAGGTTACGAAATTGTGCAGTATTGTGAAATTTTGTTTTTGTTTACGTTTTTTATGGACTTTGGACTCTACGCCTCTCGAAAACGACATTATATATTTGTTAGACAACCTAATAGAAATATCCCCGATTTGTCATTTATTTTTTCATATCGCCGACCAATGTGTAATAAATATTATATTCTAGTCAACGAAAAGACCGATGTGCTTCCAATTGGGCGGAGCGTGGAAGTAAAATTGAGACATTGGCATGACAAAAAGTTCTACATTCTTATCGACGGGAATCTCTTCTACGAAGGGCCGGGCGGGTTCGCTAGTGTTGTCAGGTACACCCGCATTTTTGGTTCGTTGGCTGTTACAAACTTCCTGTCCGAATCTCGACTACAAATCAAGGACAGTATTGCGCATATTGGATTGCAGCTGGGTACGTCTCAAGCATGAATTCACAAACCTATACTTACTTAGGCGAGACTCTAAACCTCGGATTCGACGCCAAATATCCGCATTTGGCTCTACTAGATGACTCTGACAACCAAAACTTGTACCTTTATACTGACAGCAGCTACGTCCGGGCTTACAAAAATGTTGATGGCACCTACTACGGCGACAATCACATATACAACGACCGAGAAAATGGGGTTATTGTGGAACTGTCGAACAGGCCGGAGGGAATCGATGTGGCTGTAAATGATAAAAAAATTGTTCTATTTCGACATCTTCCGAGTATCGCCAACGAAGCCTACACCAGGCTCTATATCGATCCAAAATACTTGCCAAACTTGAAGAACATTACAATTACAAAAAGTTGATTTTAAAAATGACAATTTTTCGGGTTGTAAGGTTTTGACAGAATTTTTGAAAATAAATCTTATTTCAAACCAGCCAAATCTTTGAATGAACAGCCAAGTAAAAAGGTAATATTTGAAATTTGTTATACAATAGATTTTCATAAATAGGCAAATCATGAACCTCATGACTGTCTAAAAGGCAGTAAATTTATCTGGCAAAGGATCTGTAACGCTCGGATTTTCGTTTATATTTTGCATGCCGTTTGCACTCAGACTAATAATTTCTATACATGGTGGGCCACTCGAAGCTTCCGTCCTTTTTTTTAGATTTCTCCGCGGAGACTCCGCCCATTTTCATGAAATTTAGATTTGTCTGGAGCTGAAATTCGCCGTTTTCAAATTGATTCGTGCAAGTTCGTGCTGCAAGAGGTGGGCATGTTGAACGCAGATAGAAATATTAATAATCAAATTGTCAAATAAATTTGTTTTTACAGGTAAAACGCAGAAGATTTCACCCTGGAGCCCGAAAAAATGATCAAGTTTTCAAAATCATTCCAAAAATTTTCTAAGTTTTAGCGGTTTCTGTTGGAAAATAATTTTCAAAAACTTTGGGAAGGCATAGAAAGGTCAACTCAGAATATCTTTTCCTAAAATTCAGTGGGTTGAAAATGGCGAATCTCAGCTCCAGAGAAATCTAAATTTCATGAAAATCGGCGGAGTCTCCGCAGAGAAATCTAAAAAAAAGAGGACGGAAGCTTTGAGTGGCCCACCCTCTCCGGTGGGCCACTGCACCTCCCACAGCCTCTCCATAAGTACTGTATATGCGGTCTTATCTCTCATAGCCATCAACCGGACCCGCAGCCTTCAATCAAAACTTCAAGGGATGATATTTTTAGGTGGGGCTACATCTGATGCAATACATTGGAAGTTGTAAACACAAGACGGAGTCTAGAAATTCGATGTTGCCTCTTATCAGCGAAAAGTTGCTTTACAAGAAAGCCTTTCTACGAAAACATTTTGTGCAAAAGTCAGATAAACGGATTAGACTAGTCAGAAGTTCTTCCATAACTTTGGCTGGAACTCAGTTTGAATGAGACAAACATTGGAGTCGCAAACAAAAAGAAACCAGTGAACTAATAGTGGTGGGTACTGTAGATTGCAAAGGAGCGTAAGAGAATGCAAAGTGAAAGTATTTATTGTACAATATATTGAAAAGAAGCAAAAAACTTACATGTTATGAAAAGGTTTCGTTGCACAAAGGTTTTTTTTTGACTTTTGATTGGTTTTTTGGGAGCACTGAAGTTGATTGTCATCAACAGATTTCGTTGTACGCGCATTTGTTTTACAGACGTCTATTTATCACCATCAAAAGCTCTGTTATTCTTATGTAGTCCCGCAGCAAAAACAATCCATATTTGAGCACAATAATACAGAAACTCGGACTTTAATACTTAACCATCTAAAAATAAAATCTTAACAGGACTCGTACATGTGTTATCAATTTTCTGTTCCTGATGTTCGCAGAAGAGATTAACTATTAAGCAACTTTTTTTCCGATAAGGAATAACGCTAAGCTATTGGACTGCACCCAGTGTTTACTCCCGGCTAAGCCGAGGAGAAGATCCGGGTATAGCCACGCCCAAAGAAAATATCATCCTCTAAACTTTCTGATTAGTACTGGAAACCCGGATGGAAACTTTGGTATAAAAACTGGCTGTCGCTTTAGAGACAGCATCACAACTTGTGTTATTCCAAGATGCTTCACCTTGCAGTGCTCCTTTCGTTGGGATGTTTAGCCAGCGGAGGCGTCATCAACACGCTGGATGTCAACGATTTTCACCGCTCCAGAGTTCAAGGCCTAAATCCTGGAGAGGAACTTCAAATTGAGCTGCAATTGCACCCCGATGCGGAAATTCTCCTCCGTGGAAATGCGACTGCAGCCGCCTACAAAGACAGCGCTTTACTGCTCAATTTGACTATCAACCGGAATGAAGGGGCGACCCTAGCTATTGGGGGTAAGCGCCATTGACAGTAGCCTAGTCTGTTTGTAGATACGGTAAGAAAAACAGAATTGCTGCTCCTTGAGGAGAAAGTCGAGGTAAGATTGAGCCGAAAGCAGGGCGATACATTTCGTATCATAATTGACGGCAATACGTTCTACGAAGGATCAGCCGATTTTGCCAGTTTAACGAGATACGTGCACGTACACGGCGATGTACTTGTCACTCGCTTCAGCGCGCAAGAAGCGACAAGATTAGCAGTCGTTAATAATGTCGCTAAGATCGACTTGGATGTAGGTAAGGAACCGAAGAAAATTAAGGCTGTCTGGGAAGAAAATCTTCTGTGAATTGCTTGTGTTTTCTGCTAAAGATGAGAGATAAAATACTGTCATTTATTATGTTACAGGCGATGTTTTGTCCCTCGGCTTCAGCAGTACTTACGTGCGTTTGGCTCTGCTCGATAATCGGGACAACCAGAACCTCTATCTGTCTACCGGCAGTTATTTCAACCTTTACAAAAATGCAGGAAAAGAATACACGGATCATGAGTATTTTTCCTATACACCCCAGTCTGGCAGCACAGCGGTAATCTTCGCGAATAAACCACAAGGCCTTCAAGTTTTTGTCAACAGAGCGGGTTACTTATGGAAGCACAATTACAATGCGGCTAGTACGGCTTACCAGCGACTTTACATTGATCCGGCGTACTTACCCTACTTCCAGAACAACTCTATTACAAGAAAACCAAAGCCATAACTTAATGATTTGTTGGATCCCTTTGATAACTAATAATATATGTAGTCAATGTAATAGAAATAAAAAAGTGCCTTTGTTTTGCAAAAGCTTCATCAAAATTTGTTGTGCAATACTAAAAGAATAAAAAACAATAGCAGAATTTATTTGTTCCGCATGTTCTGAGTCTGTCAACGAATCCTGTACTAAGCCTTGTATTGGTCCAGTATACGTGGCAAACTTGAAAAAACATTACGATGACAAGAAATTGATTTGCAAGATAACGATTTTAAATTCTTCAAGTTATCAGTTTTGACAGCATTTTTTGAAGATAAATCTTATTTCGGTTAAAGTTTTGTATAAACAGCCAATCAGAAACCAGATAAACTTCAAGGTTCAGCGCTCTTGTTTTCTGTAAATTCCATGCACATTGCGCACATTTCAATTACTGACCGAAAACCTGTCTTCTGTTTGGTGTTGAAGAGTTCTTCACAAATCAAAACCATTTTTTCTTACCAACAAAAACATTAAAAATCGTTGGGCTTTGAAACTTGTTTACTAACTGATAAGCTACATCATGGTGTGGCCACACCTAGAAAAATCATCCGTTAAACTTCTTGATACAGTTATTAAAAACGGAGAACTCGGACAGTACTATTAATAATGTATTGGTTGGCAACTAAGTTATTGAAATTTTTTTTGCATTATTCCACAGACGTTCTTGAGTCAGTAGGGCTAGTATCACACCATCCCACTTGTAGTAGGGTTAGAGTACTATCAAACCTAGAGGCATCGAACTCGCAGCTCGCGTGTTGGTGTAGTACCTTGAATTTGAATAAGGGCAATTTTGAGTGGTCATTTTGCAGTGCCATGCAATGCGTTTAGAACTCGAATGACATAACGCTAATGTACAACGTTTACAACGTCAGGACACCTTCAACAGTCTTGTGATAACATTTTGTCCCAAAAGGATCAATAGAAATTATTACGAGTTCGCTTAAAATTAGGCGGTAGGCTGTCTTTCAAGGTGTTGCACGAGACGCTAAAGAAGGCAGCGCGGTTAACTCTTCGGGTAGTGACAGAGCTATTCACTACGAACCAAATAGTAGCATAAACCGTGTTCCTTCTTGGAGCATGACATAAAGTCGCGACCGAATTTATCTTCATGACCTGCCTAGTGGCTCCCAAAAAGTTAACCGAGTAGTTGCTATTTTTTTCCAAGACCTTTGTGCCGCTGAAAATTATAGGGCCCTGAAAAGGGACGTCTATTCTCTTTGTTGAAAACCCGTACAGGAGCCAGCGAGCTTAGGCGCGGTATTCTGAAGTTAAGGCCGAACAGACCCTTCATACTCGATGACAGTATTTTTTATGATTTTATCCAATTTTTTAAGGACTATGCTCTCGGGAAATTTACCTGCACAGAGTATCACTCCTCCGAATATGTTTGCATGAGAGATAGAAAAGATTCGGGCAGCGAGCAAAACGAAATCTAGAATATCCACTTACGTCGGGATGCCTGTTTGGCCCGATAGAAATAATGATCATAGGAACTTGTCAAACAGTCCAAATAGACTTGGCTTTCTTAAGTGTTGTGAAGTACTAATGTTACTCTCTGTGGCGTATATCACACCCATTTGACTGCGCACGATCTAAGTTATAAAAACTTCAGTATAAAAGAACATCTAGAAACCGGCTTCATGAAATCTTCTAAGCCTAAACTCCCTGGTTCCTCTGTTGGTGGCGCCACTGCACATTCAGATGACAAGGCTTGTATTGTAGTTACTAATAGTGGGTACTATAGTTGTTGACTGTCAAGCCTTTAAAGATTGTGGCAGAAAGAAAAGCAGTCAAAAATTTCAATAACTTAGTTGCCAACCTAATATGTATAAAAACTAAAAAGTTTTGCTTATGGTATCATACGGTTTTTCAATGTGCTTTTTTTAGATGGTCTAAATTTATTGTTTCTTCTAGCCGGATTGTAAGATCAGCAGCAAGCCAATCAAACCGCTATATACTCCCGGACATAAATTTCTGACCACCCATATCTCGAGTGAATATAACGCAATCATTTTGAAGCTTGGCATGTGTACTAGTCATGACAACAGGCAGAATCTGCCGCATAAAACTATTTTTCGTGTCTCTGTCCTTAGGCGAGTTATGCAGATTTTCCAAAAATTGGTGGACAAAGCTTTACATGTCATCGTGTTGAAGCTCAGGAAAATTATAAATATCTTTTTTATTTCTTCATTGACTTTTGTTCTCAAAACGGTCCAACAAATGATTAAGTTATGGCTTTGGTTTTCTTGTAATAGAGCTGTTCTGGAAGTAGGGTAAATACGCCGGATCAATGTAAAGTCGCCGGTAAGCTGTGCCAGCCGCATTGTAATCGTGCTTCCATAAGTGACCAGCTCCGTTGACAAAAACTTGAAGGCCTTGCGGCTTGTTCGCGAAGATTACGGTTGTGCTGCCAGATTGGGATGTAAATGAAAATCCTTCCAAATCCGTGTATTCTTTTCCTGTATTTTTGTGAAGTCTGGCGTAGCCATTGCTGTGGGTCCACAGATAGAGGTTCTGATTGTCCCGGTTATCGAGCAGAGCCAACCGCACGTAAGTGCTGCTGAAGCCGAGGGACAAAACATCGCCTGTAACATAATAAATGACAGTATTTTATCTCTCATCTTTAGCAGAAAACACAAGCAATTCACGGAAGATTTTCTTCCCAGACAGCCCTAATTTTCTTTGGTTCCTTACCTACGTCCAAGTCGATCTTAGCTACATTATTAACGACTGCTAATCTTGTCGCTTCCTGCGCGTTGAACCGAGTGACAAGCACATCGCCGTGTACGTGCACGTATCTCGTTAAATTGGCAAAATCGGCTGATCCTTCGTAGAACGTATTGCCGTCAATTATGATACGAAATGTATCGCCCTGCTTTCGGCTCAATCTTACCTCGACTTTCTCCTCAAGGAGCAGCAATTCTGTTTTGCTTACCGTATCTACAAACAGACTAGGCTACTGTCAATGGCGCTTACCCCCAATAGCTAGGGTCGCCCTAGCTATTGGGGGCTTTTTTATGCAAGTTTCCATCCGGGTTTGCAGTACTAAACGGAAAGTTTAGAGGATGATATTTTTGGGCGTGGCAGTACCCGGATCTTCTCCTCGGCTTAGCCGGAAGAAAACAGTGGGTCCAATATGTTAGCGTTCCGTTTTATCAGAAAAAAGTTCCTTTGCACGTAGATAAGCCTTTCGGCGAACATCGGGAACAAAAAACAGAAAACATGTAAAAAGTTCCGTGAAAATTTTGTTATTAGATGACTCAAGATTAAAGGGAAATAAACAATTATTAGAAGGCATGTAAAAAATGTCACCCTCAACATTCAGGGGCGCTTTAAAAAAATCAGAAAAACGAGGAACTCGAAAGCTCCCAACATTTCACGCTCATATTTTTTTTGAATTTCATGTACGCATATGGCTCTTCCTGACCTAAACGCTGGGGATCATCTGTTAAAACACGAAGTGTTCTTCCCAATTTCACAAGACTCATACTTCTGATAAGCTTTCGTGACAAAGAAAATTTATTGAATTGTCATTGAATTGTTGCGCTCCTCCCTCCCTACCACTTGCTTAAGGGCTGATAAGCTATCAATTATATCCTGGTGTTGACACACCTAGAATAAGCATACTTACAACTTCATGATTAAGTTAAGAGCTCCGCAACTTGTTTACGGGCTGATGAGCTATCAATGACGTACATCCTGGTGTTAGCACATCTAATAGAAAAAGCATCCGTTAAACTTCCTGATTAAGTTCCTGGTTAAATCTGGAGAACCGGATACTCAGGGACGTATATAAACAAAAGAAGTTTTGATTGTGGTATCAACAAAATTTTCAGAGTGCTTCTTTAAGATGTTCCAAGTTTTATTGTTCCTTCTGGCCGGAGTCTCGGCTAGCAGCGAACCCATCAAGCCGTTGGGCGTCCTTGACTTTCGTCGGGCCAGAATTCAAGGTCTCAATCCAGGAGAAGAATTCCAAATCGAATTGACGCTTAAAAATCAGGCTGAAATTGTTCTTCGTGGAAGAACCACAGAAGAGTCGTTCGATGACAGTGCCTTGTTGTTAAACCTGACCATAAAATTAAGTGAAGGAGCAACACTCAGGATAGGCGGTGAGAGAATTAACTGAGGGCACGGCCAACGTTTATTATAGGCATCGTCAAGACAAAAGCCCTACCAATACGGGATCATGTCAGCATCAAACTCAGTTACAAAGACGGCCGGAACTTCAGCGTCATAATTGATGACAACACGTTCTATGAAGGACCAGGTGGCTTTGCAGTTGATACACGATACATCGGAATTCATGGCGATGCGTTGGTGACAAAGCTTGATGTGGAAGAATCAAATACGATAAAGATCATTAACAACGTTGCAACTATCAGCCTAAAGGAAGGTAGGAGTTTCAACAACGTCTTCTGCATTTAGCACTTAGCATCTATTGAGAAATTCTGTGAAAAATTTTTTTATACAAGAGGTAGTAAACGAATATCATGTACTAATATCTTTTTAGGAGACTCTTTGACACTTGAATTCCGCAAATCGTAAGTGGGCTATTAGAGAAGGGGACTAATGGGGGGAAAGACGCTTTAGCAATCTCGGAAATATTCTGTTAAATAATACTCCAGTGAAAAGTGCGCACATCAAATTCCATACAAAAAATCGTAGATAATGGAGAATTTAAGCCTACCATGCATATAGGACTATCAAAAAATTAAATTTTTGAGCAATTCTTAAGTATATATACAGGTACATGTACAACGCGTTTGGTTATGCGCAACATCGATGTTTACGGTCTAAAAATTGAGCAGTTGGGCTAGTCACCTTTTTGGGCCATTGTCCCAATGGTCTTTTCCCCACTAGTCCCCCTCTCTAATCGTCTTTTTCCTCAACAGTCCGCCGTATATCCGCTTGGCACTGCTGGATCAGTATGACAACCAGAACCTGTATATGTTTACTGGTAACCCTTACATTTGGATCAACCGGAATACCGGCGAAGGACACGTTCCGAAGCCTTCTCTGTCATTTAGTTACAAATACAATTCAGCCGGTGTAATCCTAGTCTTCAAGAACACGCTTCAAGGCCTTGAGCTTTACGCCAACGGGGGTTTTGTAACATTATGGAAACACGACGAAAGCGCAACTAATCGAGCATATGATCGACTCTATATTGACCCAAATCATTTGGGATACTTAAAAAGCAGCTCCATTTCCAGGAAGAAATAGAAAGAAACTTAATTTTTATACTTTATTTAATACACCCTGAAAACATTGCAAATTTGAAAATAAAACAAAAATATAATGTGAACAGTAAGACTTGGTATTGAAACGTACATAACAATGCATTGCGAATAAAGATACGGTAACTCCCTGGAACTCTGTGGGCCCCACCTGGAAAACAAAGGTTTGGCATTATGCAACAATCGAAGGAAATCGACCAGGGGTGGCCACCGGGCCGGGCCGGCCCGGCCCGGCGAAGCCCGGCCCGATCGGGCCTAAACGGGCCGGGCCTGGCAAATTTTGAAACGGGCCGGGCCGGGCCTGCTTTTTACCGGGCCGGGCCGCGGGCCTGAGCCATTTTCAGGCCCGGCCCGGCCCGGTTTTGGCGAAATGCCAAGCGTTTGGCATTCAATGTTTTCGCGCCGGAAAAATTTTTGGATAGGTTTGTATTTTTAGTATATCAAGTTCTACAATAGTTTATTACTTTATAGTACTTTTTTGCATATATGTTATAATATAAGGTCCAAATTAGAACATATAATACATATAGGATAGTTCTTAGCAGATTTTAGCACACTACAGAGGCGGTAAGATCAAAGGAAAATTTCCAGCTCGCGCCCTAACCGGGCTTTTACCGGGCCGGGCCGGGCCTGATTTCTACCGGGCCGGGCCGGGCCTGCAAAATTTTGAACCGGGCCGGGCCGGGCCTGGGATTTTGCCGGGCCGGGCCCCGGGCCTGAAATTTGGAAAAAGAGGCCCGTTTGCCACCCCTGAAATCGACCAAAAGAGCTCTTGGATTTACCGAACCAGTTTCCTCACAATCTAAAGAATAGTTTACACTAATTATGCTCTTTTTTACAACGAATTTTACTCAGGAAAAAAGGGAATTTTAGAATTTTTTTATTTTCGTTTGATTTTTAACATGGATAATGTCGTAATAGCTCTAAAAAGGTAGTCTTTTGTGTTGATGTTTATGTTTTAGCTGTTAATTAACCATGAGCATGTATTTACCGGAGAGTTTTCTTGTTTTGAATTTTTTCACGATCTGCTCAGAGTTTTATTTCTTTATTACCTAAATTTGCATTTTCAGGTCGTAACTCTGCGAATTGCACTCGACAAATGTAAAATTGCGGTTTACTGGTCTCATACAGCATATACATTGCAATTCTTCTTCGTTCGTCATGAATAGGCAGGAGAACCGTCGCAAAAATGATTTTCCTCCTGGCATTCCACTCTCCAAACAAGCCGAGCCCGGAATTGGTAGACTGCTCGACGAATTGGGCATCGAAGTCACCGAGGAGAGTCTGAACGCATTGTCAAAGCTGGCTACACAACTGGTTGTTGGAATTCTCGACGAAGGGCGCAGCTTGGCCGAGCATTGCGATCACATGGGAGTTGGTGATGATGAAATAGAAGCTGTCTGTGCTGAGATCGGTGAGTCGTTTTATTGCTTGTTTTTTTTCAATTTAGGCTCTCTCTGGGTTATCCTAAAAGGTCGCTGGTAAAACATCGATTGAAAAAACCTTGTTTTATTGGTTTGGTCGATATTATGGTAGGGTAGAGGACCACTTGACCTATTGTTTATTTGAGTGATGTTTTTCGCAATACCTGATATTATAGAAACTTGAGCAAGAGTAGACGCAATAATAACAGACGTTTGCGCATTTATCGATCTTTTATTTTAGTTTCATTATGTTATATTAGACTTGACCGGAAAATTTTGCTACTTAAAAATAACATTATCTGGTTTTAGATCGCCACTTTGAATCCGAAGAGAGCCCCGATATCGAATTGTTGACGAAGAAAGTCAACTCGGTTCCTCTTCCTGGTCCAGCGAAGCCTTACGGATACGCCATTCATCCTCGAGATTCCCTCATGCACCCGGAATTCGATGTAGTCGAGAACGTGGAGCGCGAAGAGCCAGAGCCTCCGAAAAGCCGCAAAGTTCCTGCGCGCGGCCCCACTCAACCGGGCAAGCGACTTCTTTACAATTCGGAGAATATGGATCTTCCACCGGCCAAAGCCCCAAGAAATGCGCCCAAATCCAAGAAGGAGAACAAGCCGCAGAAGCCGGAGGACCCCCAAAAGGTGTCCTTCCAGAATGCCACCACGATCAAAGTAAACATCTTGTAACTAACCTTTATCAATACGTCTAACCCTTCATTTCTCCAAACATTGTTTTAGTTGGTTGTCCATAACACCTCATCCTGCCCTAATTCCCCAGATATTGTGGCTCAAAAGGTTTTCAAATTTAGTCCTACGAAGCCTAAAGCCGAGTGATCTCGTTTTTTCTTTGAGCTGTTATTGTTTTATTTGCGGGTTTGGGGTTTTATGTTGTTGTACATGCCAAGAAAATAAATTGTTATATTTTTTGAATCAGAGTGGATTTTCTACTGTTAACAGGTGAATTCGACTTGATGTTGCTCTGTGGTGAGCTACATTTATTTATGAAGAGAAACGGCTCTTTTTTTTATCAATTTTTTATATTGTACTTGACGATTTCAATTTTTTTTTTGATTTTGTTGGATGTCTCATCTGAAATTGTCCGTTGTAGACGGGTTTTGTCCCTCGGAGTTTCCGCTGTGACTATTTTACCCAAAAATTTATATTTTATGGAGCCCAGGAGGATGAGTCAAGAGAAAAGAACAGAAAATTCGCTTGGCCTCTCGTCGGATTGACTCATGATTCGGCCAAGAAAGGGGCAATATCATGCTTTTTGTCGATCAAAAACGTTTGCTTTGGCCTAATTTTATAGAGTTGCAATTTTGCCAATTAATATTTGTTGTTAGTAGTATGTTTTAACAGGATTTTTTTATGTAATGACATTAATTTCTGTCATCTTCGATGATGTTTTTTGATAATATAATGATAGGGTGGGTTAATAATGTAAATCAAGTGTTGCTCTTGGATTTTGACGCTGCATTGTTGGTGACAAAATCCTGAAATATAATATTTATTGGTTATACTGAAACTGTTTTCAATTGCATATATATTTTTGAATATTGTAATATTATAATATAATACAAGTTTATGTTTTATATATATTTTATATAATATGAGTTTTTGTACAATATATTACTGTATATATACATAATATAATACCTTTGTGACCACATTTATGTTGCATGATTTATGTTGATATTTGTTTTACCGAGTTCTAATGGGCATATATGTATACATATACAAGGGAGAATTTTTTGGCAAGGAAATTACTTTTATGGAAGCTCCTACTTTTAGACTAGAAATACCTCAAAAAGTCCGAAAAATTGTGATGATCAAGAATCTATAAAAATTTGCTGCCCAATTTTGGGTTTAAGGATCGAAAACGATCAAAAAACTGGCTAAATTTGTCGACCGAGGGTGTAGACATTGCAAAAAGTTTTAAGCGAAAATAAAATTTTTAAACCTGTGAAAGATTGGGCGGAAAGGGATTTATGTAGGATTTTAAAGTCATCTTCCGAATGATTTTTCACCCCTAAAAACCAAAATTGAGCAGATCATTTTTACATTTCTTTATCATCACAATGTTGTGGATTTTTTGGGATATGTCGAGGAAGGTAGGCGCCCCCATAAAAGTACTTTCATCGACTAATTGTCGTCCTGTAAGTCCAATTAATTGGCGTAATTGTCCGGACATTGTGTTTTAGGTCGGTTGGTTTTGGTTTGGGTGATAGTTCGTAACGGTATTCTGGACTCTTCGGAAGAATTGTGTGTTGTAGGCAGGGTATCCCAAAGTTCCTTGGCAATAAAATTTTCTGCGTTACTTGCTGTGTGTCGTCTTCGAACTGTGTTTGAGCGTTACGTGTAATCTTGAGTGATTGAGGTGACCAACAAAGTAATTTCTTGGTGGGACCTCCAAAATTTCTGGCACGTCCATAATTTTCCTTATTCATCGCGTTGTTCGCGACATGAATTTGGATTATACCAATTAGTGGACTACTAAATTACACCAACGGGCCTTAATGAAGTCTCCTGGAAGTGCGGTTTTTAAATATTAGAACCCTATAAAAAACATTTGTGATAGTCATCATTCATATTCGTGTTTTTCCCAAAATTTGGGCATGATCTGCCTTCGAAAATCTCTGCCTTTGCAGGATTTTTTGTGTTAATTTTATGTTCTTGATCTCTGACAGAGTTTGTTTTTTCTATTTTTACCTCAATGTATCAAATGCGTGAATCTACGGAAATCACTTTTCATTCAACACCTGTTCAAATACGAATTTCTGCACCATTCAGACGAGTCATCGTTTGAACTGAATCCTCCTACTACATTGAGGCACAATTTGTAGGGTTAGGCTGTATTCTGTGCGTGGTCAAACAAACTCAAAATACAATTCTCGGTGTTAAAAATGGTATAAATATGTGGAGATTTTAACAGTCAATATTATCTTCAACGCCTCTTTGGCAATTGGACTCTCGCATATCGAAAATGTTGTGCAAAATTGTGACTCTGGCTCTGTTTTGCGTCGCAGGTGCTCAATTCTTCCCTAGCAAAGACGACTGCAGAGATTTGATGCCAACTTGTGAGAAAACCGCCTTCCAATGTAAGGATCCGCTGATGCGATTGTCAATGGAGACCACGTGCAAGAGGACTTGTGGATTCTGTCAGGAGGTTTGCAAGGATTACAATTTTAAGTAAGGATTTTATAAAGGGTGCTGAAAAAAATAAACGATCGACCTTATTGGTGCCGTAATCGTAATCTTTCAGCTGCAAGCACTACAAACTCAGTGGACTTTGCAACAGCGGTAGCTTCTTTATCCAGAACTCGTGCAGGAAAAGTTGCGGGCTCTGCTCGGACGACAGTAAACCCACAACTCCTTCCAACGACGATCAACCAGATGATCACACTGAACAACCAATCGATGATGAAACTGAAGCTCCCATTGACGATGTGACTGATGGATCCGGTAACGAAGAGGGCGATAACTAAATTCTTTTTTATTATGGCGACAATTGTAATATGGTGACAATAAAAGGGTTTTTTTGTGATAAGCATCGAATCGAGTTCAAGTTTACCCTCTTCTCAACCACTTCAACCGCTACGCCTGCTAGGAAAATTCATTGAGGAAAGAGAAAGTCGGTGACCCTCCGGCCGAAGCCTCAGAAAAGGGTCAACCACTCTACTAGCCCAGGTCATCGAAAGCAAATTCCCACGCTGCGTGCTACAGAAAGTATACAAAGATGCCACAGTCATCCCTAAACGAAAACAAATGCTGGATGCAGTAAAGGATGTCCTCCGCAAGAAGGCAAATATTTGATCGGATGATCTCCGACAACCATGGAGATCAAAAGCGCATCCCAAATCGGCCAAACCCACCCAGCCAACTCTACCAAGTACTCTCCCATTACAACACTGACCAAGAAGCGAAAAAATCGCGACACGCTCGCGATCCAAAAATAGCCAAAATTAATTATTCCAATCAGCCGATCGGATGATTAGTTTTGGCCTACAATTTCCTCCATGTCCCTTAATCACCCTCTCCCGTGACGCCTGGGTAAGCACGAATCATTTACTCCCTGAATCATGCTTAATAAATGTGCTTATGAGGTGTCCTAGGGCCGGGCCCAACTTTCACGAACGACGCGATGAATAAAAAGAAAAAAAGTCATCCCAACCGGCGACTTTCGAAACATGAAATGAGGAAACTGGAGGTGGGACAAAGGAACACTGTTTCCAAAGAAGGCAATATAAAACATTCCACCGTAAAAGCCATGAAATTGATTGAGAAATAATACAAAAAAAGTCAAATATGTTGAGAAATCACCTGAAATTTCAACGTGTTGCAGCTTCTGGAAGACCGGCTTAATTGTATAAAAGGAATTCGAAGGGACGCGCCCCACACCTCCACACCTTTAAGCCAACCCCGAAATCTTTACAATCCATTTTAGTTAACGGTTTGTGGCACCAATTAGTCGTGCTACGACTCCCTTGGCCCAGCCCTAGGACGCGGCGTCTAATCCCACTAATTTGTGCTAACATATAATCCGTAAGCAATCCTGCAATAAACATAGCGAAATCAACGAATCTCCAGTTCAGTTTACCCCTTCAACCACACCCCTATCTTCATAAGGTTGGAGAATAATTCGTAATTGCGGTATTCATCCTTGTCTGCTGAGACAAACGGCATGATGCAGGGCATACTACACTACGTAAATCAAAGAGAACCTCGACCCGACGTGCTTCAACTAGAGCTGCCCGTCAGAAAAGGAGGATCTTGTGAATACTGCGATGGACACCATAACGCGATACTATGCCGAGATATCTCCGTAACGTCAAGAAAGGCCCTCAACGAAAAACTCGATAAAATGCTCACAAACGGCCAAATCAAGAATCTTGAGGGCAACTACGACCCACAGCCAAAAGAACCTAGCGAGTACCAGGATTCTGATGAAGAATACATCTGAACATTCAGCAACCTGCTTATTAAATCCCATAGTCCAAGTTGTCCAGCATAAGGCGGCTCTACAACTTAAGAACGAAAGATTCGAAAGCAGAACGAGGCTGTCTGCGTAGGCCTTCTCCTCAGATAAATAAAGTCCTTGTCGCGACACCCTCGCGATACTAAAAATAGCCAAAATGAATTCTTTCAATCGGCCGATTGGATGATTAATTTTGGCCGGGAAAATTCTTGATTGCCACAGCACTCATCGCCCCTGCCTCTTAATCACCTCTTCCCATGCAAACGCCTGAGTAAGCACGGATCATTCACTCCCTGTCGCCTGCTTAATGATTCCACTTATGAGGTCTCCTAGGGCCGGACCCAACCCCCTTGGCCCAGCTCTAGGACATCCCATCTAATCCCGCCCTTTTTATGCTAACATAAGCCTGAAAAATCCCACAGTAAACATATCGCAAATTGTTGTCAGTGCCGCCGTCGCTCAACACCCCCGTCCAGCTAAAAGGTAGGAGAACAATCAGTTTCTCAAAAGGAGTCGGCAAACCTAGCCGGCCGACTCCAAATTGTCACCGAGCCACCCCCGGCCGTGACATTTTATGGTGACCCCGACGTGATCTAGGTCCACCAAAAGTAGACCTATATCGCGCCTCTGAAACCAACGGCAGCTCCCAAAAAGGGCAGCTCCCTATGGAAGCTCAACTACCGCGAAGACCACGCGCAAATCCCCAGCGCAGAATCCCTGCCCCGCCAAATTAATCCCAACTACTGAACCCAACCCTTACTTGTGTCCCTTGACTTGCCAAAACTTCTACCTGTGCCTATCTGATTTGTACCCCCAGACGGTATCCCCCAAAAAGTCCCCCTGAATCCAAACTATAGACTCTATCCGGAAAAATCCGCCAAGCTACCGGCTTGACAAAAGCCGTCTACAAGATGCCCTCCGATCCTACTACCATATCCAAAAGGAAATTGATCTAAATCCCGCTGAGATCAATGACGAGCAATTTTACAACACCTTCGAAGCTTCCCATGATGTATTTCGAAGACTGTCCAAAAATGTTCAACGGTTGGACGAGCTCCATATCCAATGGCAAAGGATTATCGAAGCCAATCCACCCGAAAAAGCCATCTTTGACAACAACCTTGCCGCTCATGGAGACTTTCGCCCCGGCGTTGAAGAAGGTCGCACTGCAGTTGAACACCTCTGACTCCGTATCGGACTAAAAATGGATTCACCAATGTATTGTTTATTCTGCAGCCAATCTGGACACCCGTGTTGGAATTGCCCTAGATATAAATCGCCGTACTCAAAATTCTACATCCTCCATAAGAATAACGGTTGCTTCAGCTGCTTCAAGAAGGGACACCCATCTTTCGACTGTCCAGAAGGCCGGTGTGAGTTTTGTCGAGGACCGCACAATTCCATATTATGTCGAGAGATACCAGCAACAATCAGAAAGACACTACACAAGAAGCTGGATAAGATGCTACAGAATGGCCAAATCAAATCGCTGGAAGACCATTACGACCCGAGACCTAAGGATCCCAACGAGTACCAGGATGATTCGGAAGAAGAATACATTTAATCTTCAGCTTCAAAATTATTCGCAACTTCAAAATTATTCGCAATGCTAAATGTATTAATTTAAGATGCTTTGGCCTGTTTAGTATAAGCAACAAAGTTAAATGATCTTAATGAGTCCGTTATCACCTTATTAGCGGGGGGAATGTCACGAACAAACGCGATGAATAATAAAATTTCAAAATGAATCTATACATCTATACAGTAAGAAGGGGGCGGGATTGAGAAACCGTATAAGGAAGCGACGCTACAAGCTATTGAACAATTTCAACATCAAAACCGGAACGGTATTACGAAATCAAAAGCAAATTACAAAACACTACAGCTTCTGGAAGCCGGGCCACGGCTATAAAAGGAAACTGCCCCTCCGGAGAGGGACAGTGGGGAAAAACTACAAAGGGAAATTAATATTACATTACGATTTAAGTTGAAATAAATAAAGTTATTAAATCATATCGGAATATTCGCCCTTATATCTTTAAATCAGGTTTCTAGCACGATAGTCGTGCCACCAATTACGCTGACCCGCCGAAGTACGCCGGCCACTTTTGTGAGTCAAGCAAATCCTGCCGTCGAATTAAGCCAACCCGGCTGGATGGACCTCCTTTTCCTTCCAAATGTGTCAATCCCTCGATTTAACGGCAATCCCGGCCGATGGAACGAATTCTGGGATCTGTTCAACGCAATGGTAAATAATCGGAAGTTGGAGCCGTATTTGAAGCTATTTCAACTCCGATCCTGCCTTGAAGGTGAGGCAAAGGCAGCCTCTTCTCACATCGGAAATTCCAACTGACTACGAAATCGCTTGCAAACGCCTGAGTAAGCACGAATCATTCACTCCTTGTCGCATGCTTAATGATTTCTCTTATGAGGTGTCCTTGGGCCGGACCCAACCTCAGGCCAAGCCCTAGGACATCCCATCTAATCCCGCCTATTTATGCTAATATATAAGCCTGAAGCAATCCTACAATAAATATATCGCAAATCTACCCCGTGTTGTTAGTGCCGCCCGTTCCCCAACGCCCCATCCAGATAAAAGGTAGGAGAACAATCAGTTTCTCAAAAGGAGTCGGTAAACCCAGCCGGCTCATCGAGCCACCCTTCGGCCGTGACATTTTGTGGTGACTCCGACGTGATCTAGGTCCACCAGAAGTAGACCTAGATCGCGTCTCTGAAACCAACGGCAGCTCCCAAAAAGGGTTGCTAAAAAAGCAGCTCCCCAAAGGGAAGCTCAACTACCGCGAAGACCACGCGCAAATCCCCAGCGCAGGATCCCTGCTTCGCCAAATTAATCCCAACTAATGACCTTGCCGCCAACCCCTATTGCCATAAGAGATACCTGAAATGACGGCTGGGAATGTCATAATATCTACTACTGAATTCCTCGGTTCCTCACTCACAGGTTCGGACACCGTTCAGCCGGAAGAGTCTCAGGATAAATCCTTCGACGTGTTCCTAAAATCCCCAACACAAACAACAATTCCCAACAATAGATAACACACGCTTTATCACCTCAAACCCGACTACAATAATATAAACGAATATCAATCGGATCTAATATCACTGGTGAATCCTCTGGCCCGAGCGGTCCTCGACTCTTCTCGACCTTTTCCTACGTGCCCATCCAATCAACTGTCCCGATTGTCCCCATAATTCCCATTTCCACGGCTTGCGACGGAATGCCAATGCTGTCAATCTGATCGCTTCGGGACTCGGCGGCGGTCCAAACGCCTCACGGCTGTACTCGCCCCCTCCATAGTCTGACGACGTCCTCGGCGTCACGTCGTTGACCAGCACTCAATCCAAGGTTTCGGCACATGTGGAAGGGTCGGTTCTCGGCTTTCGGAGTTCGGTTCGGCACGGCAAGGCGGGTTCGGCGTGGTTTGGCTGGAAAGAAGGAAAACAAACGGCGAAATCTGAAAATAAAGAAGAGTTAAAGTTAATGAAAGTCCCTAAAATATCCTAAACACCCCAAACTCCCCCCTACACATCTGAAGCCGTCCTCGACTTCAAAAAACAAGTTCCGGGTTTTCAGGATATTTTATGGGATCCCGAAATTCATTTGCAAATAAGGTACGAGCTGATGTTTTACCGGAACAATATAAGTAAACAGAGAATTTACGAATCAAAAATAGAAACACCTTCGAAATCATACAAGACACTACAATAAAAGACGGTATTTCTACACTAAAACAGCAATTTACGATCAAGTTAGCCGCACAAATGATACGAACCTCCGAATATTTAAATTTAGTTCCTTTTCCTTCAATTCGCGATGAATATGACCATTCTATCGAGTTCTTTTTGTCGAAATTATCATTGAACCCGCGATTTTCCTCCAAGAACTTAAACTTGCAGCCTTTAGCAGGGGAAATGACTCCAGAAACATATTATCCTTTAGGCAATTATCGGAAATTTGAATATTTTGATCGACTCTTGGAACAAATTCTGTCGAAAGCTCCTTTCTCTTCTCAAAACCTTCGAAAGTATCTTCCTTCGCGATATCTACACTGATTTTCGAACAGTTGATCTCAAGGTCACTAGCATTAAACCATTTTTCGTATATGGAATCTTCCAAGATCTCCTCAAAACTCGGAATTTTTCCCTTATTCTCGCGCTTCCAACTCATAAACGCAGATTTTGACAACTCCAACGTGTAGTCTGTCTGTGGGTGGACCTTTGAGGATAGGCTCGCAACCACTGGCTCAACGAATAATGTCGCAAGATCCCCGAATTCAAATTCCTCGTTACTTGTACCCAATTTCTCAAGATTTGAGCACGTGACAGATGATTTCTGTTCGGATGTTTCTGTCAGATTCTCAATTTTATTTACCGTGAAGTTTCCGATAACTTTATCCCCAGGATTTTCTTTCGCTTCTTGCTTCACTGCACCATATGAAATGATGTTGCTAGGTGCTCTATTCGCTTTATAACTCACCCGAGCTGCTAATGCCTTCTTTCTCAGCTCTCCCAAATAATCTTTTCGTTTATCGCAATCCTTTATCAAATGTTTTCCTCCATCGCAATACTGACATAGGGGTCGCGCAATAAAACTGTTGCTCTTTTTACCCGGCTCTGGCTTGCGCGAGTTTATTGCAGGCCGGGGCGGTGAAAATCCTGATGTTGATTTGCATTTGGACTGATGTTTCCACCCGTTGATTGAGGAGTCGGCCGATTATTCTGAGTCGGAATGTCCCAAAACCCACTTAGATGCGCTGCAGGAGGATCAATGAAGTCGTTCCCATTGTCGAATGCTTGCTGCTGTTGAGGTCGGCACACGTTTCCTTGGCTATAATCATACACATTAATCGCTATCTTAACCATCTCCTCAAATGGCAAATTTTTATGCTTTTCGGCTGCTAATGCAATTCCAACTTCCTTATGATTTACGCCGCTCAAAAATTTCGCTATCATTTGTCGCTCAAGAATCTCTTTGGGTGCCCCTGCGAATGCGCGCACTGTAAGGTCCATAATCCTATCCGCATAATCACGCATGTGCAAGTCGTGTCTGCGAAAGAAAGGCTTCAAAAATATCGCCGACCAGTCTCTAGTATCGGAGATGCGACTCTTCACTTCGCTTTCAAAATTATCAAAAATCTCTTCAAATTCCCTGTCACCCGCTGCCATTTTGCAATGTTCCCAAATTCTCAATGCTTGATGTGCCAGTTTGGACTCAAGAAGATCCCTCTTTCTCTGATGAAGGAAGATTTCTCGCCCCTACTTTAAATTTATACAGGAAACTGTTGATTTCACTTGCTTTTTCCCTGCCCGTCAAGGTTGGCAACCTCATTTCCAAGAGCATCAGCTCAGCAAAATCAGTTTTAGGTCTCTCTTCAGAACTTGAGGGAGAATTCTCCGTTTTTGGTGGAGCCGCGGTGCCCGAAAATACGCTAATTTTGTCCATCAGCGCCGCCAACGTTTTTCCTAACGCTTCTTGGCGCTGATTTGCTGCCTCATTGCTAGTTTTCAGCTCCTCTCTAAGCGCCTCTATTCCTGCTGCGCCTTCACTCAAATTTTGGTCCCCTTTTGCCATCCCTAAACGTTGCACAACAAATGTGAAAGACTTACCTAATCTGGCTGGTGGTTATTGCTCTGGCTCAGGTGGAGACGTCTATTGGAACTTGGAACGATCAAGCTCGGAACCTGGAACAATCAAGGGTAATATCGGATCAAAATTCTCGAAGAAATTCAAAAGTTTCACGCGAGACAGAAGGTACAACACGTCACGAGCACAATATTGTTTAATAAAAACCCAAAAGCACAACAAAATTCCCTTCCTTCAAAGAATTATAATCACAACTAATTTGATACCTAAAATAAGGTAAAAGCTCAAATTTACCCAAAAATTCCTCAAAATTACGCCGATTTCTCCGGTGTACACCTTCAACACGACCGACTTCAACTCTAAATCGTCGAAGAGTTCGGTAATAATCACTTAGACACTAGACTTTATATTGTACTAGGTCAAGGTGCGAATTTTCCCAAAATTTGAAGGAAATTCGTCCAGAATCGGGGAAGAATAGCTTCACCTCGTTAGATCTATTCCTTTTTTAGATCTACAGCCGTTTTATTGTCCGAATCTTGATGGACTCAACGCTGTTCCGACAGAGTTACCTGAATTTTGAAGGGCTCTGCGGAGCTGGATTTTTCACGAATTTTGAGTGAAAACCCAGCGTCAAATCAACGACCTTATTATTAGGAAGTGATTGACTTTTAGGTCGGCCGCTTTCGCTTATGGCACAGACCTTTTTCCCTCGGAATTACTTAGAGTTCCTTGGGAAATTCTCACGCGAGGTCCACGAACTTTGATGTGGCAACGCCTCCGTGGTCGCCAACTACTGAAATACCCGGTTCCTCGCTCACAGGCTCGGACACCGTTCAGCCGGAAGAGTCTCAGGATAAATCCCTCGACGTGTTCCTAAAATCCTCAACACAACCAACAATTCCCGACAATCAACAATACACGCTTTATCACCTCAAACCCGACTACAATAGTATAAACGAATATCAATCGGATCTAATATCACTGGTGAATCCTCTGGCCCGAGCGGTCCTCGACTCTTCTCGGCCTTCTCCTACGTGTCCATCCAATCCACTGTCCTGATTGTCCCCATAATTCCCATTTCCACGGCTTGCGACGGAATGCCAATGCTGTCAATCTGATCGCTTCGGGACTCGGCGGCGGTCCAAACGCCTCACGGCTGTACTATCTTTTATGAAAGAATACAGTTTGGTATGAACATAAGTGGAGAATGACTGTTTTTAAATGGCTTTTATTATTACAAGTTCCATATAAATACATATGTAAATGCAAGATTTTTAGAAGATGAATCCGTCCTGATGATTTACAGTTTAGCTCGCGTACCGGGCACCACACCTGGCAAAAAGCCGTCCAGCATAAGCTCGTGGTCTGAAAATTAAAATTTGAAGTGAACAAATAAAATTTTAAGCTACCATAATTCAGAAGTAACTACGATTTTAAAGAAATGGTAGAAGAAAGAATCGAAAAAAATTTGCTTACTTGGATCATACGAATATCCGCCAAAGTCTTTGACTCCGTACTCTCGAAGCACGTCATCATCAATGGCAAAGTTTCCGGTGTATTTTTTGCTCTCTTTTGAAAGCATTACGTATGCCGCGTCCGCGCAAATCTCCGGCCTTCTGCTGAGCTTCACATCCTCCGCATCGGAGGCCAAGATGTTTCCGACCGCCGCGGTCCATATCCAGGTCCTCGGCCACAATGCATTGACGGCGATTCCGTCGTCTTTGAACTCGCTGGACATCCCCAGCACACACATACTCATTCCGTATTTGGCCATGGTGTAGGCGACCGAATTGGCGAACCAAACCGGGTCCATAGTCAGCGGAGGACTGAGGTTGAGGATGTGGGGGTGGGAGGACTTTTTGAGGTGTGGGATGCAGTATTTGGAACTGAAATTTTCAGGTGTTAGAAAAGTCATTTTTCGGGATTTTTAAGTAAGACCAATCGAGTTTTTAAACACAATACTAAAAAGAATTTTGAGCAAAATAAAACACTTACAGCATAAAAGTTCCTCTTGTGTTGATGTCATGCATAAGATCGAACCACTTCATGCTGCAACTCTCTGTTCCGGCAACATGAATCGCCGACGCGTTATTGATCAAAATATCAATCCCTCCAAATGTCTTAACAGTGTCAGCAACCGCTTGTTTTACTTGATCTTCGAATCGAATATCGACCACACATGGCAAACATTTTCCACCGGCTTCCTCAACCTCTTTTGCGGCGGTGTAAATCGTCCCAGGCAATTTTGGATGGGGCACGGCGGTCTTTGCGGCTAGCACAATATTGGCGCCATCTGCGGCCAATTTCTTGGCAATCGCTAGGCCAATGCCGCGTGATCCGCCGGAAATGAAAACGGTCTTGTTTTTGAAGAACCTGAAACCATAAAATTGCAAAGTTTGTAATATTTTTGCAGTAAGAATTTATGTTATATGGATTACAACTTTGGCAAAATGATGCCCTTGGAAAAATCCGCGTACCGACTTTTGTGGTCGGCTACAGTGACCCGAACTGTGGCTGACCCGAAAAGTCGTAGCGCCAAAAATTTATAAACGCTTTTAAAATGATCAAAAATAGACGTACGCGTGTGCCTACATTTATGTTTCCAAAGAAGGCAAACAAATTCGAGACGGACGCTACAGATTCATTACCCCAGCTTGAAAAACCAGTATTCGAAGTAAGTTCACACTTCGCATTACAAAAGTCGCACTAGGTTTCAACCCTGCAGGCTTAAACGTATGCAAAATAAAAAAATTTAAGCGTAGAACATGGGAACGTCCCCAACAAACATGATTTTTTATTCATGTTAAGCCATCGTTAAAACTATTGAAAAGTAACTCTTAGACTTACCCAGTATTCCGAACCTGCGAAGCCATCGTATTTCCTTCACTTTCGAAAAAAGCAACACAAATGGATTGAGGCGATGCAAGTGATCAACGGCGTGTTTAGACTACGTCCGTTGTAGTGGGAGTCTCTTATTTATGGAGCTCGAGGGTTAGCTGTTTTCCCATCAGCGAGCCAACTTTGTTCTCTCGGAATTGCAATCTTCTACTTGTAATTAGACCAAAATTTTTAATTTTTTTTTACTGAAATAACGCCAAAATTTACGTATGATAGTATAACAGCTGTAGTAAAATACAAAGAATGAACTTGTATTTTGCTCAACGTCCTTAAATAAAGTTGCCTTTCTCTTGATTGATCGGGTTTGATAAATGTTTTCGATACATTTTTTGAAGTGTAAAGTTTACAAAGCACGCGATGACCTTACAAGGAAGTCTGGGAGACTGAAAAAACATGGGTTCTCAGGAACTTTTTGACCTTATTTGTTCAAGGGAATGACTTAATTGAGGTGGTAGCAAATTCTAAGGATTACTTATCGTTAAAAATTTTGTCTGGGTGGCTAAAAGATTTAATAGCGAAAGTTTGCAGTATAAAATTTGAAGGCTGAAATTTTGTATTTCAAGAAGTAGATTCACAGAAAAGGTCTTCAATTGAGGAGAAGTATATGGTCCATCGACCAAATTTTCTTTACACCTAGTTGTGGCACTTTTTACTCTGAAACCGGTGGACCTAGAACCTTGAAATTTGGCATAGAAACACTCCGACACAATCTTTGTCATCCCGTTTTTTGCCTTTTGCAAATGTGGCAAATGCTTCAAGTGATATGACTTTTGGGGTATGGTGTTCAATTGTCCCGGAGTGTTTGTATGCCAAATTTCAAGGTTCCAGACCCAGCGGTTCCCGCGATAAGAGGTGGGAAGAAAATTTTCTGGCAACTTTGCAAATGAAAATCGTTGGTTAAGACTTTCAAAAATTAATCTTTCTCCCTTCTTGTTTACTTCAAGCAAAAATGCCCCCAATTGAACAATTTTCCTTATTAGAAAATTATTTGCTCGCTTCACGTATTCTTGATCAACTTGCTCTTCAACAAAAAAAAATTTCCAGAAACAATATGAAAAAGTTTATTATCATAGTTCTTATCTATATTACACGGGTTTATCGAATAATTTATGCTGAATTTGGCCGCAGCTGCAACAAGAATTGGAATATCCACGAAAACGTGATGAGATTTCTTTGCTCCATGCATTTACTCTCGAACCGAGTCATTGCCAGGCGAATCCATGGCCGATCCCAGAAACTGGCTGAGGCCGCCGAACTCCCCGGTCCCTCCCAGAATTCCACTCAACGCATTTCCCTCCGTTTTTTCGTTTTTATGCCCAAAAATGGAGTCCATCCAATTGATTTTCTCGAACTTGCCCGTCAACAAAGAGCCCAACAGATTGTCGGCCGGATTTGCTGTGGTCGAAGACTCTGTGGTGGGTTCGGCTTTGGGGGCTTCAGTTGTGTCGAAGTGATGTGAAAGGTCGATGAATTCGTGAGAGCCATTCTCATCTACGGAGTTCTCGTTGGATTGCGAAGGCACCATCACTTCGTCAATGGCAACGTGGGATGGAAGAGGGTCCATGTCCTGGAATTGGAGATAAAGCGAGTTGTAAAGGAATGAAGCTGCAGCGAAAAAGGGGGATAGACTAAATTTCGTGCAGGCCTAGCGTCTAAACCATTTACAATTTCCTAAAATTTCTGCTCGCATCTTGCAGGAGCAGCCGAGATATTCAACAATCTTGAAGGCGAGAAAATACGGGAAATCGAGAGAACGGACAGAGAAAGAACCCCGTTTTGGTCACTAGCTTTGCTTGCAAAAAGTTTTTTTATAAAACCATTACTTTCTCCAGCAAAGAAATGAAACTTTTCACACCAAAACATTCAAGCTTTCAGTTGATTTCGACCAAAATGTATACGTTCGATTCGGCAAGGCGTCAGCTAAAATCTGGCATTGAACCTTCCAGTGTGATTTTGCTACAGTCCAGTGGCAAAAAACGTGCCATTTTGCTTCCGGGAGGTATAGAAAATTTGGCAAAATACCTCCCTCTCCAAGCCAAAAAACTTCGATCTTAAAAGCGCGCCCGCTCTTTTTGTTAGGAACCCTTCAAAACGGAGTTTTTTCTGAGTTGGAGAGTGAGGCATTTTGCCACATTTTTGATACTTTCCGGAAGCAAAATGGTAAGATTTTTGCCACTGGATCCGGTCCGTCGCTGTAGGTTACACTATTTTTTTCGCCCTCACATTTCGATCCCTCTTGTGATTTGAATGTGTTTCAGCCATTATGTTTCTCATTCTCTCTTACCTTCTGAATCGGGATCCCTCTGATCTTCTCCATGTCGAATTCGGCTTCCTTTTCGATCTTCTCGGCGGATCCGTCCTTGTTTTCGGACACTTGAGCCCTCTCTGAACCGAGGCCACTGCCCGTGAAAGCACTCAACAAGCGGTCGAACGAAAACAGCCCTCGAGGAGCTGAAAAAACGACGCTTGAATTTAAGTGAAGATCTAAATGAAGTGTAAAATACGAACAGCACAATGGAAATACGTTTAAAAACGCATAAAAATATCATATCCTTACTGGGCATAGAATTGATGACGGCCGCGGGTTCCGAGGCTTGTGGCTTTGGTTTTTTAAACGAATCAGGCATTTTCCAAGGCTCAAAGTTCCCGTTTTCATCTCCATCCCGTTTGTTCAGCATTTTCTCCGCAATTTGTGGGAGTTTGGTGACTAGTCTGGCCAGCAGACTATCAAGATCACCAGCTTCCAAGGATTTGGCATAGGCTGAAAAGCAGAGCAAGATCAAGGTCAAAAAAGGGAAGGTGATCAAAGACAAAAATTGGCAAAAAAGGTTGAGGTTTCGAATACGTGCGCTTCATTTTTAGCTTGTGTTTTGCCTTGGGTTGTGCAGTAAGTTCGTTCTATTTTTCGATTGCTTTCTTTTACAAGGATTGTTTGTTGTTCGGCAAAGGGTATATTTTTATTTGATACAGTTTTTTCTCATCTACAAAACTGTGCTTTTAGCTTTTTTTGAAAATTGGCAAACCAAAGCAATAAAAAAATAGAACGAACTTACTGCACAACCCAATGGAAGCAGCTGTTAGTCTACAATTTGATACCTTTTTTTCGCGCTTATCAATTGAAAAAAATTCAAATTTCAACTTTATGTTTTCCAAAAAGCACGACCGTCCTATTAAGAATCAATTTCCGGCTTCTGTAAAGCACAACCCAAATTTTTCCAGAACTGTTACACGATTTGAGGTCTTGACTTGTGCAAAATTTATAAGAAATATGAGAGTTACACCGCGAGAACTTCCCTTGTGAGGAAATATCAGTCTGTCGGGAAAATAGTGAGCGCCGGTCGCTGCGCCCATCGCGTCGCTGAAGTCAAAACAAATTTAATTTTGACTTGACACAATTCATTTTCGATCCGACAGAGCGCTCTCTATTTTCCCGACAGACTGATGGGGCCACATAACACTGTAATCCTCAAGAAATCCTAAAATCCTTACGAGTTCTAGTCAAATCTCCGCTTCTGTAGGTAGCTGCGGACAATCGATGAACCGGCTTGACTCCTGGCTGGCCAGGATTTAACAAGTTGATCGGTGGTGGTTGGAATGCCCCAGGCGGTGGAGGAGGATTGGCGAAAAGTGGACCAGGCTCGGCTGGCCGGAAACGGAACTGAGGAAACATTGGGTAGTCATATTCCTGGAAAGTGTAGGAAAATTGAAAGTTTTAGTATTTGTGATCTATGGCATTTTTTACTTTGAATTTTTAGACATGGCAAAACTCAAAAAAAAAATGTTTTTTTGACACAAAAAAATCCTAAAAAAATCATTTTTCAAAAAAAAAGTTTTTACCTTAAAATTACAGTAACCCTAGCCCGAATTTTCAGCCCTCTCCCCCAACTCACCCACATGCCCTGCTGCGCGTGCACAGCGCCCAGCACGCCGCATATGAGGACGGTGCGGATCATGGCGTCCACTCCGGAATTAGCGCGCCTCTCGAAATGAATTTTCCAGACGTAGCCGTGTCAATCTTCCCCGCTTCCTGTCGCTTCTGGATCCTTAACCCTAAAAATGGGGAAGGAATACGAAAATGGAAACAACGTGTGACGTCATTACGAAAAGAAGAATCCGTGAGTCATTTGGAGAAGGGTTACGGGGTCGCGGAACAAGCTCTGCAGGTAAAGGGATTCCGTGAGATGCGCCATGACACATTGATTGGAAGGAGAAGGTAATGAAAATGAGTCTGAGGAACAGATACGTCATTTTGGGAGGGTTTCAAAATTTGAAAAACGAGAAGTTTTCCAAATGAGGGAAGAGTTCAGAGATGATAATATTTAGCAAAGTGTTCAGATATTGTGTTAATTTTGAGTATACGTTGTTTCTGGATCGTGGCGGTTAGCCTCTTTTCGGGCAGCTGGAAAACCCAAGTTGATTCTGCGGGTACGTTTGGAAATCAGCCAATATTTGCTTACAACAGAAAATTCTAGCGATGGATTTCGCAGTTCGATGTTGTGAATTGATTTTCCAGATCTACAAATCACTTGAATACTTATCAAAAGTTAACCAGGCATTTTTAAAGATTCAGAAACCATTTTTTGAAGACGACATTTTTTAGCTTTGGAAACGGATGAATTCGACGGAATTTTTTCATATTTGTCTATTTATCAATACTAGGGAGCTGTCAACGCAAAATTTCTATCATAGTACGCAAGGATACAGTAATTCTTTTCGGCAAAAGTCGGGTGCCCGGAAAGGGGTTGTACGCAAGTGTTGCGAAGCTCTGGACCATAAACCTTTTATGGTGCCTAGCAAAACTAGTCGAGATTTTGAAAGATCTTTGCAGAGAGGATGCCAAATCAAGACAAAACCAAAGTATATTTTACAAGAAAATTGCTTGTTAGATGGCTAATGGATTTTCTTAAAAACTTGAACGTAAATTGAGCGTAGGTCTCGAAACAACTTTTCAAAATTCTAAATCGCGATTTACAAGACTGGCCGAGATATTCAAGAATCGTTGATCAGAAAGGAGTACGAAGAATGAGAAGAGCGATCAGAAACAAAATCACCTTTAGTATTATTTTTGTCCACACAAACGCTAAACCCAAATTTTCGCCAAGAATATTCAAAATATGAGCACCGTAAATAAAGAGTTTTATTTGCAAAAGCAACTCATGGATAACAAATCTGTTGGTCGTAAACAATTTTAAAGTCACTTTTCTTTTGTTATCCACAGCCTTGATTAACAAAAAAAAGCACAAAAAAAGTCTGCAAAATCCCCATTATCCCAGAACAATTCCATCGGCTACTAAGCAGACAGCAGAATCATCTTTTTTCGACCGATTATTATGTCATTATGAGTAAGAAAATCCCCCAAAAGCCTTTCGTTTCAGAAAATCCAAAGGTGCGAAAGCAATCGTCGCAAAAGAGGTGGTTAGTAACAAAAATAATTAGTCATAAAAAGAGGATGAGGCGCACCAAATTGATGAGGTGGAAGGTAAAACAATAAGAGCTAATCATAGTAATAATTATTCTACTTTATTAGCAATAAACAGCCAAAATTTAGTGCTCAAAATAGGTGTAAAAAAGACGATGGATGACCAGTTCGCACAACAATGATCTTGTTGTTATACAGTAAAGAAGATTTCGCGCGCTTTAAGCTGACTTCGTGGAGCTAAACATAGATTTATCACCGGTTTTGTTGCTGTCACACTGATTTTTTACAGCGAGCTTTTTTCGGTTAATAGCCTGCGCAAAATAGAACATGTTCGGCTTTTTGTGAGAGGAAATAAAGCGGCAAAAAAATAGCCAAGTAATGGATGTATGGGGTACTTTAAACGACCACTTTTAATGAAAATGTTAAAGAAGCAACGGAGATTTTTGGGTAGAAAATTTGCAATCGCTGGGTGTTTTGGATATTAGAAGCAAGGTAAACAAAATTTCGTAAGTTTTTTTTCAAGGGAAGCTTGGAAAGGTACAATGAAAAAGGTGTTTTTTTCAGACCACTCTCCTAATTTCGTGTACTCTAATATTGTTGACAAAAAATAGTCGAGTATCTTGACGGCCCTTGAAAGGCTCAGATTTTGCTGAATTGATAGGCCCAAGCCCAACTGGTTTTCCAAAATTCGCGGCCGAACAATAGGGGTAAAAATCCTTTTTCTTTGATTTTCTGGCTAGCCACACCCATAGGTCGCTGGCCCACTTTTTCAAAACCTTCATTTGTAGTCGCCTTTGGACTTGTCATGCTCTCGTTGATCTACCAGTTCCCTACTACATAAAAAAAGGTTTTATATGTCGTTTTACTAACATTCTAAATTCCGGGCATTTTGTTGAGGCCAAAATTATATATTTTCAAGGCAAATCAAGGACATGGCTAGTTGAAAGAGACTGCAAGTCAAGGTTTTATGGGGACGGGCAACACCAGTGTAGATTTTCTAACCAATTATCTGAATTTTTGTTTTAGTAAGCAGAGCCGGGCCTAGCCTGAAAAAAACTTGAAAACGCCCCGGGTCGATTATCCTCTGAAAAGCGCCAGCTCAAATTTTCAGGATTCTGATATATGGCCCGTGAAAATCGAAGCGTCTCACATTGATCTATATATGTGTTCTCTTCCAACCAAAAGATACCATGACATCTCTTGGTTGAACCGGATTTCACCAAAAAATTCGGTACCGTCAAAACCCAAACCACATAATTAGAATTTATTTCGCCAGTCTTCAGAGTTTTTTCTCTCTCTGTAAATACCACCTGAAAGTGCCATTTACCAAAATTAGCCGTTTTCTTTATTTTTTATTTTTCTTTGAACCGTTCCTCCTCCTCTTTCGTTTCTTCCGGATCAAAAACGCCAAAAAATTCGGACTAAAAAACGAACGACAAGAGGCCCTCAAGGTTATTTTAGTGTGAGAAGCGCTTTGCAAAGGAACAAAAAAAATTCAAATTAAAAGCCCGTCTGACGTGCGCTACATCAGCTGTCAAGTTGGGAATGGTAAGCTTCGGAGAACTTGGTGAGAGTTGCGCAACAGTAGGATAAAGTCCGATAAACATACAAGGACGTCATTAAAGTGGAAATGTAAAGTTGAGAAGTGGGTGGAATCAAAGGGCAAAAATTGCACTACAGTATTAAGTAGGGATGAAATTGAAGCATGGAGGAAGGAAAGGGAGACTGGAGAAATGCCTATAGTCGCCAATAGGCTTTATAAGGCAGAGGAAATATTTTGCTACTGTTAAACATAGAATAGACTGGTGATCAAACTTGTTGAAGGAATGGAGTTCATATATGTAACCGTTCTCGAGTTATCAGACTGGTCCAAACTAAATCGGCGGAGTATAGAACACTATGCTCAAAATTTCTTCAGAATTTGCGGGCTAGGCTTTGATTTTTTGAAAATTCGGTGTATATATGTATAAAATTAAAGGCGTTGAGACTGAAAATTTCTTGGAGCTTTTTCATTGGCTCCGTCTTTGACATACCACAATAAATTAGCGAGATGTTCGGCTCACGGGCCGGGCCGCAATCTCCGGCCCGGCCTAATGTCTAATTTTGTTGCATTGCCATGAGGGATCCGTTTATATGTATGTATTATATAATAACCTCAAATTGGTCATTCCAATCATCAAAACAAAGAAATATAATATATATTATAACTGCAGGTGTAAAAATGCAAACGCTTCTCTGGCTGTGGTCAGAATAACTTCCACATTTAAAAAACGGATAGAATATGCAAGCGATTCGTGGTAAAATATGCAGTAAGTCGAAAGCAAAATTCTTCAAATTTTGGATCTCTGTAAATTATATGTCATGAACAACGCGATAAATAAAGAAATTAAAGAAATTTGAAACCAGTCAATGTAGAAAGAAGGGGGCGGGACTAGGGAGACCGTACGAAGAACAAAAATATCGACATAATTTCAACATTAATTGTAAGGCATGAAATGTACCAAGAAATCAGCGGGAATTAAGAAACACCACAACTTCTGGAAGCCGAGCCATGGCTATAAAAGGAAGTTGCCCCTCCGGAGAAGGGAGAACAGAAAAGAAAGGATACAGTCCTTCCGTCTCATCAACCTCGGATGTGGACACGAACAACAATTGTAGGCAAATATTCATTCAGCATTTTTTATCAGATATTGTAATTTCTACAGAACGAAAAGAAAGCCAAATCATTAAAATTACGTCAAGTTACTACCGTATTTCAACAAATCCAAACGACAGCTCACCATTGCGAAAGCAGAAGCAAGATAATCAGGAGAAAGTGGCACGATCTCCGCCCCTTTTGCCGTAACATATGCAAAAAACGGAAACCTAAATCATCTGTGAATAACGAGTAGCTCAGCTATGATGAGGATACTATAAATGCCGACCACCAAATCAAGAAAATTACGATCAAAATGAATTCCCCTACGTACGGCCTCTTTTGCAAGCAAGCTGGGCAAGCCCACGATTTAAGATTTAAGTCGCCCTACTCCAAGTTCTACGCATTCCGTAAGAGTGACCGATGTTTCAGTTGTTTCAAACGCGGACATCCTTCATTTGATTGCCCCGAAGGACCTTGCGAGTACGTAATCCTATGCCCAGATATCTCCGCCACGTCCAGAAAGACGCTCAACAAAAAATTCGTAAAAATGCTCAACAACGGCCAAATCAAGAATCTTGAGGACAACTACGACTCACTAGACATGGCTCCCGGGCCGGGCCGGCCCGGGCCGAAATTTCGGCTCGGCCCGAAATAGTTAAAATCCAGAATCTCGAAGCGAAAATTGGGAATAATAATGAAAATAAACGAAATGTGAAGACATAATTGGTTTTTTTAAAGGTATTTTTGTTTATAGATAGCTAGGGAACACAGTATTTATCCATTTACATGATGATAGAAAAAAATTTGGTCATAAGGAGTTAGACTTGGGGAGACTTTCGTTTTAATGGGCCGGCCCGGGCCGGGCCGAAGCAAATTTAGAACGGGCTGGGCCGGGCCGACGGAAAATTTGAAACGGGCCGGGCCGGCCGACGAGCCATGTCTACGACCCACAACCAAAAGAGCCCAACGAGTACCAGGATGACCTAGCTGATGAAGAATATATCTGAACCTTCAGCTTCCTATTAATCGCAATGCGTAATGCAGTCATTTAGATGCTTTGTCTTCTATTAGTATATGCAATAAAATAAATTGATATTAGTGAGTCAGTTATCACCTTCTTAGTGGGGGAATGTCGCGAACAAACGCGACGAATAAAGAAATTTCAAAATTAATCTATGTAGAAAGGAGGGGGCGGGACTGAGAAACCGTATGAGAAAACGGTGCTGCAAACTATCGAATAATTTCAGAATTAAAACAGGAAATGTATTGCGAAGTCAACTGTACCTGGAGTCCGAGGGAGAATTTATAATCTGAACCTTCAGCAACCTGCTGATTAAATCCCATAGTCCAAGTTGTCCAATATAAGGCGGCTCTACAACTTGAGAACGTAAAGGTTCGAAAGCTGAACGAGACGCTATCTCTCGTACAACAAAGCCTTTCTATGACCAACAATTTTTGAGGCCTCAAGAATAAATTTTATGCCGAAATGAACCTCTGTACAACAAAGCCTTTCTGTAGTGAATAAAAATCTTTTCTTCGCGATTTGTTGTTCAGAGGTTTTACTCTCACTAGGGAAGTACAAGTTGACCCAATAACTTAGGAATATACCCCATTAGAAAGCCCTTTAAAAGTAGTGTATACTCAAAGCTAAATACTTTCAAATTTTGCAAAAAGCCTCAGGGCAAAAAACCACAACCCGTTGGCATTAGAACCCTCAAAATTCACTCTCCAAAATTTAAATAGAACTTTGTTTTTTTCCTGCCCAAATCACCAATAAATTCAATTCTGTCTTCCCAAACCCCCTTATATGCAAAAACAAGTCCCATTCAAATTTCGGTCCTCCGATTCTCCCGTTATTTCATCGAGAAATCACCGCAGGTGGTTCGCCTTTCGCTTATACGGATTCAGGTTTGGGAATGAGCCCTTCCTTGTCACTCCAAAAAAAGGGAACGGTAGTTAAATTGCCCGCTACGAATTTATTACGCGCGGAGAGGCAACAGTTCCGAGGCGTTCTACCGAGGGCTTTTATTACTAGTAAAAGTTTTACGATGTTTGTTGACGAGATGATTTACAACGAGTTTCGATGAAAAGCCGAGAAACAAGAGAGGGTTACAGTGGCCTTTTTTGGGAGGCCACTGTAGTTTTATGTATATTTGCTGCGTAGGTGCAAAATCCTCGTTTTTACGGTCGTGTTGTTCGCAAGTTTGAACTAATTTTCGTTTTGTTTCTCTTCAGTTTAAAAATCTTTATTCAACATTTTACAATTAGTCTTGTCCCCAAATTTCCGCTGACTCAGACAATTTGGCTACGAAATGCAAACATTCGAATAGTTGCTTTTGTTTATTATTCGTTGAAATCATGAAAAGTCGAAATGCCTGTACCAACAAACTTTAAATTTACCGGCCTCCACTACCACTGCCATCTCCATCGCTATCGCCGCCGTCCTTGCAGAGGCCGCAAGTCTTGGCGCAATACAACTCTTTGTGTGCCGAAGTGTAGTAGGCACTCTGACAGAATCCATTCCGGTTCCATGAGGGGCATCTGAAAGTTGAATTTAGAGGAATACAGGGTCCCGAAAGCCCCGGCATGCCGCGGCATTTCTTGGTGATTTTCAATCGAAAAAATTCGAAATTTCTCAATCATTTTCAGCCGAAAAACACTGGATTTCGGGGTATAAATGCATCTACTTCAAAAGGTCGTAGCGACCTCAGTTTGCGCTTTAAAATTTTGTTATTTCATGGACAAGAATTAATGCCGCTTAAAAATACATGTTCCAAAGACGAAGTCTCTGCGCCGCCTCACTCAGCCGAATTTTATTGCCTCTAACTTTCCTTCACGTTTCTTGAAAGACCCTGTAGATAAGCAGAAAATTTTATGTTAATTTTATTAATTTTATGCTATTTACATTTATTATAACTTGGATTGCTTTCAAATTATGTGTATCACTCTATCGGAAAAATAATGATCACAGTGCCACTGCGCTGATCGCACTGAATTGAAAAGCAATTTGATTTTGTCGCACCACAATTCATTTTCTCGGTGGCGATGCGATTTTCGATGCGATATTGCGCTCATTTTGTCTGCTGCCTTGCAATGACATTGGACGATCATTTCCGACGAAACACTGTGCAAAATCCGGAAAAAGGTCGGAGAGAAAAGACATTTATCCCATAGCTTTGTGGCTTCGCGGTGGAAAGACGGCTTTGTACATATAATAAATGTAATGCGTCACTAGCGAAACAGAACACAAATTTTTTCTCCTGTTTGTCCAAAATTCTTGTTGCTTTCAGAGGAACAAAAAGCGAAAAACAAGCAAGGTTTTGTCCCGGCAAGCCAGGAAATCGCTTCAACTACGCTAGATTAGGGTACTCTGCGGTTTTCCAAAAATAATATTAGTCTGTCGGGAAAATAATGAGCACTTTGTCGCATTCAAAATCGCATCGCCGCCGAGAGAATGAATTTTGTCGCGAGAAAATCAAATCGCTTCTCATCTCAGCGACGCGATTGGCGCAGTGCGTTCACTATTTTCACGGCAGACTGATAAAAAATGCGCAGCCAAAACATAGAAATCACCGGCATTTCAAAGAAAAAAGACCGTAATTTTATAAAAATCAACTCAAATCTCATCCTCTTACCTTGGCGAGTTATCCTTGCAGACTCCAGGACAGTTGTCGCAAGTGCTTTTACAGTATTGCAGCAATATCGACTCGTAAACCGCGTTATGACACATTCCCGAGAACTGCCGGCAATTGGAGCCGTCGTCCGAGCAAGCGCTGGATGCTAGGTTCGCGACGGCCGCGAGTGTGAGGCCTATGAGCAGATACTGATTCATACTGGAGGGAAATGATGACCCTTTCTCAAAATGGGGCCTTTTATATACGACAAAGAATGGAGCCTTAAATTGGGAGGGCTGACAAACATTGGGGAGACTGTTTAACATCTTATTCCATTCCAATCACAACCCATTCCTATGTGCTTCCTGCAGTCTCTGACGGACAGATGTTCAAATATAACAAGAGGCCGACGTCAGTCGAATGAACTTCATTTTTTCACAATTCGTCAAGACTTTGGAGTTTAGAACTGATCTGTTGAACGCCCACAGAACAATTTTTTGTTGAAGTAGCAAAGATTGGAAATCGAACTCATCGCCAGGGGCGAATGAGTCATCGCAGATACGTTCCATTTATGCCGGATTAAAGGTGTCAAAACTAGGCCTCATTCTTCAAAATCGTTGTCAAACAATGGCCAAAGTGATAGTCCAAAAGTCCAAATTCCACATTCACATAATGATGACAAATAAAACAGAACACGTAAACCGAGCAAAAGATTGTTATATCTTTGCTTATTTACCAAAAAAATTGTCGAGATGAACTTAGTCTAGTACAACAGCGATATCAATCAAATTGACTTTAAAATTTCATGGTGTCCAATTGTTCAAGGTGCTGATCAAGCAAAAAATGTAGCAATCACAAACGTTCAAGCGATTTTCTAACTTAACTTTATGACTGATTTCAAAAAGACTTACCCGAGTCATCAATTTTGACAGGGCATAAAACGTGCCTTAAGCCAACCAAAGCCAAATCATCAATTTAAAAGACGATTTTTGGCTCGCTGCGTCAGCCCGTAATGGACCCGGGACATAGGAAAAAATCGATTTTGACTTTTTTGCATAAAAATGACCGTCGACATGTGCTAAGGAAAAGCGAACAACAGTTTTTCCCAATTCTGCCCGGAAGGCATAAATTTGCTTAAATTTGTCTTTTTTGGAATTTTCGACCTGGTGAAGTCATAGAAAGAGCAAATCACCCAAAATTTTGCTTGTATACGTTTTCGACCATTGGGAATTCATTTTTTTGAAAATTAATTCTCTCAGATTGCTGTAACATAGGCATATTGTAATCCGGTCGATAAAAATCGACCGTAACTCCTTCGTATCAAAAATCCCACAGGATTTTATTTCAGATTCGGAATCAGCATAAAATTCTGCATATTATACACATAATGTGAGGTCATAACTCCAGGGGGGAGATCGCGTAGTATATTGGATTTTGGCAAAAATGACGTTTGAAAGGTCGCGGGTTCGATCCCCGCTGGGTGCAAATATTGAAAACACGGCGGAAATCGCGTTTAATGGACACCTAAGGGTTATGTCAGATACACTAAGCAATTTTAAACATTAATGAATATCTAATTGCGATTAAAACTGATTTTATATAATTTTTGGAGACTGAATATGCAAAAAATGAAACTGCTTCAAACCGCTTGAAATTGACAACACTTATTCTAGAGTCAATTGTAAGAAACTTTTCCGTTAACTTTTTTTGGTAGATTACCGTACCATGGATTACTGTAGCGTTAAACGTGTCCTGATTAACAGCAATTTTCTTAAAAGTTCTTGCATAAAATATTAAATCGTTTTAATTGGTGGCTTTAGACAGCGAAAAGATCCACTTTCTATGTATGAAAGAAAATTCGACCTTAATTGCAACGCGTCTTGATGTCATAATCAATTGGTGAAAGTGCGTCAAATAACTCGGCCATTCCAAACGGTACAGCCATAAAAGTTTTTTTGTACACAAGAAAACCCTTTCTTAACCATTCTGAGCACAATGATGGCAATCCGACTTCTATGCGCCATGTGGTACACGAAAAACCAAATCAGGTTTAATGTTGCAGTAATCCATGGTACGGTGATCTACCAAAAAAGGTTAACGGAAAAGTTTCTTACAATTGACCCTAGAATAAGTGTTGCCAATTTCAAGCGGTTTGAAGCAATTTAATTTTTTGCATATTCAGTCTCCAAAAATTATATAAAATCAGTTTTAATCGCAATTAGATATACATTAATGTTTAAAATTGCTTAGTGTATCTCATATAACCCTTAGATGTCCATTAAACGCGATTTCCGCCGTGTTTTCAATATTTGCACCAAGCGGGGATCGAACCCGCGACCTTTCAAACGTAATTTTTGCCAAAATCCAATATACTACGCGATCTCCCCCCTATAGTTATGACCTCACATTATGTGTATAATATGCAGAATTTTATGCTGATTCCGAATCTGAAATAAAATCCTGTGGGATTTTTGATACGAAGGAGTTACGGTCGATTTTTATCGACCGGATTACAATATGCCTATGTTACAGTAATCTGAGAGACTCAATTTTCAAAAAAATGAATTCCCAATGGTCGAAAACGTATACAAGCAAAATTTTGGGTGATTTGCTTTTTCTATGACGTCACCAGGTCGAAAATTCCAAAAAAGACAAATTTAAGCAAATGTATGCCTTCCGGGCAGAATTGGGAAAAACTGTTGTTCGCTTTTCCTTAGCACATGTCGACGGTCATTTTTATGCAAAAAACTCAAAATCGATTTTTTCCTATGTCCATCGCTGGACGCAGCGAGCCAGAAATCGTCTTTTAAAAAACCGCCATTTCTGGTTCAGTGCACTTCAGTTAGAAACCACGATGGCCATATTTGGGCTCCGAAAGATTTCTGTATGCATATCTTGAGAGCGCTTGCAGACTCAAAGTCCTAAGTCCGTAGCAGGACATGTGTTTGGACTTTCCCGCTATCTCCGAAAATACCGGCGCTCAAAGACATGGAATGTCCATCCCTGTATTCCCAAAATTTCAACAATGCACGTCAAACTGAGATAGGCCAAAACGGTCCGGTGAATAGATTGGGAATTCGCCAAAAAAAAGCGAAAAAAACTTTTCGTCGGGGAAGAAATGGGGATTTTTTGGGGCGCGAGAGTAGGTTTTTGCGCGTCTTTTTCTCTGAATTCTCTGTGAAATCAAGGCGAAGTGTATAAACCCAATAGCGAAGAGTCTATACCGGTCACCGGACTCCTCAGTTTGACGTGCAATGTCTAGAAAGGTTTTCCAAAAAATATTGTTTTGTTTAGATGCCGTTTTAGAAAAATTCAAAATTTCCAGGATTTGAAGTATACATGGAAAACTTGAATGTTCCTACAAATAAAGTTTTGGTGAGGATAGGCTAGCCGAATAAAGATCCAAAAATTGTTTCCTGAAAAATTTGGCTAGCGAAAAATTATTTTCCATTAATTTCCAAGCCTTTGACCTTATAAGATCCGCTAGAATTAATGCTTATTTTACTGTTGTAAATTTCAAACTTTCTTTAGATATATTGTCAAAAAAATTTAAGGTATAAGATATAATGTTCCTCCATGGCTATCACCACAGCTCCACAAGAAAGAAAGAGGGCTTGCCGCTTTCAACGGGAAGGAAATACATAGTCGCCTAGGGCGTAGCCATCCCTTACCACACCATATATGCAACAGCGAAGCTCCCATGCCTCTAGCTCATTCCATATTTGACCAATGAAGCATCCATGTCAGGCCAATCCAGGCTACAGTATGACAGAAAAAATAGAGCTTACGTTTGGTTAACGTCAATCCGAGACATGTCAAACTGAGACAACTGCAAGCTTTTCGAAATCCCCGCCCGGCTAATGTTGTCTGTTTTGCTCGACCCTGTCAGAAAGTTGTGTTTTAAACTAATCCGACCTTTTCCCCGAACACACAAACTTTGATTCTGAGATCGTCTCCTCCTCAGACTACAGACAATGGCCTGGTATAAAACGCTCGATTTCGAAACCTAATTATATCACAAGCGTCATGAATACGGGTTCATTGATTGGTCTGGCCCTACTACTTTTGGCGGGTACTGTGTACAGCGCCTGCACCGACCAAGGGACGAATTGTGCGCAGTTTTCGGGGATGTGCTATAATCAAGTGTATGCGTCGATTTTGCAGCAGTATTGCAAGAACACTTGCGACAATTGCCCCGGGACTTGCAAGGACAATTCTCCAAGGTATGGAAATTGATTATATTTTCATTTTGAGAGATCTTGCAAAATTTAAATGGGAAAAAATGCGATTTATTCACATTGTATGCTTTGCAATGTGATTAAATTAACAAGGGAAGTTCTCTAAATGCAACTCTCAGATTTTCTTCAAGTTTTGCCCACATCTCAAGCATTTGCCATATATCAAGCCCTGCAAGTTTCAGCTCGCGCTTTCTAGGCGCTGTGGAGATATGGAAAGATCTTTGTGGCCAAGCGAGTAAGCAAAACATGGAGATCGGTCAGAGAGAAAAACACTTTTGCCCATATCTTTGCCAGTTTCGCATGGAAAAAATTAATTTTTTGTAGAGACATTATTCTCAGCAGTAGAAATAAGTATGAAAAACTTTCATGCCAAATTTGCAAAAAAAATTTCACATTTTTGTCAATTTTCGACTTAAAAATTTCGGTCTTTCTGCAGTTTCACTAGCTAGGAGTCTCGTATATCTTGGAAAAAATGCATTTCTTAAATTAATGCCAAGTTTCGTCAAGATCTGAGCATTGCACTGTGGGTACCTCCTGTGTGAGATATCGTATAATAATTTGAAGAAGTTCTTGGCGAGATGCACTTCTATCACAACTTTTTTTTCAATATATTCAATTTCCAGATGCCCTTCATGGAAGCGGAATGGCTTCTGCCAGAGCTCGTATTACACACAAGCCCATAAGGCGCAGTATTGTTCGAAGAGTTGTGGAATTTGCCAGAGCAACGGTGGTGGCGACGGTGGCAGTGGAAACGGTTAATTACTTTGTTTAAGGCAGCTTTGTTATGTCTGTTGATTGTAATAAAAGGCTGAGAATTTGTGATCGTAATCGTTTTGAAGAGTAAACAATTAAAAAATCTCGTCTAAAAATAGTTGATTGCTGCTGACAACACAAAGCATTTCTGATGTTGAACTCTCCATACTAGAAAATATTTAAAGTATCACAGTCTCGAACTCTATTGTTCCACTACATTGTTGGTCCAAGCGACAGGACGGCTTTTGCAAACAAAGCAAGAAAGGAGGTCGATCTAAATGTAGGAGTGATGGTCGAACAGTGACGCTCAAAATTTACAAAAAAATGACAGCATATGTACATATTTATCTTGTCTAATCTATATATATTTGAAGATCCTAATTCGAGTTTTTCAGAGACAACCCGGGACCTTTAGCCCAAGAACTGAAGAGGATGTGGCGCTGTAGTTTATGAATATGTAAAAGTGTTAGCCTTATTTCTATTAAAAAACGAAACGTATTGTAAGGTTCTCTAAAAGTCTCAGACGAATATACAATATCTACCTTTGTCATCCCAAGTCTAAAGTGCCCACATTTCGGTAAAATTTCAGGTCTTTCAAAAGAGTACCAGGGATATATCAGCCTGTCGGGAAAGTGCTCGATCGTCGAGCCGTGGAATCGCCCATCATCGCTTGACAACGGCTAGGCGCAGCTGGAGATTTAGTGCGCGACTTTCCGAAGAGTCGAAACGTTTTGTTGCGATGACCCGTCACTATTTTCCCGACGCATTGATAGCCAAAAGCATTTTTCTGTCTTCCTACACCGAGCGAAATATGGTTCTGCTCGTGGCGGTGCAGGACCATATCGGTCTTGTCGGGAAAATAACGGCGGATCATCGCGCCTCGGAATCGCCCATCATCGCATTGCGACTGCAAGCCGCGGCGATAGCGGCGAGGCGGGACATTTTGCTGCGACGATCCGCCGTTACTTTCCCGACAGACTGATACAAAAGATGAGAGAACTTCAAAATTTGGAGTTTTGAATTTACCAACAAATAGAGTATTGCACAGACGATCGAAACCACGTCAGTCGGCAAGGCCGAAATCCACAAATGCTTTTTTGCTAGCCAGCCAAGGCCCCGATTCGCCGGTCCAGCGTCCTAATTGTAAGGTTTTGGTCCTTTCCATTCTTAGCCAGCCATCACTTAATATTCAACCACCACATACCCACTTTAAATGCTGGCTGAAGCCCGGTTTAAACGGGCCTTTCTATCAGGGTGATTCCGGAGGAAACTAACATTTGTTTTGCGATTCCCGCCAAGACAACCGACAGTTGTCAGGAGAGTCAAGAAAACCTCAAGAAGAACTCTCTTCAAAATTTTTATTTGTATATACATACATATTAAAGTAAGTTGCATAGCATAAGTATAAAAAACTTGTGCATTGTGTGAAAATTCACTTCATGGTGTGCCACTTCCGCTACCACTTCCAAAATCGTCGTCACCGCCCTTGCACAAGCCACAAGTCTTCGAACACAACAATTCCTTGTAATTTTTAGTGTAATAGTTGCTCTGGCAGAATCCGTTGTTGTTCCACGTGCGGCATCTAAAAATTGAGGACAAATCTCTCACCAAAGGCGTTCTTAAAAAAGGACGAGTAAAAAAAGATCAACCAGACCCGGCTGATGACATTTTTACCGTGATTTCTCATAATGTAATCTTTGCTTTTTCATGTGTCTGATAGTATTTTCAGAATACTCTTACCTCGGCGAGTTGTCCTTGCAAGTTCCGGGGCAGTTATCACACGTTTTTCGGCAGTATTCCAACAAGATCGGGGCATAGACCTGATTCAGACACATGTTCTGAAACCTCACACAGTTACTCCCTTCGTCCGAGCATTCACTCCAGATTCTGTCGACCAAAAACAACAGAACTAGCCCGTGAATGAGGCAGCTCATTTCGGACCAAAACACAATGAAATCGCGCCACCTTGAACCCCTTTTTATACATGATGACTTTGCCAACAGTGAGCCTAAATTTAGGTCCTGCTGACATGTTGAACAATAACTTCCTTTGTCTTACAATTTCAGCAAAGCTCGTTTCCGTTGACGGGAGGGCTGTGCAAACAAACACCAGGGCAATTTTTTGTAGTATTTTGGGGGGATTTTAACTTCGCACAAATGGTTTGAGCTTTTGGACGGAATGAGGATGATTATAAAAAATTGGAAACGTTTAGTTTGGTTCCAGTTCAAAAAAACGTTTTGAAAGACTAATGGATCACGAATCCATTAGAGCAAATTGACACTGGTGAGCCCAAAAATGATGATTTTTCGCGGTTTCAAGTTGAAAACTTACTAAAAACTCTCAAAAATTGCAAGGGAAATACCTCAAGTGCAACGTTCAGATTTTGATAAAACTCGGCAAAAATTTAGAAGAATTTTTTTAAAAATATATGCGAGAGTTCTCGACTGCGCTCTGCAGAAACAACCGAGATTTTAAGATCGAAAGTTGGCAAAAATTCGAGACTTTTTGCCGAATTTCGGCGCGAAAAGTTTTATACTTACTTCTACCGTAAAGGCTAATCTTTCCCAAAAAAATCAATTTTTTCCGCACGAAACTAACAAAGTTATGGCCAAAAAGTGTTTTTCTCCCTGACCGCTCTCTGCGTTTAGTGTACTCTCCCGGCGGCAAAGATCGTTCAATATCTCGGCGGCGCCTGCAAAGCGCGAGCTAAAACTTTCAGGAATTGATAACTGGTTCATGCCCGACGTGTGTGCAAAATTTAAAGAAAATCTGAGCGTCGCACTTGGAGTACTTCCCTTATTAATCCACAGTAGCCTTAAGCCCCATTCTTCTCATCTTTGTAATAAAAAAATTTAAAAAATACGGCTTCGTTTCAGAAAGCCGTATGAACAACAACTGAAGTAAGCAACTGTATTAATTTTCATACTAAATTTTGAGCTTTTTTAAAATTTTTGAAGAATTTTCGAAATCCAAAGTCCTCCAAACTCCAATCAAATCCTTTACTGTAATTAGTCAGCTTATATTTCTGAGATGATTAGTATTCTCCGCTGCGGAAATTGTAGTTTCTGGTGAGCACTCTCCCCACTTCCATTTCGAGCTGGAGGATGGATTGGCGGCTGAGTTTTCGGTTCCATTTGCCCAGATGGTTGATGATGGCGGCTCGGAGCTTCTTTTGTCTGAAAATTTGAACAGTTGAGGTTATGGGAGGCACCTTTTAACTTTGACTTCTATATTTTTAGCCCTCTATGAGTAATTTTAAAAATTAATATTCAAAGATGACGTCATCAAAAATACTCACCGAGCAAACCTCGTCTTCCTGCGGACTTGTTGATAGGGCAAATTGGATTGGAATCGCCTCAAATGAAAGTTTTTCTTCGTGCTCTTCCCACGTCTGCTCGCGCGGCCTTTCTCCCCTCGCACGGACTGTTGTCGGGCCTCGATCAACGATGGGTGGGGGCGTTGGAGGAGGGAAACGAGTTGGTCCAGCGCCGTGGAACGACGACGCTCTTCCAGGATCTGATTCTGGAGACTCTCGATCTTCTCCAACGCCTGAAAGAAGAAGGTTTACAGTAGGGAATCCAGTGGGAAAAAACGTACCATTGAGCATCCGGGAAGTATCAAAAATGTGGCAAAATGGCTCCCTGTTCAAGTGGAAAAACTTCGATTTCAAAAGCGCGCTAGCTCTTTTTCTGAGGGAAAAAGGGCGCTCCCTTCAAAACGGATTTTTTTCACTTGGAGAAGGAAGCATTTTGCCACATTTTTGATGCTTCCCGGATGCAAAATGGTACGTTTTTGGCTGCCGTATCGGGTCCTTCACTGTATTAAAATTACAGTGGAAAAACTCTGCATAACGACCTCGCATAAGAAAATCTCTCTATAACGAACAACGCCAGAGCTCTAAAAACTCAAGTCCAGGATAAAAAAGCTCCATAAAACGAAGCCTCTCTACAAAAACCAGACTTTTTGGTCTTCATAAACTTACCTCCCGCAGCAATTCCTTGGTAACTCGATGCTCCTCGGTCTCCTGAACCAAGCGTCCATGCAAGCGTACGGTGCAATTGGGATGGTCCTCGAGATGCCCAAATTTGTGGAAGTTAAGGATTCTTGCCATCGATTCTCTCGAATTCAGCCCGCCAAAATCCACCGAACGGTTGGAAAGTCTGAGAAAAAATTTCAATCCGAAAGTACACGTATTCATTTCGAAAGCGTATTCCTTTTCTTGCACTTTTCAGGAATTTCGGATAAAATTCCGTGAGTTCTTGCAAGTATGTCCTACTGTTTTTAAACATTTCAAATAGGACCACAATCACTTTCCAACGGCTGGAACTTCAAAATTGCCTAAACCCAGGCCAATCCAGCGTCTTGCCAACCTTTACTAGTCCGTTCGCAAAGTCACTGGAGTGATTTCGGCGACTTGCACGACTTGCACTGTGCAAAAAAAGTCAGGGTGCGAGTGGAAGCTCAAAAAAGCACTGTGTAAAAAATTGAAAATTGAAAAATGCAAAGTGAGCTTCTCTTTTTTCATAGCGCATGTCATCGAAATCACTCCAGCGACATTGCGAAAGGGCTAGTCAAGGTTTGTAAAAACGCTGGATTAGCCTGATTTTTGCAATTTTGCTGACTAAGCTCAGAATCTAGCCATTGGAAAGCGATTATGGTACTATGTGCGAATAAGGCTACCAAACCTCTAGATAACTGCAGTACAATTTATTTGACGGACATGCCACTTGAAGCCTCTGTCTGGCGCCATGGCGGTCAAATTTAAAAATGGCGCCATGGCGGTCAAATTTAATCTAAAACCGCCGTTTTCTTCAAACGGTAAGTCACAATACAGTTCAAATATCCCTTGCCGTTCTTCCCGGATTTAATTCTTCTTGTGAAAAGTCTAAATATCACTCCAGCGACTTTACGGACGGATTAGTATCAGATAGAAACATGGCAATCGCCATTTTAAAAAAAAAAATGCTTTTGCAATCAGTCTGTCGGAAAAATAATGAGCGCTCTGTCGTATCGCCGCCTAGAAAATGAATTGCAAAATCAAACAACTTTTCACCTCAACGATGCAACTGGCGCAGCGAGATAGGAGCCATTTTTTCATCCGTTCTTTTAGACAGATATACACACAATATGTGGAGTCATCACAAGGCTTTGAAAAAATATTTATTTGTGATCCCTTAAAATCGACTACTTTGATGAAAACATTTTCTCCAGATACGACAACAACATTGTCGAGGGTTCGTGATCTGGGAACTGTTCCAGCGACTTTTTTACTGCAGTGTAGCTCTCGTAGTATTGTCCCGTCTGCAAAATGAATGTGTCATCAGTTATGAAAGAAAAATTTAAATTAACCATCCTCTTGTTGTGATCTATATCACATTATTTTTACCTGGTAACTCAGAAGTGCCAAGTTGAAATGCGCTTCGAAAAGATGCGGAGCCTTTTTTCCAGCAGTTTGGAACAAGTTCCTTGCCTGGTCCAGATATCCGTTTCTCATTTTTATTATCCCCAAGTTGCAAAGGGACTCAGCGTGGTCGGGATTTGAGGCCAATGCAATACGAAGGCAACGCTCCGCCATCTGGGTGTCGCCATTGCCCTGGAATTTACGGTAATTTTCCTATAGGTTGAAATCTATTACGAAAGTACACCTAACCCACTGAAAATTTCAGTATCTAAGGTATGATAAAACTACGAAATTACTGCTAATGCCATTCGGAAGAACATATCAAAATGGCTATTTTTATTGTATGAAATGAACCTTTAAAAAATCTTGGTCGGTTTATCAACCATTATAATATTTTTAACCGTTTCAAATCTACAGTGACGGACCTGATCCAGTGGCAAAAAACGTACCGTTTTGCATTCGGTAAGTATCAAAAATGTGGCGAAATGCTTCACCATCCAAATGAAAAAAACTTCGTTTTGAAGAGCGCGCCCTTTACCTCACAAAAAGAGCGAGCGCGCTTTAGAAATCGGAGTTTTTTGCTTGGAGAGGGATGCATTTTGCTACATTTTTGATACTTCCCGGATGCAAAATGGTACATTTTTTGATCGGCTGTCTTCGGGGTCGAGATATGGCTACAGCGCCATTTTCAAGCCAATTTCTCGCCCTAAGGGAAGGCTCCAGAGGAGTTCTATTTGATCAAAAAGCAGTCAAAACTACTGTATCACAAATCAGAGATGATTAAAAAATGATTTGAAGGTTTCATTCTACAAATTTTCATTTTGGCCTAAAATTGACTCTCGGTACTCTTAAAGTTCTCTGTTATAAGCAGCTTTCGCTGTACGATATACTTTTGTACTGGTATATCTAAACCAACAATAAAAATCCCGCTTACAAATGCGATATGAGCAGTGTTGTACCAAAGATCCGGTTGCAATTCGTCATCAGCGCCAGCATGCGCCTGCTCGATGCAACCGAGCGACAGATCCAACTGTTGACAATAAAAACAGCAAAGCCCGACGTTCAGATAGAGCTCGGGCGAGTTTACACCCATTTGCAAAATTCGGCTGAAAAAAACGTTAAAGCGAATCTCATCCCTACCGATAAAACTTGACGGCCAGCTCGGGCTGATCGCTGTAGAAAAAGTTGTTGCCAACACAAGCGATCGCCTCCACATTTGCGGCCTCGTGATTCAGCACTTGCTTGTAGAAGTCGATGGACTTGTCCATCTCGCCGAGTTGCTAAAATTCAATGTCTTGCAATAATTTCCAGCTCACCTCAAAGATTCTAGCCAACCCAGTCAACAGCGTGATGTCATTGGGGAAGGTCTGAAGCCCGCTTTTGTAGTGGTCGATGGCGCTGAGCGGTTGGTCGAGTCTGATGTAAACCTTGGCCAGGAAAGCGAACGTCTCGACCAATTTAATGTTGCGCAACGAGGACGCGAATTGACGCTCGGCTTCGCGGAGCATTCCTAATCTGGAAATTGAAGATTCACAGGGAAAATTAGAATCGAAAAAAATGTAAAAAAGGTATCTATGTGGAGAAAGGCGACTTTTTGACAATTCATCCAATTGCTGTCTAGTTCAAACGCATATATGTAGATACAATGTAAATCCCCCCAGACTAATAGGGGAAGTACTCCAAGTGCAGATTTTGACGTTACAATAACGGACCTGATCCAGCGGCAAAAACGTACCATTTTGCATCCGGGAGGTATCAAAAATGTAGTAAAATGTCTCCATCTCCAACTAAAAAAAACTTGGTATGTTTTTGCCAATGGATAAGGTCCGCCACTGCAATTAGCGGTCACTTTTTTCGATGCGAAACCGGAAAAGATACGGCCAAAAAGACCATTGAACGTCTAGGCTCTGCAAAGCGCGAGTTAAAACTTTCGGGCATTGATTTGCGACCCATATCAGATATGTGTACAAAATTTGAGCGTTGAACTTCAAACGCGGCCCTTGTAAGTATCAGTCCATAAAGGCATTGTCTTGCGCTTTGCAAGAGGCTCGCAGATACCTAACGAACTTTGCCGACAAGATAGTATACAACATGCAAAAAGATAATGATATTTTCACGCATAAAAAGTCGATTTTTAATACATGTCTTTTTTCATGGTCAATGTAAGCCAAAAGCCGGTGATAAGGGTCGCACTTTGAGCACCCTTGTGTCAACCCTGGTCTTTAAATCTCTACTTACCGATAATAACACTTCCCCAATTGGTTCTTCCAGTACCAATCCCCGTACTCAGCCGCTTTCGTTGCTGCTGCGGCAATCTGCAAACAATCAGGTGAGATTTTAAAGCCATAAAAAAGTTCATAGTTCGTATCTTACCTGATGAGCCGTTTTCATATCGCCCTCGTGTAGGAAAACATACTCAAATAAATAGCGGTTAACCGTCGGATCAGCAGCGTATTTGTCAATATTTAGACGCGACAAGTTCAGGAATTGATCTTGCTGCGCAATCATTGACGCCTGCAAAAATTTTTATGCGTTGAGGTCATAAAGAAACAGCGTTTTTTACAAGGTAAATACTCAAAATGTGACGCTTAGATTTTGATAAAACTTGGCACAAATTTAGAATCTTGCTTTCTAAAAAATACCCGAGAATCCTAGCTCGCGCTTTGCAGAAACAACCGAGATTTTTAGATCGAAACTTGGCGAAAATTTGACACCTTTTGCCGAATTTCGGCACGAAAAGTTTGATTCCTATTCCTACCGTAGAGGGCAATATTTCTATAAAAAATCAAGTTTTTCCGCATGAAAATGGCAAAAATATGGCCAAAATTGCTTTTATATGACCGCTCTCCGCGTTTTGCGTGCTCTCTCGGCCACAAAGATCGTTCAATATCTCGGCTACGCCTGCAAAGTGCGAGCTAAAATTTTCAGGAATGGAAATGTGACCTATACTAGAAATGTGTGCAAAATCTAAAGAAAACCTGAGCGTCGCACTTGGAACATCTCCATTTTTAGCTCCAAATCCCTTACCGTTCCCAGCCTGACTTGTCTCGCTGTGGCCGACGAGATTGGGCGCGCCGTTCTGGCCGTCCGCGACGTTCTCAGCTGCTGTTCCATGGTCCCGGTCTTGAGTCGGCTGTCCGGTCGGACCACTCCACTCAACGGCCGGCCGGTTTGAGTTCGCGGGCGTAGCGCCGGCGAAGGACCTCCGCCATTCGTAACTGGTCGATTCAACGAGGTACCAGGACGGGCACCGGTTACTATGGCGTGATCGTCGAGATAGGCGTCGGCTAGACCGGCTTCGTCGTTTTCAAGCTCGTCAATGTAAACTTCTTCGGTGAAACAGGCGAGTTTCAACGACCAGGCGGCCTGGAAGGGGAGGGTAATGAACAGGGTCTTTCAAGAAACGTGAAGGAAAGTCGGAGGCTATAACTTTCGGCGGAGGCGGCGCAGAGACTTCGTTTTTGGAATATGTATTTTTAAGCGACATTAGTTTTCGTCTGTGAAATAACAATATTTTAAAGTGCAAACTGAAGTCGCTACGACCTTCTGAAGTAAGGGAATTTCTACCCCAAAAACCTGTTTTTCGGTTGAAAATGATTGAGAAATTTGGAAATTTTTCGGTTGAAAATCACCAAGAAATGCTTGAAAATTGATGATTTTGATAACAAAAATTGGAAAAAATTCAATTTTTTCTGCAGGGCAGAAATTTTCAAAACTGCCGTAAGGAAGCTTAATTAAAATTTTTAGAAAATTTTAAAAAGATTTATGCTGAAAATTGAGCTACTTCTTCTACATAATTTCCCCCTTCAGCTCACCTGATCCAACGGATTTTTCTCCAAAATCTTCGAACATTGCTCGGAGGCCAGATCAATTTTGTTGATTCGATAGTACAACAAAGCTAAATATAGAGGGTCTAGTTGCTCCATTCAACGTATTTTAGGGGCTTTCTATGGTTTTTGAGACAAATAATACACGAAATTTGAGTCGTTACCATAGTTACAAGGTTTGGAAAATAGTCGAAAAACTGAATAAAATATTTTAATTTGAGAAAATATAATTATAAACAAATTTATGAGTAACAAATTTTTCATCTTCGAAACAGAGAGAGAACGCGAAATAAGGTGAGTCGGCCATACGAAAAAGGGTTTTTGTCCACAAATTTTTTGTTCCCACCCAAAAAAAGTCGATTTTTTGTAGAAATATTGCATGTCCTACTAAAAATTAAGACTGACATTTTGAAAAAAGAAACTTCCAAAAAAATTATGACATTGTTACAATCGAAAAATCAAAAAATCCGAGTGTAACCTGAAGAACGAGATTTTCAGTTGTCAATTTCTGGATGCAATTACTAATGTATGGTATAAAATTTCCACTAAAAATCAGCTTTTTTCAGTGGAGAAACAAAGAAGTTATAAGGGAAACTCTGTTTTTTGTCTGCTCAACTCTCTTCATTTCGCGTGCTCTCTCGAAAAGAAGGCCGTTTAAAAACTGAATTTTTTTTTTCTGGTTCATAGGATTTTCTACATAATTCAGGAGAAGTTTCCAATTTTTTGGTCTATTCTCAACACCCTATTTGATTGTAATATTTCGAAGGTCGTCCAGAAAGTTCGTTCGTTTTTTGATTGCTTTGTTTTACAAGGATTGTTTGTTCTTTGACAAATGGAATATATCTATTTGATACAGCTTTTTCTCCTCTACAAAACTGGCTATATCAAATAAATATATACCCTTTGTCAAACAACAGACAATCCTCGTAAAACAAAGCAATGAAAAAAAACGAACGAACTTTCTGGACGACCTAATATGTTATGCTTTACCGTAATGTCTATGACAATATCGGAGGAGACGTGAATTCCGAAAAACAACACTTAATTGCGAGCAAATCAGCCCGAACCCCTCCCCTCTTATTTTGAATCAGTTATTACAACAAGTGCGCAATGTGACGGCCGTGTCCCGATTCCGTCCGTCTTCTGCGGGGGGAAAACAAAACTCTTTTTGATGTTATCAAATGTTGACCAAGCTTTTGCTGCTCCTTTCCATCGTTGGATTTACTAATGTTGGCGGCGAGTTGAGTGGGAAACCGAGGCACACGTGCTATGAGACTTGTTTGAACTACTCCAGGGTGGGTTTTGCATACTTTTGGAGGTCTTTTTTGTCAGAATGTCCATTTCTTTACATCGAATTTTCAATTTTTTGAGTTTTCTTTTCAATTTACAAGGGAAGTGCCCCAAGTGCGACACTCAGATTTCGATGAAACTTGGCACAAATTTAGTATTTTTTTTTTCTAAAAAATATTGAATCTTAGCACGCGCTTTGCAGAAACAACCGAGATTTTTTGATCAAAAGTTGGCGAAAATTTAACACTTTTTTCCGAATTTCGGCACGAAAAGTTTCGTGCCTATTTCTACCATAGAGGGCAATGTTTCCATAAAAAATCAATTTTTTCCGCACGAAACTAGAAAAGTTATCATCAAAAAGTGTTTTTCTCTCTAACCGCTCTCCGCTTTTAGTGTGCTCTCTCTGCAGCAAAGATGGTTCAATATCTCGGCGGCCCTTGTAAAGCGCGAGCTAAAACTTTCAGGAATTGATGATTAGTTCATGACCGACGCATGTGCAAAATTTAGAGCAAATCTGAGAGTCGTACTTGGGGTATTTAGACTAAAAAAATCTTCGGATTTTCGAATTTTGATTACAAAAAAAAATTCAAAATAAGTTTTTAGGCAATTGGAAAACCAACCCACGATTGGTGCGCCGAATATGCTGAGGACGACCTGTGTGTAAGATATCACATCTTACGGCCATATCTCATCATAAATTTTCAGAAAACAGCGGAATGTTGGACCATGTGCCGAGACCTTGTAGTACCCCCGAGATCCGTCGATTTTTACGCGTACGGGGCGGATAACTCGACAAGCTTCCTAAATTCGGAAGAAGAAGAGGAGGACGATGACTTGTACATAACGAGGGCGGATGAAACCAACAGCAAAATGGAATGTAGGCAAATTTATATTATACTGGACATTAATGTGCTGCTTTAGTATTTGAGCTGAATTCTCGAACTTTGTATGTGGTATTGGCATTCCTGGCGGTTCAGTTGAACGTGTTAGTTCTGCTTATTGCCTGTGGGGTCCGTCGATGCGCTCCGGAAGACATTGCAGTCGAAATAATTTGAAAAAATTATATTGTGATTGACATATTTTGTATACATTGAAATACCTCATTTTTATCGAAGATTTGATGCTATATTTGTCCTAAACTACAAAAAAAGTAATAATATTGAATAAAGAAGCTTGGCATTTCAAGATCCAATGGCATCTTCGCTAGCATTGACCTCATGATTTAGTCCCACCACGAAAACAAGAAATGCCAAGAATTCTTGGCATTGTGTTTAACTTGCTAAAATTTGTCAGTTATTGATCTAGATCGCTTTTTATGCCTGAAGGAGATGTAATTGAAGAATTTATGACATCACAAACGTGTCGCTGTTTAATTTATGAAGTTTTTTTTATCAAACTTTTTGATGTTTTAGGTATTAATTGCCGAGTTTCACTTGTTTTCGCTCAAATAATACCTTTTGGAAAGTTTTACGTTGTTTTCATCAGTTTCAGACATGGGTGCGGGTCAATCACAGCCAGCCGAGTCCAAATCCATCTACATTACAGAGGAGGATGTGCCAGAAGCCTACAGAACAGTAGGGGTGTCAGAGGAAGTGGTAAATGCAGTCAATCAAGCTCAAAACAGGACCGGGAAGGTTGTGATAGAAGCAGCGACAGATCCCGAACTTGCGTGAGTAGTTTTAACTTATTTTGTTTTTTGGTTTTTAGATGAGAGTCATGAATAATAAAGAGGGATTCAAAACTAGACTTACTTTTGAAGTTGAATCGGTAAAATTCGAAACGCAGCTTGAGCAGTAGGTGACGTCCTATTTTGCCATACACAGCAAAGCCACTTCTAGAAACACGTTTGTGTTGACACAAATTTATCGGGAAATCTGCATAAAATAGGACTTTTACGTTTGCAAACGCGTTTGTAAAAAAAGCTGTCAATTTTCGCGAAATTTTTTATTTCTTCTGTCTCAGCGATACGTGGCTTGTTGTACGTAATGTTTCCTTTGGATTGCTGTACTTGTAAGGCCACTTGTACCTGCGGAAATTCGACTTCTTCCACCTGCGATCCACCTGATGCATGTTGTGGAGAAAAAGATCCGATGTTCGTTTTTTTATACAAAATTTTTTGCAATTTCTGATGTGCTAGATTTCCTACAGCCTTTTGAGTTGATGTTACGATGTTTTTCACAGTCAAAAATAAGGGATACGAGCAATGATCATCTTAATTTACATCATTATAGCTGTATGTTTCAGTAAGGAGCTAGAAAGGCAAAGAAATGAGAACCGCCGACTACGAGAAGAGATGTTGCGGTTGTCGCAGCTCCAGTCCCGACAAATCTCCGTCAATCCCGCAGACAGTCGAGCCGACATCGAGGAGAAGAAGAAAGTCTTCGAAGAGACGGTGGACCGAGTAAAACAACAATTTTTTGGTTACCAGAAGGAGAACGCATGTTCTGATGTGGAGAAGGTAGGTCGATTTGGTTGAATATTGCTTTTAGAGGGAGTTTTTTCCATGCCAGTCCGAAAAATTTTGAGTATTATTAAAATATTAAAATTTTGGATATTGCACTTGACAAAAATGCCGATTTTTGCGTAAAATTTGGAGTAGATATGGTAGATTGTAGTATTACAAGTGCAGAAGAGATCCTACGGTATTAGATAGTGTAAAATCTATCATGGAAAGAGCGTCGCATAGCCGAGATTTGACTCATTTTCGGCGGCGCCATCAAAAGTCCTCTCAACCTTGGGGAAGAGATCCTTATCAAAGCGGGAAATACTTTTTTACTGCACGGCAAATTAGCCGAGTGAGAAAAAAGTGTGTAATAATGAAGAATTGGGGGATCTGAGAATGGGATTTGCCGGATTTACCAACAGTTTTAAGGGTTATATTATACTTGATGTAAGATTTTTAATTTTTTATTTTTTTGGCGTTTCTTAGATGTCTGGAGATCCCAGTGAATAGTGAAAGTGTCAGATCCAAAGAAACGTCAAGATTTATCCCTTGAAAATTATTCCAAATCCCCTTGATCAAGCGATCTCGCCCCAGGCAATGACAGGTTTATGACTCTCCGAAGTCGTTCGAATATGTTTGTTTACGCAAGATCAGTGGTTTGTAACGAAAGAGAAATCCAGATATCCTACAGAAGACTCTGGGGCTCAAAAAAGCTCGATTTATCCCCAAAATTTATGAGTTTTTCGATAAAAACTTGCCGCCGAATGCAAATTAATGGGATTTTCTCGCGGATCAGAGAGTGTTTCGGAGCATTAATTGGTTGACAAGGCTCTGACAAAGTGATCTTGTCATAATTGTGACATTTGGGAAGGGATGAGGACCTTTGTTTGTTTGGAAATCGGTTGGCTCGAAGGAATTGGAGATGGATTTTCGGGGATGGCCTATGATCGAAGGGATTTTGGTGGTCTCGAGGTTGTCTTATTTGTATTTTGTTTGTAATTACATATTGGAAATGGAGAGAAATCGCATTTTTTATCTTTTTTTTTGCCTTAAAATTGACTGGATTTTACAAAAATGGTTAAAAATTTGTCTTGATCTTTCGGTGTTTAAAGTGGTCCATTTGATTTCACGATTTCTCATACTTTGTATTCTGTTATTCTTTTTGATCCAAGGTTTCCGAACCACCATTTGTCGCTGATTACTCGCCTCTAACTTTGCATTTAATCCAATTTGGTCGAAGACTTGACTCTTCTCTCTCTCGTCATGCTTCTCCAGGTAATCCTTGATGAATACGATTCTTTCTGTTGTGATTTTCCCCCCTCAATCGATCAGCATTACGCCAGCAGAAGCTTTGCAATTTTCCAAGTGCTAAAACGGCTGTTTTGTTTTGCCGCCCCTGTCAAATTATGTAAATGCGCGGGTGATTGATCCGCTCTGATTTCCGTTTAGCGCCTGAGAAAGAGCCTTGTGGAAGAGCAGGGAAAGAAGTCGAAATGCCAGGTTGTAATAGCTGAAATTTCTTGGTATTCTGGAAGTTTGGTCGTTTGTTGTATGGATTTTTGACAAGGAAAGTACTTCTATGGGGTATGGAGTTACAGGTCGAGACATATATCAAAAAATTGCAAAATTTTTCTGATTTAGAATATGTAAAAGTTAGCTGCCTAATTTTGGTTTGTAAGGGTGAAAAATTCCTATGAACTTCCATTTCATTTACATGGTGTTGCGAGAAAAGTTCATAGGATTTTTTCACCCTTACAAACCAAACCTATGCAGCTAACTTTTAGATATTCTGAATCATAAAAATTTTGCGATTTTTTTGATATATGTTTCGACCTGTAACTCCATACCCGATAGAAGTACTGTCCTTGTAAGAAGAATCGACAGATTTTCCTTTGTTTGTTGTTTTACGGCTCTCTGTAAAATTTGACCTATAAATTTGCCGTCTTCCTCTCCGGGATCTCGAAAATAAGAGTAATCCGAGTTCGAAAGATTTGGGTTAGGTTTGTTTAGTAGGTTTGCGGTAGTAGTTGTGGTGGCAATGTTTTTCTTTGTTTAAATGTGAGTGCCGCTATGAAGATGTCTTACTTTTTATCGCTTTCTTGTCTCATCTTGCCTCAATTTGTTTGAGTTGGTTGTGTTGGCAAACATTTGTTTTCCCCAATTGAAATTACTCGTTTCTCCCAAGGAATTTCCGGATTCAACACAATTCCTCTTGTCGTTACCCAATTATTTTGTCGTGATCGTAAATGGGTTTGTGGGTTATGCGGCCACTTTTTATAAACACGGTGGTTGCGTAAAAGGAAAACTGATGTTTTTTATGCGTATTGTTTCGAAGGCATCGTTGACCTTGAAGGATGTTATCATTGTAATAGAGGTGATTAGCAGGTCTTCCTTGATTTCTGGATGGAGATTCGAGTAGGGATTTTCTTGTGACCTTCTTGTCATTTTGAGAACTCTCTAGCCAGAAAAACGTTGAATATTTTGGCTGCTCAACTGGCAATGTAAAATTTTGATACCAAATTTTTACCCATCATGGAGGAAATTTTTGAGTTTACTCCTCTGTACCGCTCTTCGGATGTTGTTCTAGCCATAGAACCTTTCCCTAATGACTCATTGTTTCCTTTACTACTGTACTGAGATAAATCAATGGCTCGCTTGTCGACCCCAATACGAAACCGCCATAAATTACGGAGTGTTTGATCCGCCGTCGGTGGTCATGGTTTTCACGTAATTTATGATGTTAGTTTAGACTAATTAAACCCCTCTTTTGATTCGTTTTTCAATTTGGAAATTGGCTCATCGAAAAGGAATTGAGAATCAAATCTGGACCGGAACGATTTGTAGGCTGGGTAATTGGTGAAAGTTTCCTCCGATTCCTCCTTGGGTAATTGGTATAATGGCAGAAGTTATAGGTTTACAATTTTGTTTAGTGGAGGGTTTTTGATGGAAACAGTAAAGTTGACAATTGGTAGGAAATTGTCGAAGGAAGAATTGGAGATTTGAAGAGCTTGCGATATTGTCATAGCTCTTCGTTATGCCGAATTTATGACTACAGAATTTTGATCGAGTCTCTTGGTTTGCTCACGTTTATTCGTTCGGATTAGGAGGTAGTTAGTCATGAAGATCTCTGACTTATTGTCTTGATGTCTTTGTGGAATAAGGTGGTTGAATTGTCAAGAGGCCGTACCTTTGATTTTTTCCTTTGCGTCTTTTAAAACCAAGATCTTATCGCATCTTGAATTACGATCATCCCCGTAAACTTTTACTCACTCCAAAGTAACTGAAAACTTTTGTGAAAGGGCTTTATGACAAACCCGGTGCTCAAGGCCACTCTCGCGTTTATTCAAATTTTCCCACGACCGAGGAAGTGAGGCAGAGCGCGCAGGTATTTCGCCTCTCAAGCGGCGCTGAAGAGGAATCGGTTTCGACCTCAGCTGGAAACTGAATCCGATTCCCACTGAATGTTTTCGGGCTTTGTTATGTCTGGAAGGTGAAGGGGGAAGAGTAAGGTAATGATCGATTTTCTTGGGAAGGATGGTGGAGTAGAAGATGGAGATTTTGAACGATGAGGAGGTTTTTGGTGCTTTCTTGTCGTTATAAGAAGGTTTTGAAGGCTTATTAAGAGCCTAAACATGTGGTTATCTTGATTTTTTGCTATTAGTGGCCTTTCTGTTAAGTGTGAGGTAGTAAATCCTAAATAGTTTGGGTGCCATCAGCAATAATTTGGTAAATATTACAATATTTTACGAAGTTTTTTCCCAAGAAAGTGGAAGTTAATTATTCCCATGAACTGAGGTTGTTACTCTCGAATTAATTCGAATTTTGTGTGCATTAACGAACTTTCGTCGAAGTTTTGGAATGAGTAATGTAAAGAAGAGGGATGACGTGTTTGTTTTGTAAAATACGTTCTCGGTTTGTTAAATTGCTACAACGGGTACGGTGGATTTCAAATAATTCTCTTTTGTAATTATTGTCCACCTGTCAGCAGTGACAAAAACCAACGCTCCGGGTGTTTCGCGTCAAAAATGGCGCGAAAGATTGGCGAACCCGATAAGGGCCGCGAACCCGTTCAAAAAAAGGCAATCGAAAGCGTTCGAAATCTAAATAATGGGATAACAAAAGGCGCAGCGGTCGTGGAATGGGGTAAAGGAAGGTTCACGGGATTCCTCGAGGGGTCTTTTGGATTTTTTGAGGGTTTACTTTGATTATTTTTGGGAGTGGATTTACAATATGGTGGAATTATGGACTTATTCCGGGTTTTTGGGCAAAATAGGGTTTAATTTGGCATAAAGTGGAGCCTTGTAGTATCTATGAAGGTTTCTGCGATAAGTAGAGCAGCATTTTTTGACTTACCGATAGTTGCTTTCAACTATGCTGGCTAAGAATGTAGTGTGGTAGTATAAAGTGTAACATTTTTTACCAAAAATGTAAGATGCAGTGGGGGACCTGATCCAGTGGCAAAAAACGTATAATTTTGCATCCGGGAAGTATCAAAAATGTGGCAAAATGCTTCCCTTTTCAAGTTTAAAAGCTTCGATTTCAAAAGGGGCCCGGTCTTTTTTGTGAAGGAAAAGGTGTGCCCTTCAGAACGAAGTTTTTTCACTTGGTGAGGGAAGCATTTTGCCACATTTTTTTGATACTTCCCGGATGCAAAATGACACGTTTTTTGCCACTGGATCAGGTCTGTCACTGTAATATACGGCTGATTTTTTGGACTGGAAAGGATGGAACTCCCTCTGGTTGCTCTGTAAATGGAGCAGCCCGGTTTGCATTCAAACTTTTGATTTGAATCGGTTTTAGCAATTGTTGCGCTGCCTCCAGCACAACAAATCCAAAATCCTGAACTGCGAAGGGCTCCGCTTCGACCTGGACAAGTGTGTGGCGGAGGTTCGCAACGTCGTTCTGAAAGGAGCCTAAAGCCTAATGGACCGGGCTTAAAGGGAGAATGACCAACACGTATATTATCCATCCCCATCTCCCCTTCACCGCCCTCCGTTAGATGTATTGTCCAGTTTTAGATGGTTTCGTAAATAAATTTGCATAGATTTTGATGTGACGGGTGGTATCTTGGAGTAGGTTATGATATTAGGAGTTGGTTAGAAGTCATTTTGACCGTTTAAATTTAGTGGTCTCCGAGTTTGAAGGCTTTTATATTCACCATGTTCATCTAGGACCCTTGAACACCGAAAAGTTCGATGCGAACGGGATTTTGAATTGGTTCTTGCGGGAGATTTACTCGAACAGTAGCTGTGGAGTATGTAGGATGGGTGGAACGTTTTTTGAAAGAGTTTTTTGGTTAGTGTGAGATCGAAACACGATGATTTTTTACAAGGGTTTTGGCAATTTTTATAAATTTGAAAGAGAAAATATTGTAATGTGCTTGAATTTGGTCGATTTTATCGCGAAATCATTCGTTATCCAAGGATTTGATCGAAAAATTGTAGAATACAGATGACAATCGACCTGGATGACTACATGGACTCATCCCTTTCCTCCTCCCCCACGCATTTATGGCCTCCCAAAAAACGCTACGAAGTGAACAAAACCCCTTTGGGCGTCCCCGTATATTGCTGGATTTTGCTTGGAACCGGCCTTGGTTTTGTGATTTTGGGAACCCTGGGCCTTTATTTAGTAAACTTAACCAATGGCCCGAGGATATTGTATTTGAACGCTGAGGTGGGAGAGCCGGCGGATTTTGCCCAATGCAGCTTCGGACAGTGCACAGAGTTTGTGAACTGCAAACTCGGAGCGGGCGAGAAGCTCAAAGCGTTCATTCAACCGATTGTGGACGTGGTGGATACGGTAGGTGATGAGTTTCTGGGATTTTACGGATATTGGATATTAGGAACTGGGACGATTGGGGAAACCGAAAAGTATTATTTTTCTTCGATGCAAGTGTCGAAATTAGGATAATCGAGGGCGCTGATTTCGAAAATGACATTCATTTTTTTTGATCCTAACTTTTTTTCTTAAGTAGTACTGTAAAGTTGTAATTTTTTTGAATTTTTTTCATGAATATTCGATTTGGATGTTTTCGATGGTGCTGATTTCAAATCAGAAAAAAATGAATAAGATTTTCGAAATCAGCACCATCGAAACCCCCCAAATCGAGTATTTGTGAAAAAAAATCAAAAAATTACTACTTTACAGTACTACTTAAGGAAAAAAGTAAAGATCAAAAAAATGAATGTCATTTTCGAAATCAGCACCATCGATTATCCTAATTTCGACACCTGCATCGAAGAAAAATAATACTTTTCGGTTTCCCCAATCGTCCAACCCCGCGGATATCCAAGGCTTTTCCTCTATTTTGATAACGATTTTTGACCATAATTTTCAAATTTTCAGGATGGAGCTGCTGTCTCGTTCGTCTCCGAAGAGTTCCTCGCGATCCGAAGAGCCCTTCAAAACTATATCGAGCCTGTCGAGTCCCCAGAACATGCCTGCATCACCATTCCCGGGGTCGATTTCTTGAATCTGATGAAGTTCCGTTCCGGAGTTGTGGTTCAGAAAGTGATCGAAACAGTTCAACGGGATCTGAATGGAGCCAGAACTAACTTACTTTTGTTCAACAACATCGGGATGATCGAAAAAATGCAGTACAAAGTGAGTTTTGGAAGAATTGTGATATTGTAGTAGAAAAGGAGTTGAGAAAAATACTATTTCTAACAAGTAAGAGATATATGGTAAGAGATATATGGTTTTCTGAAAGTTTCGTAGTGTCTGCCAACATTTTACAATGTGAAAATGCTGATTTGTTTTATTTTCTCCAGCCGGTATCGAACTAGCCCCAAATTTTTTTGACCTCAAAATCCACTGCGCCATCTGAACACACATGAAATTTTCAACATTCAAATGAAAAATAACTAAAATTGCATCACTTTTAGGTCATCTGGGCCAGCGCCGAGCACACCTCGAAACAGTTTCGGACCCATTTTGACATTGCCATCCCTCCCCTAAGGCCATACAATTTACTCTCCGCCGACTCGATTAGAAGCCGGTACACGGTGAAGAAACCCGAAAATAGATGGACTGTATACTCCAGATTTGCTGAGAAGAAACTGGTCGAGGATATGGAAAGGATCTTGAACTTGTTCCGACCAAACGCGGATCGATTAATCTTTGCGGGTAAGTCGTATTTTTGGGTCGAAGTTGAGTCAAGAAGTTGTAGAAGGTGTTTAGAATCCCTTGGATGAAATTTTGAACATGTGATAGAAGGATTTTGAGCCTGTGATAGAGGGATTTTGACGAGTTATTCGTGAAAATCAACGATTTTTGTCATGGAGAGTATAATGAGATCTCAGATTTGGCCGGAAAGTTATTGGGAACAGTATGTAAATGTTCTGAGTAGACTGTAGTTGAAGTAGGACCTTAACAAAGTGTTCTAATGATGCTTCAAACCAAAAAAATCTTGGTTTGAAACGTCGTTGGATGTTTTGATGATAAAAAAATGGGCTGGAGAAGCAAAATTAATAAAATTATTGCTGTATAATTCAAGATTTCTCCCTTTTATCCAATCTTGAACTTAATTTTGCCTAGTACAAAATAAAAAAAAATATTCTACTGTTGAGGAACTGATCCAGTGGCAAAAAACGTACCGTTTTGCATCCGGGAAGTATCAAAAATGTGGCAAAATACCTCCATTTCCAACTGAAAGACTCCGATTTCAAAAGCGCGCCCGCTCTTTTTGTGAGGGCCCTTCAAAACGAAGTTTTTTTTCACTTGTAGAGGGAAGCATTTTGCCACATTTTTGATACTTTCCGGATGCAAAATGGTACGTTTTTTGCCACTGGATCAGGTCCCTCGCTGTAGCTTCACTGTAACCCCAATTTTTTCCAGCCGACCTCCCCACGGACAAGTTCAACATGACCCATGTGGTGGACAGAGATTCGAACGAAGTATTCGAATACGGCGAGCTCCTTTCGACCTCAACTTTCACCATAATCAACGACAAAGTCCCTGGCTTCCAGTTGGCCGTAATCGACGCACTTCAAGCCCATTCCATCCCCGTAATCATCAGCGATGACTATGTGTATCCGTTCGGCACGGAGCTGGAGTGGAAACGTTTCTCGGTCCGAATTCCCCGCCAACAAATGGAGAACTTGGTGGTGATCCTGAACCAGTTTGATGAGAAAACGGTGGATGAGATGCGAAGTTTGGGAAGAGTGGTCTACGAGGAGTTTATGGCTTCACCCGAGAGAATCGCGAGATCGGTGGTAAGGACGATAAGAAGGAGATTTTCCAACGAAGCCAATGAGTTCAGTCGAATTGGACAAAATGGAAGGGATTTTAAGGTGAGAAGAGTTATAGTGGGGGACCTGATCCAGTGGCAAAAAACGTGCCATTTTGCATCCGGGAAGTATCAAAAATGTGGCAAAATACCTCCCTCTCCAAGTGAAAGAACTCAGATTTCAAAAGCGCGCCCGTTCTTTTTGTGAGGGCCCTTCAAAACGAGGTTTTTTCACTTGGAGAGGGAGACATTTTGCCACATTTTTGATACTTCCCGGATCCAAAATGATACGTTTTTTGACATCGGATCAGGTCCCGAACTGTATTTATAATACAGTGGCGGGCCTGTAAACTCCTCTTTTCTCGCAGTGCACGCAAAAATCACTCCAGCGAGTTTGCGAACGGACTGGTATCAAAGAAAAATCCCACAATCTCCGCCCCAACTGAGAGTCGAAACTACAGTGGCGGCCTCATCCAGCAGCAAAAAACGTACCATTTTGCATCCGGGAAGTATCGAAAATGCAGCAAAATACTTCCCTTTCCAAGTAAAAATTCCGTTTTGAAGGGCTTTCACTCACAAAAACAGCCAGTGCACTTTTTAAATCGGAGTATTTTCACTTGGAGAGGGAGGCATTTTGCGACATTTTTGATACTGCCCGGATGCAAAATGGTACGTTTTTGCTACTGGATCAGGCCGCCACTGTAGGTTCGAATCTCAGTTGGGACGGAGATTTTGGGATTTTTCTTTGATACCAGCATTGCAGCGCCTTTACCAACTAATACAAACTGTAACCATAAACCTTTGTTTTGCAGATCTGGCGCGACATCCCAATCCGATCCATGTCCAAAAACCTCGATGTAATCATGAAGATTGACCAACTCTTGTCAAAAGAAGAATTTGAGCAAAGGATCAACAAGATTTTCAAAATTTTGGGAGAGAAACTAGAGTCGATTACTGTTCTATGGCCTCAGAATATGAGGCCGTACGAATTGGATAGCGCAAAATTGGAGAAGAGGATCCATTTGATATCAGAGGACTTTATGAATAATATCGAAGACTCGGTGCGAACAATGAGGTCAAGGAGTGATGTAACATCGGATTGTTGGCTCATGTTGGATGGAAAGGGGGAGCTGAACGTGTCAGCGGCATTATTTGATCAAGTATTCAATGTGTGGAAAGAAAACGCAGATCAAATTTTGAGCTTTAGAAGTGATGGCAACGACAGATTCACGGAGAATGCTGAACCTCCATTCTTTGATGGGGTTACTTTGGTACATCCAGTAAGTCATTAGTAGTTTACTGGCCTTTTTTACCAAAATATGCCATACTTTATCATAGACAATATACTTTTAGTACGTTCTGGCCGAAGTTGTGAAAGCAAAAAGCCAAATTACTTGTTCTCACACCCCAATCCAAACAATATCATGTGCAATGTCCGATAGCACATGCGAGAAGCTGGAGGCTCAACTTTGTCGGTCTCGATCCGACTAATTTACTACTATTTGTATAAACCACCACAGAATTGTAAGATTATACGGGTATTTTGTTGTAAATAAAGTCTTCACTTATATTTGTCAAGAGAAACCCTATGAAATTCAAGTATAAATTGAAAACCTCTCAAGTGTACAATTAATAACATTTTTACTGCAGAAAACAACAATAACGAGTAAAAAAGTTGCGGGTTTAGATAGCTTCGTCCTTGCCCTTCTTCTCTGGTTTTCCTCCCCGAATTCTTCCGGTACGGCGGGCGGCGATGAGACCGACCTTGCGACCGGCGGAGGTTCCTCTTTTGACTGTCGATGGGTGACCAATGTGTTGATGGTTACCACCACCATGGGGATGCTCCACAGGGTTCATAGCCACACCACGAACAACGGGCCAGCAGTTTCTCTTGGCCTTGTACTTGTGGTAGGCGCGTCCGGCCTTCAGGAGGGGCTTGTCCGTTCGGCCACCACCGGCACAGATACCGACCATGGCGCGGTTGGCGGAGGGAACAACCTTCTTGGCACCGGATGGGAGACGAACACGAGTCTTCTTCGAGTCCTTGTTGTGGGCAACGATGATGGCGTAGTTACCTGAATAATATACATATTAGTATCGTAATAGACGATTGAAAATAATCATTTTTTTTTGGAAATTCTAAGTTGAATGTCGTGCTGATTTGAATTGCATACTATCCATGGACCGGACTAGAACGCGACCGTCAAACACCTATTTATTTTGGCGGGTTATCGGCCCAAAACGACCATTGAGGGTCGATTTGGTTCCTATCCGCCTAAACTTCTACTAGTCCGTCCGGAAAATCGTCGGACTGAAATCGGCGACGTGCACTGTGGAAAACAAAAGTTCACTTTGCATTTAGTAATTTCTTGCTTTTTGCACCGTGCAAAAACATTTTTCGGCTGTCGCTCGCACCTTGAATTTTTCCGCACAGTGCAAACGTCAAAAACCAGTCCGGCGACTTTACGAAAGAATCAGTAACAATCAGAAGTCAATACATCACATAAAATTTTAATTCAACTCTCATATCAACCCCCTCCCCATTCCATTTTTTGCCTACAAGTGTAATATACGGCTACCTATTGTACTAGAGAACAGAAAACAATCATTTTTTTCAGAAATTCTAAGATTAGTGTCGTGCTGATTTGAATTGCATACTATCCATGGACCGGACTAGAACGCGACCGTCAAACACCTAATTATTTTGGCGGGTTATCGGCCCAAAACGACCATTGAGGGTCTATTTGGTTCCTATCCGCCTAAACTTCTAATCACTTAGTGGGGAATCGCTCCATCAAAACCAGGTAAAAAAACTGATCCTTTTTTGTCTAGTCCAATACCAGGTGGTATCAAAATTATCTAAACCTCGACAGAAAATTCGAAAAAGCTTACCTGAGGTCTTGGCCAAACGTCCACGATCTCCGGTCTTCTCTTCCAAATTACATACAGCAGTACCTTCGGGCATTTCACCAACAGGCATGATATTTCCGACTCCAAGATGGGCACGACGACCACAGTACAAGAACTGGCCGGTGTGCACTCCTTCGGCGGCGACGAACAGGTGTTGGTCCTTCTTGTATTTGTACTGGTTGCGGAATTGCACGACGGCCAATGGAGCACCTCGTCCGGGGTCGTGGATGATGTCCTTCACCACACCTCGGATGTAGCCATGGCGTTCGGCGAAGTCGACCGGTCGGAGCTTGGCGGGTCCCTTACGATGCTTGTTGTGGGACTTGAAGACGGATCCACGTCCCTTACGCTGAGAACGGATTCTACGACCCATTTCACCCTAAAATAAGACAAAAATTGTTGGAATTAGGGAGAAAAGGAGCGAAAAGGCTCGCGGAAAAAGCAATAACGATACAAGAAACTATATTCAAGAATAAAATTAGAGTGTAGTATAGAAAACCACTTTATCAAAAAATTCAGACAAACCATAAAGGATTCTCGGAAAAAGTAGGTAAACAACAAAATAATATCAAATAAGTCCGTCAACAACACAAATTTTAGCAAAACCGCCCTAATTTTTGCCCAAATACGGCGATAACAACTAGGATACCTATCAGATAGCATAAGATAAAACTGTTAGAATTTTCGACTTTGTTCTTCACATAATTCGGCCGCAAACAAATTTCCCCATCAAATTGCCTAAAGTTCAAGAAAAAATTAAAAAAAAGACATACCGCCGAACAGAGAAATTACCTTATACTACCTGCAAACATTACATTCGTAATAAAAAGACTAAACAATGTAAAAACAGTCGTAAAATACGACAAAACCCTTCAAAATTTCGCAAATTTTCTTCCCAAAGAAACGAGAAATATTTTCTCTCGGAAAAAGATAGGTCTACCGTACTTTTGGCATTCCGTTTTAATTTCGTTGCGAGACGCAGACTTGGCGCGGATTCAAAAAGCAATTTCGATTATCGGACTTGCGCCATAAAAAGTAATACTCCGAAAGGGATTTGCGTACAATTCGGTATGTTTTCGAATACAACTACAGTACTTGGGAGGGGTGGTTTCGAAATTTGTGTTTTTTTGTATTTTTTATGGCCTTTGGGCCGCTTTTGGTTGTTCGCACGTCGGTCGGAGCACAGTGACTTTCGACGCCCATGGCCAATTAGGGGTTTACATCGATTTCCCGTCAACCTAATTTGAGTTTGGGCCTGTGCTGAGCTGAGTGGGGTTGAAAATTGGCCGAATTTCGAGGGAATTCCCAATTTTCGCCACTTTCATGACTCTGACTGCTCAGTGGATGGTGAATATTGACGCTGTATTCTTTCTAGAATATATCTAAACGGATTTTACTGCGGGTCTAGCACTTTGTAATGGAAAAATTTTCAAAATTCTAAGATTATCCTACCTTGATCAAGATTACTGTAAAACTGCTGGATTACTGTAACAAGTTTGGAATATTTGTAATCACAGCGAACCAACGTTCATTGTAGACAAGTTATTTGAAAACTTTGGGCTTTACTTTACTGAATTCGCCCAGTAAAATTTGATAAAACCTAGAGAGGTCCAATTTTTACTACTTTTCGAAAAGCTACTTTTTAACTACCCCAGAATTGTAATATCGCTATTATTTCGAATTACATATATTCTCTACTTCACTGTGCTTCGACTGACATCAAAATTCTCCCATTTACTAAACCACTTTCTACGCTATTCATCGATGTTTCCGATCAGTCTGAAAATGATGACTCAAGCGTTTCAGTCGAGTACGATGAGTACTCACAGCATGAATCAGCACTTCGTACCTTCGCCGGACGTCATGATGACCATCGTCTTCCCAACGATCATCTTTTGCATCGGCATGGTGGTTGCGATGTTGATTGGGATCAATAAATGCAAACAATGGGAATTCGATAAAATCGTTGAGATGCGACGAACCAGACGCGTGATACAGCGAATCACAGCGCGGCTGAGGGAGAAAAACTTTCGGACAATACAAAGTAAGTCTTCTTCTTTATTTTCGAGCTAAAACTCGCACAAGATTATCGCAGTTTCCCTTCGAAATTACTCATGTTATCCTTTAGAAGCTCGCCACATCCGAAAGCGTGCCGTCGCTTCCGTAGCGTCCGAAACGACCGTAAATCGCAACTTCAAAGGTTCTCCAGCGCCACCAATCTACTCCGACCGGTCTGTTCAGTTTTCTCCAGGCAATTCGCCACCTCCGGCTTATGATGATATACTTGATGACCTCTATTACGAATGCATGCCTTCGCATTTGAAAGCCAAATACAAGGAGCATTGGAATTGTTAGTAACTTGTTATGACAGTAGGTTCTAAATTAGAGGAAATCTAGCTAGTAAATCCACTTTCCATAATCTGCTCAACTATTATATTCTCCTTGATACTATACAAAAATTCCCTGCCCATTTGCCTTGTTCTAACATTTTGCTGACTCCATGATCTTGCCTACATTAATGTCTTTGGATTACATAGTAATCTGGTTATAACAAGGTCTGTTCATCCAAGCAATATCAAAAAATTTACAATTTGATCTCAAAATTTTGTTGAATCTTTCGAATAAATCGCCTTTACTTACGGAAAAGCTCGGTTTCCGGGCCGCTAAAAACATCCACTCGAACTTTAATATAAATTAGTAAGGTAAAAGCTGGACATCCGAAGGGGGTGGGGTATTATAATATCTTAGGAATATATATGATGTACACACCAAAATAGATTTAATTAGGAGACAAAAGGTAAGGACTATGATCTGATGTCGGATCACATTTTTTCGTGGCTTATTCGTGGGTGTTGGCGGCGGGGGGAATGGCGAGGGGCTTAGCAGCAACCGCCCGACTTTTTGTCCTGGACTGACTGGCTGGGCCCGATTCGGACGGCTGATGGGTTGGCGCCGCCTTGCTGCAGGGGTCCCATTCTGTTCTTGATCTCCGTCGCCATAGTGATGAAAGCCTGCAAAAGGGCAAAGTTAGTGAAAAAATTATATTATACTGGAAGGCTCCTGGAAAATTTATGTATCTCGCATAAACTAGACTAGATCGATTGATCAAAAGTATCGTAATACTTCCTCTATAACTTTGGCTAACTAAAGGACATCATTTCTTCATGCCTCGTTTAACGCGTCCATTTATTTTTCCAATATTATACTTGACCTTTACCTAAAGACAAAAACAAAATAAAAAATATGCTCACCTGTTCAACATTGGTTGACGATTTGGCGGACGTCTCAAGGAAGGGGATTTGGAGCTGATCCGCGTATTCCTGAAACAACAGAAGATTATATTACCAATCATATTTGACTATCTACATCAATGTCCAAGTCTAACATAAAACGGTTAATTCCATAGCACCAAAAAAAATCTCCAAGCAAAAACCTTCGTATACGCATACCTGAGCCACAGCGGTCTCGACGGCACGTTTGGACTGGAGATCAGACTTGTTTCCGACCAACAACTTGTTGACGGACTCGTTGGCATACCGGTCGATTTCTTGAAGCCATTGTTTCACGTTGTTGAAAGTGTCTTGGTCGGTGATGTCATAAACGACAATGATACCGTGAGCGCCACGATAGTAGGATGAAGTGATAGTTCTAAAGCGTTCCTGGCCAGCGGTGTCCCAAATTTGAAGTTTGATGGTTTTGCCCTCCAACTCGATGGTACGGATTTTCTGAAAAACAAACCCATTACCAGAGGGCAACAATATATTCAAGACTTTATCCTTGTTGAACCTTGATTTTCAAGTTTTAGCACTAAATTTGATCAAGTATAATATAATCAAAAAAAAACTTACAAAATCGACTCCAATGGTGGAGATGTAAGACTCGGTATAAGTATCATCAGCGAATCTCAACAGTAAACAAGATTTTCCAACACCAGAGTCACCGATCAGCAGCAATTTGAAGAGGTAGTCACTGGAAATAAACAAACGTAAAGATCTCAATAAAAAACGGATCGGATAACTTTAAAACAGCGGAAATATGCGCCTGATGACCTCAATCCGCCATTCAAAAAAACTCGAGGCGTTCCGCTAGGAGTTTGGTGGGAGATCGATAAAACTAGGTCACGTGTTAAAACTCCGAAACTGTATAGAAGCGGCAAGTCTCGTATAAAATGAAGTGGTAATGGCACTCATAGCTGAGCAAAGTGCTATCACCGTTTATTTGAGATTTACTGGTAGAAATCAGCTTCTCCGACATTACACTTGACATTGACACCAAACCTTCAAAAATCTCGAAAGAAACATGAAAATGTTACGCAGTTTCGTCATGAGAAGTTGAAAAGTACTCTACTGGATGTTATGCAACAATTCCGGTTGAATTTAGTCAAGATTCGACAAAACCTAGCTCAATCTATGTTCAACACCACATCAGAAATTGGACGGCCGAAAAACAGATGAATTTACGACCTTCCGCAAATTTTATGGGCCCACAAGTTTTTCAAGCACAGGCAGGGTAATGATAAACGTGTTACAGCATCTATCAACCCGATATACTGCCAAAATTGGCAAAAACTACTAGGTTACATGGAGAACATCAGTAAAAACGTCTAAAATCCAAAGAAACCGGCACAAAAATTGGTCAAACTTACTATTCGGGGTTGACGGTCATTGTCTTCGATTGGACTGTGTGCTTGGAACCCGCAAAAAGACTAGTGCACTGCGACCTGAAAGTGGCAGCCACGTTGAATGATCGATTAAGCGCGACCACGTCATCACGACACGAGAAACTTGGGGGGATTACGAAAGTTCGCGGGAAACAACCAGTCGACAAGATAAGGGAAATTGTAAATGTAAATTATCAAAGAATGTTCGACTTCGTGCAGAAAGGCGATCAATTCGAGTTTGCACTGTCTGCACAGTGTTCTCGCTCGCCGCACTTTGACCGTTTTCGGGGGCCTTCGACTGAATGGGAGAGCAGCGCGACAAATGGAGCGCACCAGAGAGCTTCGCGAAAGTGGAGAAGCTAGAGAAAGCCTGGAGACAACGAAATAAGCGCAGCGGGAGGTCAAATTTGCGGACGGAGAGAATTCCGTTCAAAAGACAGGGCGCAGTTCGCCAAAAAATATTTTTTCGTATTTTAGGTTCTAGAACAAATATCGAATATCTGTCTTGCAGAAGTGTTGCAGAGATTGTTTTTCTTCTACTCACACAATAAAATCTCCCTTAAAATTATTATTGCTTACTATTTTCTAATCAAGTTTGTTTTGATGTACAAGGTGAACACAAACTTTGGAACGGACAAAAATTAACAAAAATCACTAAAACACCATAGAATTTATATTTCATGTAAAATGAATATACTTTTCTATAGATCTACAGAGATTTTCTGTAAATTTCGAGATTTTTTCATGTTCACCCATCCGCAAGCTGCGTCCTACCCCGCATTTTTAGTTATAACCGGTTCCGAGCTGCTGATACCCTCGAGACACATAAAAAGTAGTCCCCTCTCTTTCTCTAATCTTCATTTTTTCCACCACAAACCACATTATTTCGTTCCCAGTTTACTTTCTGCGTCAAAATTAGACGCCAAAACATCCTTCTCATCGAGGAGAGCGAGCCGAGAAAATGGCAGAGGCGAGAAAATAGAGAAGAGAAAGAGTTGACCCAATCATGCGATTTCTTGAATGTACAGGACAACTGTTTCTCCGTGAGTAATTTCATGGGATTTTGAAAGGATTTCAAGTCGGAATTGCGTGCAAATGATAGAGTAGGTGAAAATGGGTATAAAATAGTTAATTTTTACTTTTAAACGGTAGATTATTGTAAAATACGTAGGCAGAAATCATACTTTGAAGCAAAAAATTTCCTTTTGAATAAAAAATTGATCCTAAACAGTGGCAGGAGTAGTAAAAAGAGCTGTACAATAAAAGTTAGACCTTTTAATAATCCCATCCATCGTTAAACGTCCGAAACCGACATTCCGATGACTCAAAAAGCACAACAAAAAAGATAGACTGTTCCTTTTTCCCACTGACCTCACGTGAGTCAGATGATTTCAATGGGAGAGAAGGCCGGTTTCAGGCGAAACACAATTTGAAGTTCGTTTCAATTAGAAAGTGCACTTCCTATACAGGGTGGTCCAGCTAAGTTCGCGGATGTAAAATGCTTATAACTTTTTACAGGATTGTTCAATTTTTATGAGCAATAGCTCATTTTATTCCGTAGTTGCCATTTTGTTTAAAAAAAATATCATTAAAAATGATCAATCCTACGTCGAGTTATAACCCTTCAAAGTCAAACATGCTTTTTCACGTAAATTTAACAAGGAAAGTACTTCTATGGGGTGTGGAATTACCGGTCGAGATATATATCAAAAAATTCGCAAAAATTTTCTGATTCAGAATATATATAAATTAGCTGCCTAATTTTGGTCTGATGACATGTTTTTGTCCTCAGAAGTTTTCTCGCGACACAATGCAAGTGTCTTTTTGACCGTGTTTTTACCAATAAAAAAATTTTGTTTTGTGCTAAAATAAATTTTGAGGCCTTGACAAGCCTTAAAATATCAAATTGGATTACAACTACACCTTAAAAGTAGTTCCAATGTAAAAAATGGGTTCTAGTGTGGCAAAAAAAGGAACCCGTCCCCTTCGGATTCCCAATCTAGCGCTCTAACCACTCGGCCACACCGCTCTCTTCCGAGGGAAGAGACCGAGCTCGCTTTTGTTGCCGCAGATTTGTTTCCTCGAGAAATACATTTATTGATAAAACTCGTTAATAGACCAAAATTAGGCAGCTAATTTTTATATATTCTGAATCAGAAAATTTTTGCGAATTTTTTGATATATATCTTGACCGGTAATTCCACACCCCATAGAAGTACTTTCCTTGTAAAAAAAAATTTTATTTTCAAAAATTTTTGAATTGCGGTGTCACCGCTCGCTGGTACCGGGAAATGATGGTGAACAGAGCGATCCCAGCCAATTTTGCCAGTCTTGTTTTTCAACAAGACGGCGCGCCACCTCATTTTGCTATAGCGGTCCGTCAACTCCTTGACCAGGTTTTTCCAGGTCGTTGGATGGGCCGGGGATCTGCGCGGCAACCAGCTCCAATTGCTTGGCCCCCGCGTTCACCTGATCTAACTCCGCTAGATTTCTCCATTTGGGGGTTCTTAAAACAGCGGATTTTCATCAGGGATTGGCGCCCAAAGACGTGGAATTGAAGCGCGTAATCGAAGAAGAGGTGGAACGAGTTCGCCAGGATGAACAAATGAGGCGCCAAATTATGGAAGAATACCAAAGACTGGCAAAATTGGGCCAATTTTGCATAGCTGGGATCGCTCTGTTCACCATCATTTCCCGGTAACAGCGAGCGGTGACACCGCAATTCAAAAATTTTTGAAAATTAAATTTTTTAAAAATTTACGTGAAAAAGCATGTTTGACTTTGAAGGGTCATAACTCGACGTAGGATTGATCGTTTTTAATGATCTTTTTTTTAAACAAAATGGCAACTACTAAGGAATAAAATGAGCTATTGCTCATAAAAATTGAACAATCCTATAAAAAGTTATAAGCATTTTACATCCGCGAACTTAGCTGGACCACTCTGTATATTCAATTAGGGGTAATGTGGGCCAATGAAAGTGCAAACGGGAGAGGGAAAAATGGACTGGGGTCAGGGGATAACTAGTGTCGGCGGAGACTTCTCGAACAATCGGCGAAGACTTTTTGCCCCTGCAGAGACTTGACGAGGGCCTTGCCGAGATTTTCTAGGCTTAGAAATTGAGAAATTCGATATGTATTTATAATTTTGCGACATAAGTTAAATATATTTGCTTTGTAATGACCTTCACTCCATCAATTCCGGGGATAAGAAGTCTCCGCCTTGATATATTCAAAAATCTACGGTTGAGATGCCACTAACCCGACTTTGCTCCTCTCTCGAGATGACTAAAAACCATGACAAACTTTGTTTTCTGGTCCACTCTTAACAAAACTGATCTTATTTACTCCGAATGAAAGCGGAAAAAGTGGTTTCGACCCAAACAAGGATTGCATAACTGAAAATTTTTGGTTGCATGTAGCTTTCATGGGATATATTAATGATCAGAAAAAGTATTGGGGAATATCTCCCAAAATATTTTTTTAGCACGAGATTTATAGGACACTAACAAGGCATATTGGTGCCAAATATGACACATTTCTATTGACAATCAAAAAAAAAATTACAGCAATTTTGAATTGCAGTTATAATTTTATGCAACACTGTAGACATGGCTCTCTGGACGGTCCGAAAATCCCGGCCCGTTTCATTCACTTTTGTCACCACTGAAAGTTCAAAGTTCACACTGACAATTAGTCCGCCCATGGTGCCTAGACATTGCTCCGGCCCGGCTGGACCTCCATTGTGGAGACATCATGTCTATTGGTGAAACGCCCGAAGGTACCACTGTATGTATGCAACATTGTGATCAAGATGTTTGACAAGACCTTCACGTCATCAAAGGCCGCTTCAGTTGCCAACATTGAGAGAAATTTGAGAGCTTCTGTGAAACGTTGTAAATAAATATTATAAAATGTTGCCTTGCCAAGATATTCATTGAGACTTTGGCAGACTCAGCAAAGTCTCATTGAAGAACTGTACCGAATCTGTTTTTTTTGATGATGCCTTTATGAAATTACTATACAAGCTCAGTGTATACTCTAACGATCCTATCGACTCTTTTTACATATTTTTTTATTTTCCCGTCATCATTTTTGTAAGCGGACATGAACTTATAGGATTACTGTAAAACAATGAAAACAAAAGACCAATTTATAAACAAACATTGGCTATAAAGACACTTGTTATTCGTTGATAGTGCAAATGCCAAAAGTCGAGCTTGAAGAAAGGACTACAGTTATAGCTTCTTGTCTGTCACACTAAGGTATTCCGTGTGCTAATCCCGTAAGCATTCTCTTTGTTTATACTGAATAGTTGTTTACATGCGTTCAACACGATTTGTTGGAGTTCTTCTTATGAGAGTTTTAAGTGAGTTTGTCGAATGTCAAACAGAACTCACTGAATGCCCTTTGGCTTTTATTTGAAAACGGAAACAAGGTTCCGTCAACGCAATTTTCGGAGATCTTAGAAGGCTTCTAAACATAAAGGAAGACGTATCCTTTCCACCCTCAACTATTTCCATTTGCTTCTTTGATGTTTCAGTCTGTCGGGAAAATTTTTCCCGCAACCTACAGTGGCCGACCTGATCCATTGGCAAAAAACGTACCATTTTGGATCCGGGAAGTATCAAAAATGCGGCGAAATACCTCCCTCTCCAAGTGATGAAACTCCAATTTCAAAAGCGCCCCCATCTTTTTGTGAGGCAAAGGGCATTTCAAAGCGGAGTTTTTTTATTGTAGTGGGAGGTATTTTGCCACATTTTTTATAATTCCCGGATGCAAAATTACACGTTTTTTGCCAATGAATCAGGTCCCTTACCATCATTCATTTTCTCGGCTGCGATGTGATTTTTGCTGCGACAGCGTGCTTATTATTTTCCCGACAGAGTAATGTAATGGCAGATATCTTTCTTTGTGTAGCGTAGTTGTTTTATAAGCAAATAATAAAAAAACTTCGCAGCTAATTTTTTCACATATTTTCTGAATCATAAAAACTTTGCGATTGTTTTGATATACGTATCTCGACCTGCAACTCCATAGCCCATAGAAGTACTTTCCTTCTCAAAAAAGGGCAAATCTTTTCTTACATTTTCCGAATACCGAGTGCGGCGATAATCGAGCATCCATTTTGAATAGTTCTCAAAGTTCAATGCTGCAATCGTCAGCCGTAAACGAGTTGGCAAAACAGGTTAGATTGGTAGGAAAATCGTTTGAGGCTAGCCAAAAATTTTTGTTTTGCAGACGAATTCTCGCAATCGCTAAATCTCTTTGTTATTTCCATAGGCTACTTCTTTTCTTTACTATCAAACTAGACAGTTACTGTTGTCAATGGTGGGTTAAAGTTGCTAGCGAATTACAGACAAGTTGGAGGCTTGTCAAGATACCAATTTAAGCGTGCGCTCCGGAGAAAAAATCGCTGTTTTTGGGTCGAAAATTTAACATGTATTTGATACGTAGCGCATATCGGTCTGTCGGGAAAAAACGGCGGATCGTCGCGCCTCGGAATCGCCCATCATCGCTTTGCGACTGCAAGCCGCGGCTTGGGATTTGGTGCGCGATAGCGGCGAGGCGAGGCATTTTGATGCGACGATCCGCCGTTATTTTTCCGACAGACTGATACAATGACGGATCAGATCCAGCGGCAAAAAGCGTACCATTTTGCATCCGGGGAGTATCAAAAAATGTAGCAAAATGCCTCCCTCTCAAACTAAAAAAAACTGCTTTTTGAAGCGCGCACCCTTTCTCTCGCAAAAAGAGTTTTTGAAATCGGTGTTTTTTCACTTGGAGAGGGAAGCATTTTGCCACATTTTTGATACTTCCCGGATGCAAAATGCTACGTTTTTTGCCACTGGATCAGGTTACCCACTGTAGCCTTTACCTGTAAAAAGCGATGTAATATTTTTGTTAACTGCTTGTACCTCCAAAACTTTCCTTACCAAAAGAATTGTGTTAAAAAAAGATTTTTTTCTTATTCTACATATTTACTTTAAATCTTCAGTAAAAATTTTTGTTTAGAATTTTTTCAACCTCCTCCTTCTCTCTTTTCCCTCCAAGATTCTCTTCTACATCCTCCAGGACTACCGCACCCAGCTCTATTACATCTTCGGCGTGACATGTCTCCTCTCCTGGCTGGCATTTAATCTGTACATTCTGCGCGACTACTTCTTCCCATGCTGGTTCGACACCGTCTACACGGAAGACGGCCTGAATAAGGAGGAGCTGGAGCAGGCCAAAATGAACTACATGGTGCGACAAAAGGTCTCGTCTGCAATGGCAATTCCCACTTCGGTTTGCGCTCCGGTGGACTTGAAGAAAAACATGTTCAACAAGGGCCATCAACGCTCGCATTCGGTTATCAATATTCATGACATTGTTGTTAAGAAATAAAGATGATTTTTGGAAAAAAAATTTCATCGTATAACATGTCACACTCCTGTTTGTTTTGCAAAAAAAATTTCATCGTATAACATGTCACCCTTTATTTTGACTTTTTTAAAAAGGAAACCTCTTCGGTTGAGGGGCCTTTTCATTTTGGGGGCCACTCTGGCCTCAGTCTTTTGGGAGCTATATGAGAAATAAAGATGATTTTGAAAAACATTTTCATCGTATAACATGTCACCCTTAACTTTGACTTTTTTTAAAAAGGAAGCCTCTTCGGTTGAGGGGCCTTTTCGTTTTGGGGGCCTCTTTGCCCTCAGTCTTTTGGGAGCTATATGAGAAATAAAGATGATTTTGAAAAACATTTTCATCGTATAACATGTCACACCCTTTTTTTTGCAAAAAAAACTTCATCGTATAACATGTCACCCTTAACTTTGACTTTTTTAAAGTGAAGCCTCTTCGGTTGAGGGGCCTTTTCATTTTGGGGGCCTCTGTGGCCTCGGTCTTTTGGGAGATATGTAAGAAATAAAGGTGATTTTGAAAAAGATTTTCATCGTATAACATGTCACCCTTTATTTTGACTTTTTTAAAAAGGAAACCTCTTCGGTTGAGGGGCCTTTTCATTTTGGGGGCCTCTTTGCCCTCAGTCTTTTGGGAGCTATATGAGAAATAAAGATGATTTTGAAAAACATTTTCATCGTATAACATGTCACACCCTTTTTTTTGCAAAAAAAACTTCATCGTATAACATGTCACCCTTCACTTTGAATTTTTAAAAAAAGGAAACCTCATCGGTCGAAGGGCATCTTCGTTTTTTGGGGCCTCTTCGATCAGGGGCCTCTTCGGCCTCACGTCAGTCTTTTGGGAGCTATCTACAGAAATTCCCAACAAAACATAGCACAATAAATCTTGTTTTTTTTACTCTTAATATGTATATTCAGCTTTGAAATTCTTCGCCATGACGCCATGCTGATTATTCGCTACGCACGCATACACTCCTTGATCGCCCATCGTCGCCGGATCAATCTCCAGTTTGCTCCAGATCTCATCTTTTCCTATGGGTTTTTCGTAGTACTGCAAACGATTAAAAGTTATTTGTTTTTTTTTTGCAACATACATGTGTATTGCTCTTGGGAGGCAGTTCAGCGCCCTCCTTGAACCACTTTATCATCGGCCTCGGCTCTCCGCGAGCTCGACAGGTCAACAATAATTTATAGCCGAGTCGATACAGTTGACTGAAGTGACTGCCGGTGATGATTTGGGCGCTCTGGAAAGGGTTGATTAACAGAATAATAATACCTCAATGTTGATTGTAAATGGTCAAACAGTGACCCTACAAACTTCAAAAAAGGGAAGTCTATTAGTGTGGAAAACTTGATTTTTGTACAAATTTTTTATCCCGGTTCTGCATCAGCGTCATGTTATTTTTTAAAATTTTTAGCTACCACTTTTTGGCGGCAGCCGAAAAATTTTAAAAAAAATTGTTGTGTAGAGATCACGCGTAACGAGTAGAGTCGCCCAGACAAAAGACGGTTTTTGCCCATAACCTTTTTTTGCATGAAAATTTTTTACTTTTTGTACAGGGTTTTTTGTACCGTAGTGGACGTTTTTGTCCCCACCCCGGTTTTGTCCCCAAGACGGTTTTGTCCCCAGGACGTTTTTGTCCCCACTTTTTTCGAGCCTTTTTGTCCCCAGACCGGTTTTGTCCCCAGGACGGTTTTGTCCCCAAGACGTTTTTGTCCCCACTTTTTTTATTTTTTTGTCCCCACAACGGTTTTGTCCCCAGGACGGTTTTGTCCCCAAGACGTTTTTGTCCCCACTTTTTTTATTTTTTTGTCCCCACAACGGTTTTGTCCCCAGGACGTTTTTGTCCCCAAGCGATTAAAAATTATGCACTCAGATGTTAATGCTATTGGTTTGAAGCCCAGTACTTCTCAAAAAATGTGTTTTAGCACTTGGTACTGTATAGTACAAGGTGGTACTATATAGCACGAGGTAAAAAGCCATAACACGTCAATGCTATGGGTTTTAAGCCCAGTACTTCTCAAAAATGTGTTTTAGCGCATGGTACTATATAGCACGAATTGGTTTTTGTACAAAATGAACGTCTGATCAGTACTGCATACCAAAACAACGTCATTCACGCGTTATGGCTTAATTTTTACCTCGTGCTATATAGTACCACCTTGTACTATACAGTACCAAGTGCTAGGAACATGTTGTTTGAGCAGTACTGTGCACCAAACCAACAGCATTAACATCTGCGTGCATAACTTTTAATCGTACTATCCAGCTTGGGGACAAAAACGTCCTGGGGACAAAACCGGTGTGGGGACAAAAAAATAAAAAAAGTGGGGACAAAAACGTCTTGGGGACAAAACCGTCCTGGGGACAAAACCGGTCTGGGGACAAAAAGGCTCGAAAAAAGTGGGGACAAAAACGTCCTGGGGACAAAACCGTCTTGGGGACAAAACCGCGGTGGGGACAAAACCGGGCCCAATCTTTTTGTACCTATGTATAACATATTTGGTATCATACAAAATGGGAATGTCTGAGGATTCAGGGGAAAAAAGAATTTTAACATTTGGCCAAAAACTAAAGAAGTTATAGCCAATTCAAAGCGGGCCACAAAGATGCCCCACCCTGTAGAAAAATTTGTGGAGACTTCCCACTCAAAGAATGATGAGAACGAGCTCGAAAGCAAGCCAAAGTTTTGGGAAATAATCAAACTAATAAAAGAAATAAAATTGCATCGACTTTTATAAACTTTTTTGTTTACCTATCAGTCTGTCGGGAAAATAATGAGCACTCTGTCGCATCGAAAATCGCATCAACGCCAAGAAAATGAATTGTGTCGCGACAAAATCAAATTGCTTTTTACTTCGACATATTGCTCATTATTTTCCCGACAAACTGATAAAAAATTTTTTCATCGAAAAATTCAGACTGATATATCAAAAAACTTTCCTTGCAAAGTTTACATCTAGACTCACCCGATTATCCAGAATCTCCTGTTGGATCAACGAGAACTCTGCGACCTGCGCGAACTGCAGATTACTTTTTCCCTTCCCTTTGCCCCCTCGTCGTCCACCTCTGCCGTCCACCCAAAATACTGCAAAATAAACAATCAGGGCCACAAATAAAGCAATCCGCATGACCATCAAATAATACAAAGGCGTCTGTCGAAGCGGGCGTCTTTCCGGATATCTCCAATCTTTTTTTTTTTAATTTAGCGCCCAATCAAGACAACTGACTTCCATTGACCTCCGCTTCCCACCCTCAGGCGGCTTGGAGTTCCGGCAGAGAGGAGGGTGTTTTTATCGAGGTCTCGGGATCTCGGCCCGATCCAGCTGAGATATTTTTGATCATCCCGGGGTGGTGGTTGGAGAGGTGGGATAGTTTTGATTACAACGGTCGGGTTAAGCATCTTCCGGAAATGGGAGCTAGTCGAGGCGCGATTCTGTGATCCTTGGAGATGGGAAAGGGACGATCAAACATGTAGAATAGGGATATATTAGGTTGTCAACTAACAAGGGAAGTACCCCAAGTGCGACGCTCAGATTTCCTTTAGATTTTGCACACACTTCGGGCATAACCTAAATATAAATTCCTGAAAGTTTTTGCTCGCGCTTTGCAGGCGCGGCCGAGATATTGAACGATCTTTGTCGCCGAGAGATTACGCTAAACGTGGAGAGCGGTCAGAGAGAAAAACACTTTTTGGCCATAACTTCGCTAGTTTCGCGCGGAAAATTTTGATTTTTTTGTGGAAACATTATTCTTCACGGTAGAAATAGGTATGAAACTTTTCGTGCCAAAATTCGGCAAAAAGTGTCAAATTTTCGCCAACTTTCGATCTAAAAATCTCGGTTGTTTCCGCAAAGCGCGAGCTAGCATTATCGCATATATTTTAGAAAAACATATTCTAAATTTGTGCCAACTTTCATCAAAATCTGAGCGTCGCACTTGGGGTACTTCCCCTGTAAATTGTAACTGTAACACGTATTATTTTGCATCCGGGAAGTATCAAAAAATGTAGCAAAATGCCTCCCTCTCAAACTAAAAAACTCCTTTTTTGGAGCGCGCGCTCTTTCCCTCACAAAACCGGAGTTTTTTTCACTTGAAGAAGGAGGTATTTTGCTACATTTTTGATACTTCCCGGATGCAAAATGGTACGTTTTCTGCCACTGGATCAGGTCCGCCACTGTATAACGGACTTTTGTAAATATAATTTTGAGCTGTTTGATCGATTAAAATCTCGAATTGGACCCTTGTTTTTGGCCCTTGATAAATGATTATTTGTGTCCCAGTGCGTAGAGCTCTCGTAAACTTGTTTGTCCAAAAGGTCATCCGAATGTTACGTAGATCAAGTGCGATTTTTAGCCAGCTGGGTTCTTTGTTTGATTCGCTGGTAGGCACTTAGCAAACCTCTCTATAACACCGCTTTTTCAGAAATTTGTTATACGGGGTTTTATCAGTTTTAATTGTTTTCAAGTCCAGTTTAACAAATGTCAAAGTTTGGACTCGAAAATTAGCGCTGAATGGCCATAAATTTGTATAAAACGGCGTTTCCTTTTGGTCCAAATCCCCCGGTGTTCGGATTTATGAGGGAAAAGAGGGGGCCTTGGATCCGAAGCGATTGGGATATTCACCTTTCGAATCAAACTTTTGATCCGTTTCGTATCGGATTTTCAGGGGATTAACGGGAATTTCAAAAAAATTATATGGGGAAAAAAGTAAAGCTGATCGTATTTTAGGGCTAAAATAGTCTATGAGCCTTGTCAAAACGAGTTTATTAAACTTTACGTAGATTTACCTCTTTATCGCCTAAGGCAAGACGTTTTTCCCCAGCCTATTTCACATCCGTCTGTCCGTGACTACCGTGAAAACACAAAATCCCAAAGATTAGCGAATCAATCATACTCGCCGGTCCACGGAAACGACAATGGGATGTCTAGAAAAACGAAAAAATATGAGAACGTGACTGTTTCGTGAGTTCTTCGAACTCCTTTTTGAAGTCTTAGAAAAACGATAAAATCCACTTTGTAAAAGAAATTTTTGTACAACAAAAACTTGTTTATAACAGACAGTTTTAGAGGTATAAATCGCTTCTGTAAAACGCATAATTTTTTTCCGGTTTTCCTCTAGATTCATTGGCAAAAATGGGACAAATCTTTGGGCATAACAAAGTGGAAAATGAGTTCCGAATTCTCATAGCAAAACTCGCAAAAAAGTACTTTATTTTCGCTATCTTTCGACCTAAAAATCTTGATTTTTTTTGCAAAGCGTGAGCTAAAAATGTTGAGCCTTTTTTAGACCATGCCTATCTCAATTTGTCCCATGTTTCATAAAAATTGAAGCGTCAAACTTTGAGCAATCACCCAATTCCGATAAAGTCAGCAAATTTCAGTCTGTCGGGAAAATAATAACAGGGGAAGTACCCCGAGTCCTACGCTCGGGTTTTGATGAAACTTGGCACAAATATAGAATATTTTTTTCAAAAATATATGCGAAAATCCTAGCTCGTGCTTTGCAGAAGCAACCTAAATTTTTAGCTCGGAAGTCGGCAAAAATGTGACACTTTTTGCCGAATTTCGGCACGAAAAGTTTCATGCCTATTTCTACCATAGAGGGAAATATCTCCACCAAAAAAATTAATTTTTTTCCGCACGAAACTAGCAAATTTATGGCCGAAAAGTGTTTTTCTCTATGCAATTTCGCTGCGCCAACCTGTCGCTGAAGTAAAAATGAATTTGATTTTCAGTGACACAATTCATTTTTTCTTCGGCGATGCAATTTCCGATGCGACAAAGCTCACTATTTTCCCGACAGACTGATAAAATAAACTCCACTATTTTTACCCTCATTTTTTGATCAATTTCTAATCCCCAATCTACACTAATTCTCCTTTCCCCCTCTGAATTTCCCGCTAATTTATGAACGGAAGTGAGTTTATTTGTAGAAAGGCCGATTAATCAGGGCCCCCTTTCATAACAACAAGCACCTGTGAAATGATCCGCAATTGATCCGATGACGCTTTGAAATAAAATACGTCGTCAACATACTGTTTCGAGCTCTAACATATCGCCTTTTGCACAACACTGTGTTGAGATTTGATGACGTTTTCCCAACCATTTGACTTTGTGCGGAAATAAATCTTGGCCCGTTTTTCGATTGAAAGGATTTCGAGATTTTTATGAGATTGCGATTAAACGAATGTAATATAAGTTTTTATGGGGTGCCAACAAGTGTTTGACCCTCGTTGCTAGCTGATTTGCAATATATTTTTATTCGAAATTCGGGGTTTTTTAAATCGTCTTTGCTGGGAAAGCTTGAGATTTATGCAGCTGAACAAGAGGGTACCCCCGACTTTTGAAACTCTTCAAATTTTGCAAATTCACTTTGAGATGGTCAATGAATATGATGTCATTGTCTTACAACAGATGTCTTTTTTACTGAATTGAATTTAAGCTGGTTTAAATTTAGAGCATAATTTCCTATAAATCGTATATAAGAGTCTCCTAGATCTCACTGTTTAGAAACCATCGAGCTTTTTTGTCCGGAAGACGTCCAAGAAATTTCAAATTTTTGAGATTTTAGCTTTGAAAAGCACATGTTAAATTATAACTTCTCTACAAAAAGTCTGGGTGCTAGCCTAGCAAAGCCTCGCTTGCGAAAAAAATCTATTTTTAATTTACCCCAAACCTTATCAAAATTGACTCTTCAACCTTTTGTCATCCTCTATTACCCAAGAACATGAAGTTTATGACCTCAAAAAATCCCATTTATCCCCATCAAAATTACTGTCCTTTTTGCAGCTAATTTTCGGCATAAAATCCGTGTTTTATGATTACTAATGGGGCCGTTAAAGAACGGGTGGTCCCGTCTGATTACGTGATCATGGAGAATATAAATAGACCGTTTTTGATTTTTTTGATGTTCATTAGCGTTATTGGTAAGCATGCTGTGAGGAGAGCTATAAGGAAGTGATTTTTGGAGGTATATTTCCTTGGTTTTTTTGGAAAGTCTATTTTTTATTGTAAGCGATTTTTTTGGTATCCAAAGTTTACAGGGCAATTGCCTCAAGTGCGACGCTCGGATTTTCATGAAGCTTGGAGCAAATATAGATCAAATATTTCGAAGATATGTGCGAGATCCTTAGCTCGCGCTTTGCAGAAACGACCGAGATTTTTAGATCGAAAGTTGGCGAAAATTTTTCACTTTTCTCCCGAATTTTGGCATGAAAAGTTTCATACCTATTTCTACTGTAGAGAGTAATGTTTCCACAAGAAAATCAATTTTTTTGCACGCGAAATTGGCGAAGATATGGCCAAAAAAGTGTTTTTCTCTGACCGCTCTCCGCATTTTCCGTACTCTTTCGGCCACATAGGACGTTAGATTGGAATATGCACATATAGGCACAGAGAAAAATTTGTGCAAAAAAAAAAAAACAATTTTTTTAACGTGAAATTTATCAAAAAATCTGAAAAGTTTTTTCTCTCTAAACGCTTTCTATTTACCATTTTAAAGACTGCATGTTTAATCCAGCTTTCATCTTATAACTTTGCCTTTTTTACACTCCACATGCCTCCAACCCCAACGCTTGTTGGCTTTTGGTAATGTTTTTTTGTGTGTTGAACACGATCAGATTCGTCTATCGCTTTATCACACACCGCTCCAAAAAAATGTCAGCTGTCTTTTTTTGTGTGCCATTTCCAATTTTCGGCCGTTTTAATTTTTTTTCAAAATCGATTTAATTTGGCCCTCGGGCGTTACTTTTCCCGAACGAACGGAAGTTTAGATTTTTTAGTCATCATGAGAGGCTAAAATACGAGTTTTGGTTTGATTTGGGACTAGCTGATCTTGTGAGTTTGGGTGTGTGGCCAATGTTTTTGCTTGGCCAAGGAAAAGTTGGGATATCAGCAACCTTTTTATATGCTTTTGGGACAATAAATTGAGAAAAAGAACTTTGAAAAATCTGTCTAATTACGATCATAGGCCAACCTTGAACTTGGCAAAACCTTGAGAAAAATTTGAGAGTAAAATTTAAACTTTTCTCACATTTTATGGACAAGTTCTCTGCAGACAGCATTCCGAGATGGGTCTAAGAGTCTTGATATGTTTTTGAACTGTATAGATTTTAATTTTACTTTATTGTTGCTCGACAAAAACCAAGAAAAAACAGCATTGCACAAATGCTGTTTCGCTCTGTAGTAAGCGTCAATCTGCCCTTTTCAGAAAGATCATTTTGCATTGTGCGCTTTCGGCATTGTGGATTCTTTACCACCACTGTTTTGGGTGTTGCAATAGCGTGTTCGGAAGACATGTCAAGTCTTTATAACCAAGCTAGTAATTTCTGAAATTTCAGAAAATTTTATATTGCGCTTTGAAAACAAGGCCTCCTAGATGCTCTACGATCCTTGACAAAGAAAGAAAATACAAAAAAACAAAGCGCTAAAAATCTTAAATCACTCTGTCGGGAAAATAATGAGCCCTCTGTCGCATCGAAAATCGCATGAGAAAATGAATTGTACCACAAACAAAATCAAATCGCTTCACTTCAGCGATGCGACTGGCGCAGCGACAGATCGCTCACTATTTTCCCAAAGACTGATAAGAAACTATACTTTTTTGGCAAGTTTAATGCAAAATTCCTCAAAATTTGATCACTATCTTTGTCATCACTAGTCACATTGTAAACTTTCACTTTTGTCGAAGTTTGAAACTTCGCCTCAAAACGTTTTTGTTCAACACTTTGTAACCTTCGGACTTCCGCATTCACCCTTCCCCCCACACCCCCAAACGCACGTTGCAGATCATGAAATTGGATCCGATATCCGGTGCCATCATATCCCCGCTTCAGAGCCGCTCAAAACTGTCAAAAAGCGGGCCCAATTTGCGGATAACGAGCCGACCGGGGCGCTTTGCGGCTCATTGTTTTGCGAAGGGCGATTTTAAAGTCTTTTAGAGGGGGGTTTTGAGTCTTTAATATTCGATTGAAATTTTGATTACTCAAAAATTGGAACTTTGAATTTACAGTCTTTCAGAAATCCCTTTTATAATAGACGTCGGGATATATGCGACATATCAATTTCTGAAAGTTTTAGCTCCCGCTTTACAGGCGCATCTGAAATATTCGATGATTTTTGTCGCCGAGAGATCACGAGAAATGGGGAGAGCGGTCAGAAAAAAACACTTTTTGCTTATATCTTTGCCAATTTTGCGTGGAAAAAATTGATTTTTTGTGGAAACATTACTCTCTACAGTAGAAATAGATAGGAAATTTTTCATGTCAAAATTCGGAAAAAAAGTGAAAAAATATTGCCAACTTTTGAACTAAAAACCTCGGTTGTTTCTGCAAAGCGCGAGCTAGAGGTCTCGCATATAGGCCAGAAAAAATACTCTGAATTTGCGCCAAGTTTCATCAAAATCTGAGCCTCGCTCTTGGAGTACTTCCCGTTTGAAATTTCCAAAAATTTTTCATTTTTCATTTTCCCACTCTCACACATCAATCGCGTATTTTAGCCCATTTTTTGCAAAAATTTGCAACCCAACCCACTCTTTCCAGGATGCCAGCGGGCACACGTCGAGCCTGGCATCAGCACGGCCAGCGGATGCTCTCCACGGTCCGCGCCAAAGAGAACAATCGGACCTGTTTCAACTGCTTCCACATCAAGACCGGAACGGTTATAATCGGAGTTGTGGAGCTCATTTTTGTCGGCATTTTCTTGACCGCACTGCTGAAACAAATGTCGTTGAAGAACCGAGAGTTGAAAGCTTGTTTCGAACAGTAAGGATTTTTGTGGAATTTTGGATTTTTAGATGAAAAATGACTTTGGAAGCCAAAACTTGGGGTTTTTCTAAATTTTTAAAATTTTTTGGAAAGTGTTTCTTCATTTGAAATTTTTGGCATGTGGTGTTGTTGAAATTTGGATATCGTATTTTACCTTTTCAACATGTTTCAAAGCTTTTTCTCCTTTTTTTAGTCGATTTTCCACCAGAAATGTGATGGATAATATAAATTTGTTCTTCAAATGTCTTTAAATTTCCCAAAAACAACTTCAAAATCTTTTTTAAATATATTTTCACCGTATTTTAACCAATTCTTTACTTCTTCAGCCATTTCCAGCTAATAGAACAGAATGCCAAAAATGGCGGGAATTTAAGCTTTTGAATTTTAAAATGGCTAAAAATGAGGAAATTGAGAAAAATACAGTGTATAGAGACCATGTAGAGCATGAAAAAATTAGAAATCGATTAGAAATTGATGTTTTTGCAGAAAATGGGAGACCTGTCTTCGATTCCATTTCTCACATTCCAATATCACATTGGCCGGTGACTATGTGATTGCTCTCTCTATGATCGCCATTGGAATTTGTGTAAGTCGTTTTTTTCACTCCTTGTGGCCTTTTTCGGCCAAAAAAAATTTTTTAGTTTTAGTACTGTGCGGAATAAAAGAAGTTTTAAAAAATGCGTAAAACAGGAGAGTACTGTAACAAAAACAGATTTATATTGCTCTTGATACTTCTAAAATGCCCTCAAAAAATTTTATGGCCAAAATTTTTCACTACCTTGTATTATACGGCGATTTGAGAAATCTGCACTGTGCAGTCACAATTCGATTTGCAGGTGGCCAAATTCTTTGGCAATTAAAAAATGGTCGCTTCAAAGTTTCAACAAAAAAAATTCCAGGTAATCTTGATGTTCATTGGGATCTGCAACACCTCTCCGAAGCTTCTTTTGCCACATCTGGCCATCCAGATGATCGGCCTGCTGTGTTCCCTCGGTTATTTCGGGGTCTATGCGTGGTCTTACGTCTATGGTGACGTCTACACTCATAAGCGACATTTTCAGGTAAAATATGACCACCATACTCCTTTGAAGAAAAAGATTTTTATATTATTTTTGATGACTAATACAAAAATATCAAAGAGATATCTGAAAAAACTTTTTCAGTTCCGCCAACTGGTCGAGCGGATGTGGTTTGCAACTATGTTGTTGTTTGGGTCAATTGTTCAATGTTGCTACTTCATAACAGTGCTGAAATGCTCGTTGCATCTTCAGGTGGGATTTTGATGACTTTGGATCACTTTTGAGGTTTTTTTGATCACTTTTGGCTGTTTTTGCTATAGCTAAAATTGTCAGGGAACAAATTTCGAGGAATTTCTTTTTGGATCACTTTTGAGACATTTGAATCACTTTTTGATACTTTTGGATAACTTTTGACACATTTGGATAACATTTGAAATTTCGGGAACACTTTTGAGACATTTGGGTCACTTTTGACACCTTGGGGACACTTTTGATGCCTTTGGATAACTTTTGATACTTTTGGATCAGTTTTGATACCTTTGGATACCTTTTGATACTTTTGGATACCTTTTGACACATTTTGGTAACTTTTGAAACTTTGGGAATTTGGACATTTGGATAATTTTTGATACATTTAGACCGTTTTTTGATGCCTTAGAAACACTTTTAATACCTTTGGATCACTTTTGACACCTTTGGATACCTTTTGATACTTTTGGATACCTTTTGATACTTTTTTATAAAAATTAATTTTTAGCGATTGGAAGCCCAAAAATACCACAAAATGAAGCAATTTGAGGAAGTTTCGGAGCGAGTTCGTCGCGCCAAAGAGAACGGAATGTGGCGAAATACGAGTTGGGGCGGCGGTTTTGCCGAGGTATTGTCCATTGTTCAACTTTAAAATCTCTCCAATTTAGTACAAAGGCCAGAACGACGAAGAGACGGAGGAGAAAAAGAGGGAGCGAGTGGAACGCCGCAAGGATCGAAATGCCGTCAGAGTGCAGTGGAATATGGAGAAAAACATGGAGAAATCCATTTCATTGGGGGTGGAAGAAAATCAGTCGAGCACTGTGAATGAAGAGGAAGAGGAGGGGAAAAAATTGGAGCCAATCAAAGAGAAGGACGTCAAGAAGGAAGTGGAGAAATCCGCGACTAAAGTAAGGGCAATTTTTAGGGAGAAGTTGAAAAAAAAATTTTTTTTTAAGTGGAAAAAGGATCAGAGAGGTTGTAAAAGGCTTCGTCATGCCAGAATAAGCCCTTTATACTATTGAAACTTTAGCTTAAAACAAGGTTTTTTCGAAAAAATGAAACAATTTTTATAAAATTGAAGTAAAATTGGGAAAAATCGGAGAAAATCGATAAAAAATCTTTGGATACCACTGTCAAAAATCTTCCTCAAAACAATGCACACCATCAGGACTGTATAAATTGTGATTTTTTGCAAAAAAATTTTTTTTTAATTATAGAAATTATAAAAAAACCTCAAAAACCCTACGTTTTCCATATAAAAATCGCTTTTATTTACCAAAAAAGGCATTAAATACCGTCTAAAAATATATTTCCCCGAATAAATTATAAATTTTAGACCTCCACACCCCCTCAATCATCGCCAAAACAAACCGATGGAACCCCCAAAACCCGGCCTCGCCGACTTTCCAAGGACGGGAAAGTTGTATGGAATAAGAGCTCAAGCCAAGACTCGGCAGTGTCCAATATTCCTATACCAATGATTCCGGTGGTGGAGTCCAAAGCTCCGCCGCCGCCTCAACGGAGCGTCAAAAAGTGAGGATTTTGGGCGTTTTTGCAAGAAAACTTCTAAAAAATTTTTTTCTAATTTCATGCGATTCTGGATTACTTTTGATACTTTTTGATACCTTCTTGATCACTTTTAATACTTTTGGAACCCTTTTGATACTTTTCGACCACCTTAGATACCTTTGGATCACTTTTGATACTTTTTGTCACCTTCTTGATCATTCTTAATACTTTTGGATCACTTTTGATACTTTTGGATCACCTTAGATACCTTTGGATCACTTTTGATATTTTTTGATACCTTCTTGATCACTTTTAATACTTTTGGAACACTTTTGATACTTTTGGATCACCTTAGATACCTTTGGATCACTTTTGATACTTTTTGATACCTTTTGGATAAGTTTTTATACCGTTGTATCACTTTTAATACCTTTTGGATCACTTATGTCACATTTGGATAACTTTTGATACGTTTGGCTCGCTTTTGAGACGTTTAGATCACTTTTGCAACCCTTTGGATCACTTTTGCAACCTTTTGGATCACTTTTGACACTTTTGCTAAAGCTTTGGAAGTTACCATTTATTGACTCCCATTTTTCAGAGAAAAGTCCTCCGACCCCCTACTAGGCGTAGGGCTTTTTGGTTCTCACTCTTCCCTTCAACGCTTCCACAAAGATTCCACCCATCCAGACCATCACCGTCATCGGAACAACCCCTCTCCGCCCTCGCCGATCCGCCGAACCTCCGTGGATTCGTTGGGCGTGCCGCTGAGGCCGGGCCAGCGTCCCCAACCCAAGCACATTCCGCCCACCTCCATTGCCAGCGTGAACATGCAGACCGTCTCGACGTCGCCATTAAGTGGACGAAAGTATTACGGAGAGCCGGATAAAAGGGTCCGGAGGCTGACGAATGAAATGGAAACTTCCAGCAGCAGTAAGAATGGTAAGGTTTACTATTGGTAACTTTCAGTCTTATTATGCTCTTTGGATTCTAGAAAATTAGAAGAGGAGTACTATCAGTCTTCCGATAAAATCCTCGTCATTCCTCTCCTTTGACGCCCATTACACTCCTTTGACTAGTTTTTATAACACTTCACAGCCATTCTGCTGCCTTGGCTAGCCGATTCCAGGTCCCCCAAATGAAACACTGAAAATAAACTCGAAATCTCCCCCAAATTGAAGTATGGCACAAAAAATTTCGAAAGCATAGGTTTGATGCGTAGAACGCATCTTTTTCGCCGCGATCACTCCATTTCTCACCGTCTGACATCGCGTTTAAAGCGTGCTATATCCAAATTAATACAGGGTGGGGCACGTCAAACTGAGATAAGCTAAAACAGTCCGGTGAATGGATTGGCCATTTGCCAAAAAAAGACGCGAAAAAACGTTTTGTCGGGGAAGAAATGGGGAATTTTTGGGGCGAGAGAGTACGTTTTTACGTGTCTTTTTTCTCTCTTTCTCTGCGAAATCAAGACGAAGTGTAAAAAACCGATAGCGAAGGATCTATTCCGGTCACCGGACTCCTCAGTTTGACGTGTGGGGTATCTTTGCGGTCCGATTTGAACTGGCTACAACTTCTTTGTTTGGCCAAATTTAGAAGTTCTATTATGTTTCGGCACACGTATTTTACCTTCGTATATGTCCTGTAGAATACTTGATTTTTTCTATACTGATGGTGCACATTTATGGCCCGTATTTTACCCACATTTAACCTTCAAAACTCTTCCAATTCAGGCTCCCACCCCCGCCAGCACTACCCTCCGCCCGTGCCCATGGTGAAGAAGATCTCGATTACCGCCAAAAGCTCGCCGTTCCAGCCCACCACCAACTTCCCCGTGTGACGGAAGGCGCGGCTTCTCCACGAAATACTGGTGTGTAATTATATCGTTCAGCGGGTGTCTTTTTTTTTGTTGCAAATTCTGATATTCAACCCTTTTAAATATTGTCTTTCAGCGGTAAAAACAGTTAATATTGGAAATAAACTGGTCTTTTTTGATGACAAAAAATTTTTGTTTTGAAAAAAATATATTTAAAAATCAAAAAAAAAATGATTTTTTTGCACGGTGCAGTCAAAAACAAAAAATCACAAAAAGGCACTGTGCAAAAATAAAATTTTATAAAATACGAAGGACTACGCATACCTTTTACGGTCTAGAAGAGTCTCAAAAATTCCAAACATTACAATCCGCACGGTGCAACGCAAAACATCCAATCCGAGTTGACTCCCGCACGGTGCGAAGAAAAGCAAACAAAAAAGAATAATGCACAGTGCAAAAACGGTAATTTTATCGCCGAAATTTTTCAAAAAATGACAGATTTGAAAAAATGCACTATGCATAAAATTCAAAAACGTCGCTGCACAGTGCAATGACTTTTCATTTTTTTCACTGCACTGTTCGGAAATTGTGAAAATTGAAAGAACGCACTGTGCAAACGAGTTGTTGTCATGAAGCGAGAAGTGATTATCAGCAACACCAAGGTCGGTCCGATCGGCTCGCGTCGGGACATTTCCGGAATAGCCACACTTCCGGAATGGTGGCTGAAAAGTTTTTTTTATGTTTTTTTACAGGGGATATATATGCTGAGGGGATATATACGAGAGAAGAGGAAGTTAAGTTGGACAGTGAATCAAGGGAAGTCTAGGTGGAATACTAGAAGGTCACTACGAAAAACGATTAACTTCGGGGAAAATGGAAATGTGTAAGGGGAAGGGCAAGATTAAAGTCACGATAACAGCTTGTTCTACGCAAGCGGGGCCTCTAGTGGGACTGGGATTCTAAAGACAAAGGGGCGAACACCCTGGCCAAAAGGTGACGCGAAAAAAAAGGAAAAGTAGCTTGTCTTACCGTACTTCGAGATCCTGTTCACGTCAGGCCAAGCACCCCATATAACAAGTGAACAATGGCAAGAGGATTTGGCAGTCGAGAGTCGAGAAGATATCGGCAAAGGTTTGGGTAGTCGACCGGTCAAAGAGAGAGAAAGTTTATTCGCACCAAAAACGAGGGAAAGAATGATAAAAAAAAGTGTATTCTTGTGGCTTTTATAGCCGAATCCATTATGCAAATTTGGCATTATTGCCAACATATATCTTGCTAAATAACGATCTTCCCGTACTTTTCGGTACTTCAATTGATTTCCAATAGTGTAAGCATTTGTTATCGAATGTTCCTAACAAAAACTTTATCCTCATGAGCTCTATTATGACTATGAGCTGACACTTTGCTAGGCATGAACTTGAATTTACACCGACTTGCATTATAACTTTGTTTTTTGAGGTTTAAAAATTCAGTATTTCTAGGGTTAGGTGGAGTCTATCAATGAAAAACCCACTGCCCAGAGCATGGTTTACAGCTCTCATGGAGGCAACTCGAGCCTCTTGGTAAGAGTATAAAAGGTATATAAAACGCGTTTATAATTACACGCTGCAACTAGAACTACTGTCTACCGTTGAACCCAGGTAAAGGGTATCATTATTTAACCCTTTCCGGACGAGTCGGCACGTATATATTAAAATGAAAGAGGGTACCCTACTGAGTAACGGCATAATAGTGGTTCAGCCCATCGAAGCGTTATTTGGGACTTATGACAAAAAATGTCCTTAAAAGTACCCCCACTTGACATATCACTTTTAAAATTTTTGCGACAAGCTGTAAATCGGAAACTACCCCTAAATTAAAGTCGAGGAGTCCTAGTATTGTTACATCCAAGAACTGTCCAAATCGGAGCACCATAGGATTTGTTATCGATTTTTGGAAATTGAATTTTTAATTTTGGTCAATTTTGGACATAAAATCAAGTATATCTTCCGCCGGTATCAACCATTTCGGTCCAAATGTGGTTTTTCCGAATCTATTGTGATGCTACCTTCTGACTACAATATTTCCAGAAAAAACCTATGAGGCATATTTCTGTAAAACGCGGAAATGTTGAAAACGTAAAGGTTTGGTCGTATAAAATGTCGCCGCGAGCCGCGAAGGGACGGGCGCAGCTCGAAACGAAAAATAATAATTTTTTCTTCGAGAAATATTATTTTGGTGTCGAAAAGCTGATTTCAACACGAAATACAGGCAGAAATAGCACGCAAACATAACCTAAATGTCATTTTTATATTTTTACTCTGTTTTCAGGCAATTTCAATCGAGTTTAATTTGGTTTCACGCTAAAATCAAACTTCTCGAAAAATCTTAAAATATTTTCTCGTTTCGAGCTGCGCCCGTCCCTTCGCGGCTCGCGGCGATATTTTATACGATCAAACCTTTACACTTTCAACATTTCCGCGTTTTACAGAAATATGCCTCATAGGTTTTTTGTGGAAATATTCTAGTAAGAAGCTAGCATCACAATAGATTCGGAAAAACCACATTTGGACCGAAATGGTTGATACCCGCGGAAGATATACTTGATTTTAGGCCCAAAGTTGACCAAAATTAAAAACTCAATTTCCAAAAATCGATAACAAATCCTATGGTGCTCCGATTTGGACAGTTCTTGGATGTAACAATACTAGGACTCCTCGACTTTAATTTAGGGGTAGTTTCCGATTTACAGCTTGTCGCAAAAATTTTAAAAGTGATATGTCAAGTAGGGGTACTTTTTAGGACATTTTTTGTCATAAGTCCCAAATAACGCTTCGATGGGCTGAACCACTATTATGCCGTTACTCAGTAGGGTACCCTGTTTCATTTTAATATATACGTGCCGACTCGTCCGGAAAGGGTTAACGTATTTATATTTACCGTTCCGGAAGTGTCACTATTTCGGAAATGTCGTGAATCGGCCAAGTCTGTTTCTTTCAATCTTATCTCCAATTTTCTTAAAATTAAGGCTGAAAATCGCAAACAGTTGTAGTACTAAAGACAGCAAAACCTCTTTATAGCGGACAATTTTATAATAGAATTAAAGAACTAGATCTTCTTAGGAAAATTCAATTATATTTTTTTCTGCAAAATAGCCCTTTTTTCGATTGAATTTTAATACAAATTTTGGCTATAATGCAATCATACGCCTCCAGGCACAAGCCACAAGTGTTTCTCGTCCTAAAATTGGTCTTGTGGCCATTTTATTTGCACATATTCGTCCCCATAGTTTCCATACTTGCAACTGAATTTCCTCCAGACATTTCCCCCAACAAAACACAAATGTACAAACAATTTACT